GGTCCGTCTCCGTGTCGCTGTTGTCGCAGGCTGAGGAAATGAGGATCTTGTTGAGCTCCCAGCTGAAGATGTCTGTTAGTTTATATTTTGTATTAGGATTTGTGCAGTTAGTTTACTTACAGAATGTCGTACTCCTTCCAGTCTGAAAGCGAGGGCCATCCGTCCGATACCTCGCCGCTACCACCCATCAAAGCATAGGTGGCAGCGGACAAGGCGCCGCGACGGTGCAAGTTGTGGTGCCCGTTCGCACCATGGGGAACGGCTTGAATGAGAGTAGACAGGCTGCCAGCAGCCAGGATCTATATACAGCTGTTAGCCACGGTTCATGTATGTGGAGGTTCGGTGGACCATGGGTTCGCCCAGAGTTCTCGGCGAACTATACAAACGTACCAATGAAGGAAAGAACATTGTGTCTGAGAGGGAGTGACGAAACGACGAACAGCGAACGATCAACGGTCAATGGTTACAAGAAGCCCTGCTTGCAAGAAGAAAAGAAAAATAGGGAGCCACGGCCAAAGTATATGTACTCGGCACTACTGTGTGCGCTTTGCCCTCTCCCTGTCTCTTTTGGTCAATTGATCAGTCCAAGTCTCCGCAGCGGAGACGTCCCTCGAATTACGATCACGGTGGCTGTGAAAGTGGCCCAATGGCGGGCTGGTTTAGGTCCTTGCTGTAAGGGCTGAAACACTCAGAGGGTCCCAGGTACCTGGATGAGTCGCGATTGGTCTGTTTCAGATATTCGTTCGGCCCCTGTGAGCGAATTTTAGGGGCTGCGGAGCTGACGAGGGTGTTCATCACCCCCGTTCATGGGCCAGCGATTGGCTATCTGTGGGGGGAACGATCACCGAGGTGGACCGAGGGCAAACTTTGTGTCTTTTGTGCCTTCCCGCTTGGTCTGAGGGTTGTTCTGTTCCTGAATTTGCCCCTGGTTCCTGGGAGGATTTACCCGTGTTGTGTTCCAGGCTCTGACGTGCAGTTATACTCTCATCACTTCACGGGCGCGTATTCAAAAGACTCGACCTACATGTGCATGTGGAATGCATGCAGGTCCCACAAAGGTGGCAATAAAGAGCCGAGCTAATATGTAGCGTCGTATTGAGGGGAGTGGGAAAAGCACAAGCGCTGTGGCCTGGCGTCTCAGGCATTATACAACCTAAATTGCCATGTGGTCGCAACATAGTCGGCCATTTTCTTTCTTTTATTTTTCTTTTTATTGTTTTTTCTTTGTAGATGGTATCAATTTCCTCTATGGTCTCCTATTTGAACCACATGCATACAGTAACAGCAACTTATGATCTGTGACCTGTAGCCCCCTCGGCCCCCTACGAAAATACGGTCGCTTGCAATCGCTATTTCCTAGCACACTAGCCACAACGCACACAACACCCCTTCGCAAAGGGCCTCGATTAAACCCAGTGGAGACAATCCGCATTGGTACCGCCCCAATGTAGGATCGGTGCTCCGTGCAGGTGGACAGAGTACACCGGTGTTCATCACCGGTGAGACAGTTTCTTTTAACCCAACTACAACGCGTCCCCTCCGTGCCTAACCAGCAATTGTATGAAAGGAAACATACCACGCTAAAGTAAAAAAGAATCCTCATCAAGCCCCAGATCCTCGATTTCGACACAGTAGCCACTTGCATATCGCAGATTAATTGAACAAAGACATCCGCAAACTGAGATTGACTGCAAGCCTTGGCCACGAATGCGTCTTCGGACTTCCGAGGCTGAAATACATATACTGTTTGCATTTCAATGAGATGATAAATCCACAGGTAGCATTAGACCCGTCAAGCAGATCGGGTCGGCACACCGATATGCATACTGTAGTGTACTGTAAAATGAGGGCCACGACAGCCAATTCAAGCCTCGGGTCCACACTCGCGAAGCGTCCTTGCTCTGTTCCTGGGGAATTGTAAACTCGATCTATCCCTCTGGGCAGACCTCGCATCTGCAATTGCAGATGCAACTTATGCAAAGTTCGTAAAGACCATGCAATTCTTCGCAGGCGCTGCAATATATCTGTGCACGCAATCATAATACATATATCAATTTGAATTCGGACAACGCAAGACGACGAGGATATACATGCTAAACAGCCAGTCTAATCGCCGATTCGGGCGCTGTCAGCTTTGCCTTCATCTTGGCTTTCTCGTGTTCTACTGTATATGCTGGCAGTGCCAAGACATATTGAATCCAGCTAACCCGGACGCAAGTCGGACAAAACGTTTCGGAATTGACTACGAGTGTTCTGCCCACGTGTGCACTTGTCGTACAATCGAGTCTAAATCATCGGGGTTCAATAGTGGCTTCAGCTACGTAAGGGTTGGGGGCTGGGGATGAGGCTGAGCAGACCTCGGACCTTTGTGGGTCGATGAAGCTACATGCAGTTGACAGAGGACTTGGGTCCTGAGCAATGATACTAAAATAAAACTTTGGTGGTATTGTGTCTCATTTACGGGGTGTTGCTAGTATCTGGTGGATCGGGGGCCAAGTGGCGTATATGGCTAAGACAGGTCTAGGAATCTCGGGGGCGTCCGAGAAAGTGATAGTGAAGACTAAGTTATCGATATCCCAATTTGGCGGCCTCCAGTGTGATTTCAATCTTTGTACAACCCCAGCGAGACTCCCTCTCCTTCATGATGTCAAGTATGACGGTTGTTTTCGCAATCAGCATTTATTGACTTGCCATTATAATGATCAGCCTGAACAGCCTCCTTGACCAGCCCCTGAAAATCCTACATCCCTATTCTCCTGGATTTCTCTGTTACTGAAGAGAACCAGGAGAGGATTACAATAATTTTTAACGTTACATTTACTCTTCTCTGTCAGTACGGACTGTCTCAACTTTGAAACTGCTGAACATTTCTACCCAGTGTGACCAACGGACCATTTATAGGTGAGTGCAAAACGCTCTGTGCACAGTATTTAACTTTATAGGAACCGAATTCTTAAGATTATCCAGGACATTTAGTCTAAGCTTTGAATCTGTTTTATTAAACAAGCACACGCTTGTCTGAAGTTTTGAATGTCTAGCATCTTCCGTCGTAATCTCATTGCTCCGTCACCTGAGTGTCTATACAAAACTACGCCCAGTTATTCGGATTTCAAAATGATCGCAATGTCTAATATAAAAGCTTCAGGTGCGAAGTAGTTATGAATTGCATATCTAGACTCGGATTTCGCAACAATAATGAGCCGAGGCACCGGATTCATCGCGGAGAGACTGTTGACCCGTCGGTGTGGGCCCATCAACCAAATCCGTCTCTGTCATGTCGAACTTCATCCCGAAGTCCATGGATTTAGCTGCTATATAACTAAATCAATTCTTTAATTCTAAAACTCACCAGCCATGCTGTCTGTTAACATCTCATCATACACAAGTCCCTTGGGGTACCAGCTATCCGAGCTTCCAAAGCCAGAGCTTCGAGCTACGAAAGATGTGATCATCAAAGTCCACGCAGCCAGTATCAATCCAATAGACGTGAAAAGGGCCGATGGAGCTCTGAAAATGGCACTTCAGGATCCGTGAGCTCCCTCTTATTCTACTCAAACCACGCTAATAATAAACTAGCTTCCCATATAAGATTGGCTATGACTGTGCCGGTATAGTCACAGAAGTTGGATCAGAGGTGACCCGGTGTAAAGTCGGTGATGAAGTCTATACTCGACTTCCAGAGGTATCCCGAGGTAACTATTCAACCATTTATTAGAAAAATATCATACTAACTTTCCATCTAGGTTCATTGAGTGAATTCGTCGCCTGCGCAGAGCAATACATTTCTATCAAACCCCCATCGTTATCTTTCGAGGAAGCAGCTTCCATTCCACTTGCGGGCATGACCGCTCTCCAGGCACTTAGGAGATACAAAGGCGATCTAGCGGGAAAGACGGTTTTCGTACCGGCAGGCCGTATGAAGTCGAACCCCACTCTCCGAGCTCTATACTAACAAAATCCCAGTAAGTGGTACCGGCCTGTTCGCATGCCAACTCGCCAAGCACGTCTTCAAAGCCGGAAAGGTAATCACAACAGTTTCAACTTCAAAAGTCGACAAAGTGAGGGAGCTACTAGGCGAAGGAACTGTCGATGAAAGTAAGTCCTGCATCCACCATTTAAAACCAAATAATCGAAACAAACAACTAATATTTTCAAGTAATCGACTACACAAAATCAGACCCAAGAACCGTTATTGAAGTTGGCTCAGTGGACTTCCTCTTCGATACAACCGGAGCTGCAATGGAACATCTCTGCCTGATGCGAGCACAATCTGGATGCATTGTATCTGTCGCTACTATGCCATCAGGTGACGAATTACAGAATTCAGCATTGATGCAATTACCACATAATCCTCGGCTGCCCATGGCTGTGAAAATGTTTCTTAATGTCATGGACTGTGTGCGGAAGTTACGGGCCAGGCGATATGGAGCGGAATACTCGTATTTGCTTTTGGGGTCGACTGGTCAAGATTTGGATGATTTGCGTGGGTATGTTGAGGATGGAAGGTTGAGGACGGTTGTTGGGAATACTGTGAAGCTTGCGGATATTGAAGCTGTACGGAGTGCTTGTCAGGTTGTTTATAGTGGGAAGGGGGGTCTTGGGAAGACGGTGGTTAAGGTTGTTTGATTCTTCGATTGGGCATTTTTACGTACTGGTGCTACAACGTGAACTTCAGATTTCAAAGGTCAAACAAGAAAAAAAAAAAAAAACTTCCTTGAGTCACGTTGAGTTGGGATGGTTGTTGAAGTGCCTCTACTGCCGATCACACATAAGTTAATCTCCCATAGTGGACCAAGTATAGCTACTTCGTCATCTTGTCGGCTAGGATTGGCAAAATGCAACGTTATTTTGGGAGTACCAGTACTTACGGTGTATGACTCCAACCAATTTGGTACTTGGAGCCCTAGGCATACATGAAACCAATTTGACTCATGAACCCACAGCACATATCTTCGAGACATCCCGTACATATTCGTATTCCAAAATGGCAACAAATCCAATCACAGACCAGCCTTCACAAGCTCAGCCTCTGTCCACTCCCACAAACGCTTCCCCATATCCTCATTAGCCACATATTTATTATGACATTTTAAATTTCCAACAGGAACATAGTATCCACCATTCGACAGATCGGCCTTCTTCGCCCCAGCAGCAGCCCACAACTGATTACAAGCACCCTGAGGAACAGACGAACCAAAGAACCCAAGAGTCTTCGTACCTATCGCCGCATAAGGCGAGCTCTCATTAATCGAGTTGTACAAATCAGTCACGATAATACCCGGATGAACAGAAACAGAAGTAATCGACGGGTATCGACGACCCAACTCAGCAGCGAAAAGAATATTCGCCGCCTTGGACGCTCCATACCGCGCATTGGTATTAACCTTCTTAAGCTTCTCCTGATCCAAAATCGTCTCGAACGAAGGCGCAAGGTTATGACCAATAGAGGAGAGCGAAACAACGCGGACATCCGAGTCTGCTTCCTCGGCTGTCTTAAGCAGAGTCGGCAAAAGCAACTTCGTAAGATGGAAATGCCCGGTATGGTTCGTTCCAAATTGAATTTCATGGCCCATTTCTGTCTCCCCGGGGGGCAGAGCCATGACGCCGGCATTAAGAACTAGGATATCGAGTCGCGAAGACTCGGCGTTGAACTTCGCTGCGGCATTCTTGATCGATCTGCCTGACATCAGGTCCAAAGGAAGCCAGCTGAGTTCGACATCATTTGTGACGGAGGATTTCAGATATTTGATAGCATTCTGCGCTTTTGACTCAGAACGCGCTCCGAGGAAAATTTTCTTCGGGTTGTGCTTGATCAGCTGGAGAATTGTTTCTTTTCCTAGGCCCGCGTTTCCTAAATTGTCCATTGAATTAGCTGCATGGCATATAACAAATCCGATCAATTAGGGTTTAGACATACCGCCCGTCACTAAAATGACCTTCCCTGAGAGATCTGGGATGTCCGTTTCTGGGCTGAAGCTGACTCCACCCACGTAGTTGAGGGGGTTCATAAACGCTGTGACGAAGCCTGCCATTGTGAAATGTGGTTGATTATTTTTAATATCCGATGTTGTCGCATTTCACGATATTTATGGTTTGGATCGGAGTAACATCTCCCCGAGTTGACTTTCATATGGAAGTGGAGTCTGCATAAAGTTTATACAAGGTAGTTCAGAGGTCGATGTTGTTCACTCTGTGGTAGTGATTATTTCGCATTATCTAAATCCTTCACCACTTCCAGTACACCTTGTAACTTACTAAGAGCAAACTTGAGAAGCGGATATTAATTTCTGCTAGATAGCTTTCGTACTACTATATTTGTATATTAAGCTCATTCAGGCAAATCCAGCTTGGCAAGAAGTCGCTTTAGCCTCCACAAAGATATCATTGCATCAATGGTCATCTCGTTGTCAGGTCTGAAAAACAATGCCGTGTGTTGGAACTTCGGATGGGATTCGCGCAGCTTGGCCAGGTCAGACTCCGAGAGAAGACTCGGTAGATCAAACACCGGAATCTGGGATCTGGTCTGTGGGAGAGCAACAGAGTCCAGATATGAGCCATTTGACCCAGGAGAGGCTCCATCAGGCTTTGATCCAAGCAGCAGTAGCCCTCCACATTCCATGCGCTCGAACGGCTCTAGGCGCCCAAGGGCATCTTCCACTGCAGAATCCGAGTATTCATACAAATCGACAGCTCTCCACACGCCATTGAATTTACCAACATGCTTGTACTTGTTAGAGGCAGCATCCAGCTTCTTACAGACATGTCTTCTCATGCTCTGGAGTACGATATCGGGGATATTCGACATCCAGTTGATTTTCTGTTCCTCGCTCGCCTTGATTGGGCCTTGGGGATGCTTCCATCGGAACGGCAACAACCGCAGAACGGCGGGTTTCTTACCACCTTTCTTTGAAAGTGGCACTGACATCAATCGAAGAAGTGGCAAAAGCTCAACGATTCGAAGTAGGAGTTGACGTCCTTGTTGGTTGTTTTGCTGGACCAAAGGGGTTGGTGTGTCGGCAGTTGGGCTCTTGCTCTCGCCAGATACATCCGCGTCCACTTTCTGATCTTCGATATCCTCTGCAGTGGTTACATCTGAAGAGCGTTTGGAGTTTGGGGCTTTGTTGTGCTGCAGCGAGTCTTGTAGTAGACCCACGGGCATGAAATGTAGCTGGTCTGTTTCTTGTTGTCGCACCAGGCCCCATTCTCCAAGAAGGGCAGCCGGAAGTCTCGCTCCTGTTACACCACACATGCGGATCGGAGATGCTAGAGCTACAGCCCATGGATTCTTGCTCAGTTGGTCTGTTTCGTGCGTTGTCGGGCGTCTTTTGCGGTTCTTTTCGGGTCCGGGGCGCGGATGGGTGAGAAGTGGAGATTGAGGAAGGCGCTTAGAAGGTGGTATGCTATTCGGGCTTGCGTTGTTGCTGTCTGTTTTCTCAAGTTCAGGAGCTTCGTCGGCGCTCTTGTTTTGTCGCCGTGGTGTGGTTGAAATGCCTCGGTTGGTTGCGTGAGCAGTCGCGGGGAAACGCGAGCTTGCAAACAACTGCCGTAACGCATGTAGGCGCCATTTCGCATATGGAATGCGCGGGTTAAGACACTCCATTGTGGCTGATGCTGAGTAGAAAGGAGCGGGAGACTGGAAGTTGGAAAAGATGGTCTCGGAGTTGGCGCAGGAACCAATCGGAGGCCCTTATTTGCGGAATAGTCCCTGAGAATGCAGCGATGCAAAACGACCATTGAAATACCTCGCGCTGATCAATTGGCTGCTTCAAATATCACAGACAGCATCAAATAAGCTCTAGGGCCTATATATGCTTCATATTCGGCATTGTACCTCATGGTTGAACCTGAGCTCCTTATCTTAGCGCCGATCGTTATCGCATCAGTTCACCGTCTTCCGACGCGGCATCTCCAACTTGCACACTTCACACTTCAAGATGCCACCAAGAGTCTCTCTCCGGCAGTTAGGACGGGCTGTCCTGTCCCCAGTTCCTCTTGCTAGACCCGTCATCAGCTTGTCGCGATGCTTCTCAAGCCAAGTTCCGTCGTTTGCGGGCCAGCCCCCGCGGAGCTGGACACCGACACCTTTCGTCACTGAGACAGTGGTATGTCTTTCCTTGACTACGACCAACTCAATGAGTATATGCTAATATCTTCAAATAGGGAGGAGGATGGCATACTTGTATGTTGCGCAATCAAATCTATTGACCAGCTTGGATGTCACCCAAAACAACGCTCAGCTAACATGTTTGCGCATCGCAGATGATATCTTCTCTCGACTAATGAAGGTATGGAATACATACACAACCAAAGTACCTACTTCAGTTCCATCATACTTACGATTTTCCTCTTATAGGAGCGTATCATCTGCCTCAACGGCGAAGTCGACGAAACCCTCTCAGCATCCATCGTCGCCCAACTCCTCTTCCTCGAAGCCGACAACCCCTCCAAACCAATCCACCTCTACATCAACTCCCCAGGCGGCTCAGTAACAGCCGGTACGTAACCCCCAGCATCTCCAACACCAAGCAATCCCAACATCCCCACCCCTCATCTACCTCTCATGCCAAACCTACTAACAACCCCAGGCCTAGCAATCTACGACACAATGACCTACATAGCCTCACCAGTAAGCACAATCTGCGTCGGCCAAGCAGCCTCAATGGGCTCCCTCCTCCTCTGCGGCGGCCACCCAGGAAAACGCTACTGCCTCCCCCACTCCTCAATCATGATCCACCAACCCTCAGGCGGTTACTTCGGGCAAGCAACCGACATCGCCATCCACGCCAAGGAGATCCTGCGCGTCCGTCACCAGCTCAATAAGATCTATCAAACTCATCTTACCGGCCAGAATAAGATGTCCCTTGATGAGATTGAGAAGCTTATGGAGCGCGATTACTTTATGGGGGCTAAGGAGGCGCTTAAGTTGGGAATTGTGGATGAGATTCTTGATCGGAGGGTTCAGAAGGGGGCCAATGGGGAGGGGGATAAGCCTCCTACTGCTTAGGCGGTTGGACTTGCGTCTGAGTGATTCTGTGATGGTGCGGGTTTTATGTGTTCATTCTGATTCTTGATTCTTGACTGTCTGTCGGTGTCTCGTGGTTTGTTTTGTAAGATATATCTTATCACGATTGTTTGTTTTTGTATTTTCTCGCTGATTCATCTCATATAGATCTGTATCAGGCTTCAATTGCAGGATGTGCCAGGCACTGGAATGTAAAGATGCAAGCTGTCCACCCATAGACAAATATAGACGACGTTCCCTCGGTAGGCTCTATCATGTTTGGCCCTTTCCACAGAAACTATAAATCGATGGCCTACATGGCGGTACCTTATGTCAAGAGGAGCTATGTTGAACCGTTCTCGCGCAGACTGAGTAGAATTACGTGAAAACATATCGTTGCAGAAGGGTACGCATCATACATTATCTCCCGAGACGACAATCGACTGGTATGAATCTATCTAGAGCTAGAGTACAAAAGAGATACGCCAAGTACATCTACCGATTCACACGTTCAATACGACCATCAGTACCAACCTGCAACCCAAACCGCTGACGCAAGAAAGTCGCCGTCTCGGGAGACGGGACGAGACTCGTTCTTGGCTGAGTTGGCGTATTCGTATGGCGCCATTGATCCCGCAGTGTTCCGAAGAAACTCATTTCAACTATGACAGCCTCACCAGAGGCGTATGTGTCCATAGGATGGCTGCCTCGAGCGCTGATCCCGGATGTTGTGTCGCTGGGATCTGCTAGTAGATTGGTGCGTTCTTCGTCGACTTCTTCGTCGATGCTACTGTGCAATGGTGAATCAGGACTATTGCGGGCTGACGTGGCTATTTCGCCTGTTTCATCCGTTCCATCTGGTCGTAACACGCCGCGTTCTTCGGCATCGTGGTCCTGTGTCTGGGTCCGGGTCTGGGCGTCCCCTGGTTCAGTTCCTGTTTCCGTTCCTGCAACTGTATCTGTACTTGTGTTTGTGTTTGTGGTTGCTGGGCGTGGGGTGGGAGAACCATTAGTCTTAACCCGCTCGATAACCAAAGCCAGCATGACGAAATCGAGTAGGAATATCAGGACATCGAATGATATGAGGCGGTATACAGGCACCGGGGTCTGTCCGATGAAATCGATGAATATGCCTCCATGGAGGTAGCCGCGTGTTTCCTCGCCGGCTTCTGGTCGGATAAAGAATGCATGGAAGATTATGCAGATGAGGTTACTGGCAATGATGGCGCCGACATATGGCTGGTTGCGCGTCGGCTCGAAGGGGGCGGCTTTGGGTGTAAAGAAGATCAATTCCACTATGGCACGTATGGCGAATAATATAATCGAGCAGCTGGACACAAAGCGTGGATGTTAGGAGCTTGTCGCAGCAAAGAGAGGGTGGTCCATGCTAGGCAGGCAAGGCTGGGGTGGGCTGGGGCAAGCTTACTCCATGTAGTACAGCGCGGAGAGCTGACAATAAATTAATATGTCGAGATCGCGTAGTAGCCGGTCAATGAAGGCGGTTTTGGCGGTCGACTGAACTTTCTTTACGCGGGCGTTCTGGCTGCTGAGCGTGCCTGTTGGCCTTGGGGGCTCCGCATCGTCATAGGTAATGCCGGACACGTCAGCGATGTATTCCGCATCCCGATAGGGGTCGACGTCTGTCATAGAGGGTCATGAGGGATTGGACGGTATCCAACAGGCAGTGTGAAGGAGTCGAGGTAGGGACTCCCCGTTGGTGAGCTAGGGTGTTGGAGATGACGGGTGTCAGGCGGAGTTTCCTTGGTCCGAACACGTGCTTTGAGCCATCAAGGTACCTTTTTCTTTCCTTCACTTTTTGATATTTAATTTGTAATTAAATGTTCATGTTGGATTGAGTTACTGTGTATTCTAATGGGTTTGCTATCTACTTTGAAACATCACAGGCTTAATCCACTAGGATGGTCTTCGACAGCTCTGAGTAGTGCTTGAAGAAGCCAGTGAAGAGGCGGATGGCATGTGCGACATCGTGGGTACCGCCGGTTTCACGGATGCTGTGCATGCTCAACTGGGGGTTACCCAAATCTAGGGTTCGTGCGCCCAGGGCGGCAGACAGCATAGGACCAATGGTGCTGCCACAGCTGGAGTCGTTGCGGACAACAAACAGCTGCAGGGGGACATGCTCGCCGGTCTCCTTGGTTGTCTTGCGAGCAATCTCCTCCAAAAGGACAATACCAGGCGAGTTGGTGGCATAGCGGGCGTTGGCGTTAATCTTGATCACCGGGCCCTTGTTGATCTCTGGCTTGTGGTCTGGCTCATACTTGCCTGCGTAGTTAGGGTTGATGGAGTGGGCCATGTCAGCGGAAACAAGGAACGAGGTCGACAGAGTCTGCTCATAGGCAGTCGACAGGTCGGCATCCTTGGAAGAGGATGAAGGGAGGACAGACAGGCGGCGGATGATGGATGGAAGAATGTTCGAGTCCGCACCCTGGGCTGTGCGGCTGCCAATCTCCTCGTGGTCGAAGAGGGCAATGAGACGGATGGCGTCTTCGTTATCGAGAGCAGACTTGTCGGCAACGGAGTCAATCAGACCGACAGTAGCACAGAAGGTGCTGTTCAGGTTGTCCAGACGGGGAGAGAAGATGAACTCGTCCAGCATGCCACCAAGGCAGGACTTGTGAGTGTCGAACAGGATCATCTCGAAGTCCAGAATGTCGGTAGGCTTGACACCGGCCTCGGCAGCAATAAGCTCGACAAAGTAAGGGTGATGACGCTCGGTCACGGCCTTCAGGGGCGAGAATTCGCCATCCTTGTCGGATTCGGGAGCCTTGGTCTCGCCAGTGCGGTTGAGCTCAGCAGCAATTAACCCAGCAATGGGGAACAGCTGGGTCTCCTTGTTGAAAGCAAATGTCTCTTGGCGGTCCAGATGGATGGCCAGAGTCGGGATGCGAAGAACTACGACGTTAGCGAGTATCATACTTTAATTGGGTCTAGACATACTGGGCTTATCAATCTTGACCAGCTTCTGCACGATGGATCCATCGCTGGCGCGGGTCATCACTCGGCCAGCGACACCCAGATCACGATCGAACCCTAGAGAGAATTAGCTGAAAGTCATCATTGAAGTTTTGGCCAACACACAGGTGTGCCAGATGCCTCCGCCGTAGGTCTCAACGCCGACCTGGACGAAGCCTTCCCCGCTCTTCTTGCTCACAGGCTTGACCCGCAACACCGGAGAGTCGGTGTGAGCACCGATCATGGAGATGGAGTTACCCGGCTATATTCACGGTGAGCAACAGAGCCATTGATGTAATTAAATTGATACGTACCTGCCATTTCTTGCCGATCGCGAAAGCCACGAGAGTGGTGGTGTTGCGAGTCAAGTAGTACTTCCCTCCCGGTTGGCAGGTCGACGCCCAGGAGTCTTTCTCCTATTGATGGATAAGACACATATTTCACACCATGTTCAAGATAGACATACCTTGATCTCTTGGAATCCAGCCTTGGCCAGAAGCTCCTTGGCTTCGTGGACGGCATGGAAGGCTAGACAGATCAGCGGCAATTCCACGTCATAGGATGGAAAGCCTTACGGGTAGGGGCGGCATTAACAAAGGACAAAAAGTCCAGGGCAGGTTGCTTAGAAGCCATTGTTGAAGTGGAGTAGCGACGAGAAGTGCCAAGAATGTAAGACAAAGGTCGTCTGAAGACCATAGCAGTGGATATACAAAGAAGTTGAGGTTTTCGCTTGGCGGTGACGGATATCACCACTAAAGCCAACTCTACATCTGAGCCAACGATATTGCAAACAAACAGACTAAATTGTATCAAATCACATTCTAAAACTTAGCGTTAACCCCACAGATGCCCCAACTGACTTCCAGGCGGAATTGATTGGTGATGCCCATCTGGCCCAAGCTTATTCGCGTCGCGTTCTCCCCAGGGCGCGTATTCGTCAAGTTTCGCGTCAGTCCAAGTCCAAACAGATCCCTCACTTCCCCCACTTTCAATGCCCGTTAAACTGCGCGTTTCTGTGGGCGCGTTTCTGTCTTTGTGCAGTAAACAAAGTGCACTCTCGATCATAACAAAGAACCAAGATCAGGAAAACGGGTCGGCAACCAGCATGAAACTGTTAGGAATGTACAGTATCAAACACTTAGGCTCCACTAAGTGATACATGTAGATCTGTCAAAGACGTTCATGTAAAGAAAGCAAAGGCCAGTCAATGTTCTGTCCGAATCGGGTTAGCGCACCCGACGCGTGACCCAGAGTCGCCCTGCGCAACTCCGTCACTCCCTTGGCTCTACACATGCCCTTGTTGCTTGAGACAGGGTGCTTCACGTCTTTCATGCTGAGGCATCTCAATTTGCAATTCCTAGGATCACAACTGACTTACTGGATCGCCATCTGGATCATAACAACACTGCGAGTCGAATCACCGCTCAAATAGCCGCAATCGACTCCCTCGTTTGACCCGTCAAAACCGATTCACTTCCATCGCATGAAATCTTCATTATCGTCTTGATCGGCAGCACTTTGTTTTCTGGGTCTCGCGGAGACAGGCACGGAGATGGCAGACGGAGCTCATAACTCAGAAAAGGCCGGAAATGGGACGGTAGCCAAGGATACGATGCGGTCGCACATCTCAAATATCGTATCACCACCTGGATCGAAGACGCCACCAAGCATGCCGACGAAGCGCACAATGTATTTTCCGGACAACTCGGGGAATCGCCAACGGGCACAAGAGGGCGCAGAGCCGGTCGATCCTAGTGCTCTGGCGAAGGCGCTAAAGGATTATGAAAATGCTGGGAGTCGCAATGAGAGGACACCGACAGCTAGTCCGTGTCGGAAACGGCAGCGTGTTTATGGGGACCGGTATGTCATGCTTAACTTCGCCTGAAACGGATACCTGCGACGGGATTATCAGTGAGATCCTGTGAAGACTGACTTGGATGTAGATTCATTCCAAACCGTGATGGTCAAGACTTACAAGCGACTTACAGTCTGTTGCATGAAGATGGTTGTCCTTCCACTCCATCCAAGTCTAAGAGACGCGCCCCTCACTCGGAGCTACATTTCCAAAAGAGTGCGTTATCGATTGATTCTTGGAACAAGTGCTTTTGACTGACTTTGAGGCAACAGCTGAGGAAGCGAACCGGACATTTTCTCGAGTTTTGCGCAGCGAGCTCTTTGGAAATACAGTCCCACAGCCTGATTTGCATTCAGCATCCCCAGATCCATTGCTTGGCTTCAGCAACGGAATCAACGACAAGACCCGCTCTCATACACCCCCTCATGTCGCCGCCAATCTACCTCCCGCTAGCATCACCCCCACCACTCCACACAAGAACCTCTTCAACTATGGACCCACACGGCCTGGCTCAGGACAACCGACTCCCTCAAAAACACCCCGAAGTATTCATGCTCCCAATCTGAATGTCCGCTCAGAACTCTACAGCCTCTCTCCCATCCGTTACGACAGCCAACGTATTCTTGAGACTCCTCGCAAACAGTCCCGCTACGTCAACAAGGTCCCTTACAAGGTCTTGGATGCCCCCGATCTGCAAGACGACTTCTACTTGAACCTAGTAGACTGGGGAAGCAGCAACGTTCTTGGTGTTGGTTTGGCCAATTCTGTTTACATGTGGAACTCCCAAACTGGTAGAGTCACGCGGCTATGCGAGCTGAAAGATGACACCGTGACCAGCGTAAGCTGGATTCAGAGAGTAAGCAAAAGCCGCTAAAGCTTGCCCATGCATATCATGAAGACTAACATTGAACTTCAGGGCACACATCTTGCAATTGGCACAGGCAAAGGTTTGGTACAAATCTGGGATGCCGAGCACTGCCGTCGGCTACGAACCATGATTGGACATACCAATCGTGTTGGTGCTTTAGCTTGGAATGATCACATCCTCACCTCAGGTTCTCGGGACCGTCTCATCTACCATCGAGATGTCCGCTCTCCTGATCAGTATCTCCGAAAGCTTGCAGGTCACAAGCAAGAGATTTGTGGATTGAAGTGGAACACCGAAGATGGCCAATTGGCATCAGGAGGTAACGACAACAAACTGATGGTCTGGGACAAGTTAAGTGAGACCCCTCTCTACCGGTTCTCGGACCACAATGCCGCAGTCAAGGCGATCGCATGGTCTCCTCACCAACATCACCTTCTCGCGTCCGGTGGCGGTACAGCTGATCGCACGATCAAGTTCTGGAACACCCAAACCGGTTCAATGATCAAAGAAGTCGATACTGGCAGCCAGGTCTGCAACCTTTCTTGGTCCAAAAATTCAGACGAGATCATCAGCACACACGGCTACAGTCAGAACCAAATCGTTATCTGGAAATACCCGCGCATGGAACAAATTGTCTCACTGACCGGCCACACTTTCCGCGTTCTCTATCTGGCTATGAGTCCCGACGGCCAGACAGTCGTTACAGGAGCTGGTGATGAAACGCTCAGGTTCTGGAAAATCTTCGACAGACGGGCTACAAGAGACACTCGTCGCGAAGGCAGCAAACTAGCAGAATGGGGCACCATCCGCTAGTCCCGCCACACCCTATCTCTAATTTGTTCTCTCACTTGCATTCGACAAGGAGTTTTTCGGTTTGCGGTTTTGACTTGATCCCAGGGGGACATCATTGCATGGTATGGTCATGGGGGATTTGAATCTTCATCTTTAACGCGTGAGCATCTATTGCATCTTTTCATCGGTGCGGTTCGGGCGTTTCGGTGAAAGTCCGGCGCTCAATTAAACGGACTACGCACTTTGCGTGTTTTTGTATTATCGTTTTCTTTTTTTTTTCATTGCTTATTCCCTCTTCTCTGTTTCTCTCTGGTTCGCCTCGTCTCTGGCTATTCCTTCAGGGCATCCTTTTTTCCCCAACTGGCTGGGCGGCTGGCTTGAATTTCGGGCGGACCCTTTCATACACTTCTTTTTACTCGTGGCTTTAAGCGGCGGCGCTTGTGGTGTTTCCAATCTGGTTGCCGGTATGCGGCATTGCGTGGCGCGGGGTTTCTCATTGCAATTCTTCTTTTGCTCTTGATGATGACATGACCCCTTCTTTTTCTTTGCGGCGCGGCTTTGAGCCTCGTGCCTCTTTTTCAATTTCATAGAAATCTTTAGCCATACAATCCTGCACTGGATATTTTCTATGCTAGGAATGAAATGAAAATTGCAATTGAATGTGTCTTTCTCTTGGTTCATCAAAGCAAATACTGTATCTTGGTGGGTATATATTGTCATTTCCTTTGTTAAAATTACACGATGAATGACGCTACGGAAGCATGTATGTCAAGGCTAACGAGGTGGTTTAGGTCTGATCTCTCCTCCATGAGAGAGAGATCCTATTTAATGAGAAGCATTTCTCCTGAACTATACTCTACATGGTAGGTCAATGCTGATCATGAGCTTCATGCTTAGCGAAGCAGGCATTTCATGCCTGGAGAAGCCATGAATCTCAACATCCTTCAGTAGCCCGCAACCGTTGAATCGTAGCGACATCATTTTTCCAATGGAACTTGGAACATTGAACAAGCTCGTGAAATTGAGCCACAAGGCAATAATGATCATCTCAATCTATTACGCCGGATTCTGGAGCGCTTGGATTCTATGAAAGAGCGGATATCTGGGCTTGATGCCCGCCCACTCGCCCCAGCTCCTGAAGATTAAGATGACCAAAGGGCTCCATAATTGGGCAAAGTGCAATCAAGTACCATTGGCTCTGGAGAGCCGAGGACTGAACCTGAACGTCCCTGGCGTATCGGATATATGTGGTCAAGCGGTATTTTGCCATAGATTTTGGATCCCTTTCTTTCCCACAGGCCTTTGAGACTGAGTGTAAGTAAACTTAATATCAAATTAACTATAGTACATAGTGTAGACAAAGACCAAGATAGTCTCAGTATGATCCTTATCCTGATATGCACAGGGCGCCTCCAGGGCCATTTGTAACAATGATTCAAGAGAATAGCAATAGCTGAACCCGGATTGTGCGCTCTTGGCGAATCTTTCTTCAACTATTTAGTCCTCCCTGGATTCATGTCAACCTTTTTGCTTTTTATAATTCTGTTTTTCAATCGCTTTTTCGGAATACCCGATGTCGCTTCTCGAAACTCGTGGGTAATGCTCGCGCGATCCTCGCTGCTCAATTTCGCGTACTCGCTTCGGCCTTGTTCCACCAATTGAATATCCATCGTTGATACGTATCTCCGGGCGAACCACTGAGAAACCTCGGCGTCCAAGCCTCCCAAAGGATAGGTGACAATGGCTGATACACCTAGCTCATACTGTAAGTAGATACGATATAAACATAGAGGAGGGCAGAGTTACCAGATAAAGCCTTGAAAATACCCGACAGTATGTCGATTCCAATTCCAGATATTGCGCTCAGCGCACGATGGTGCCGAGCATTAGAAACAAGATCTGTGCCTAGGTTCGACACTCCGTCGTAGGGACCAAAGCACATTTCCTGATACAGTTACTACCACCCGGTGTATGAGTGCGGAGATACCCAGAAGCTCACCTTGCCACCAGCTTTCAGTCCACTGGGGAGATCGTGAACATCATCCAAAGGTCTTACTGTGCGGTCTCCCCACATCTTCGGGGTGTTGTGTAGGCCTTCTGTCAGCGCCACCCCCATGTGGACCGGCGCGCGCACTAGGCTGGCTGAGATTCGGGTCATCCCTTTTAGACAAACGCCAGCTCTCGAATCTCTTAATCGATGCTCGTGTCCAGGGGCCTTCGGCTTGCTTTTGAAGTTCCTAGTTACTGAAGAGCCGATGTCCTCGAAGCCTTGAAGAGCTGAGCCAGCTGAATCAAGCATTGCCAGAGCCATACCAGAGATGGGATCCTGCGGTCCAACATGAATATGGTAACTACAGGGTCGTAGTCTTATAATCTTAGTATAGTGTGTACCCATAACCCAAGGGTGAACTCACAACTCGAGCTTCTCCAAGTCAAGCAAACCTGTGTCTACTAACAACGCGGAAGAAGTTGAACCGAGTCTGATATTGGTCTTCCGAATTCGCCAGGTTGCCGCACTCATCGGAGTCAATGAACACTGTAATAACGACAAATTCAACTGTTTGTAGAATGAACGGATTCCAGCCTCAACACCGTCTTCGTCGTTGACAATGCCCCCCAATAAATGGGACCTTGCTTGCACAGAGCTCGTGAGTGCGGTTTCAATCGCGCCCGCAAGTCTGATGGCCGTGAGATTTTTGAAGGGTATTGGGTCGGGTCCTGCTCCTGCTCTGACAATCATATTGCCCCAAAAGGGTTGATCCCCAAAGAAAGGTACGACGACTGACGGTTTTCCTGCTGCAATCGCTGCTGCCGTGGTGCCGGCTCCTCCGTGGTGCACCACGCATGAAACGCGCTGAAAAATCCAATCATGGGGACAATCCGCTAGCATGTGTATCTCAGGTGGCATATCTAAATCACCTAAGCCGCTCCAGCCCGTTGAAATGATAGCTCTCACACCGGCTAGGTGCACAGCCTCCAGGAGCAGTAATGTGAGCGACTTTGGATCATCAATGACAATCGAGCCAAAACCGATGTAAATTGGCGGACTCCCTGCATTAAGAAATGTCTGTAGGCTTGAAGGAGGAGTGTAATCGGAAGCCAACGGCAAGAAGTAGAAGCCTGACACTGATATACTTGTCCCCCAATCTTCAGGCTTTGGAATTAACGCGGGAGACCTAAAAGTCTCAGTAATATTACTTGTAGGCAGAGGAATGCATACCAACAGTATGTATATGGTATTGCTAATCGGGATACCAAATTTGGACCCGATGATCTGTTAATTTTTGGTAGACCGAGAGTCTTACGTCTGAATGAGTTGATCGTATCGCCCAGCCCTTCCCAGATCAACTCCTCAAGGAGGATATATGAAAGATAATTTGTGATCTTTTTATCAAGTGAAGTGGATTGAATATTGGCCAAAGGATGAGGGAATGCTTGTGTCGGCGACCAGGGCATTCTGGTCATATCAGCAGAATTCTCAGATCACGATAGATAGGCGTACGTAAACATCAGATGGAGCGGGATCCCTAGCTTTTCTGCACAGTGCAAATGTGCAAATGAAGGAGGGTTCGCAATAATGGCGTTGGCAAGAAACGGCGTTACATCTTGGTCGCCTTCGCCTTCGTCCGGCTCGAAACATGATCTCCAGCATCCTTCAAGGATTTCACGTATGTCGTCTTTCTTCTCGCGAACAGCGCCTTCTCGAAGGGCCTTCATGCTGGGAAGAAGACCGGGGTTTTTTACCATATATGCCATCAGTCTCTTTGGATCACCGCCAATGTTGAAAAATTCGAGGCCAACGTCTTGGACAAAGGGACGGAATGTCTCATGTGTTGCGACACGGACACGATGACCTGCCTTTTTTAGAGCTACCCCCAACGCAACAAATGGCTGAATGTCGCCTCGTGAACCAACAACCTGAATGACTATGTTCATATGTGGTGGCTCCACGGTGACATTGCCATCGTCTGGTGTCCCCTGGTCTCTCAACAGGGGTATTTGCTGTGTTACACGCCACACGTGTCGCATGCCAAGATTGACCCGGCCATCCCCTGTCTAGTTAGTAATTTATTTTGACCCGAACGGTGTAGATCATACCTAGGACTTCGACATGATCGGATTCAGAATTAACGGCAAGGCTACTGTTAGATCCCCTTTTCTCCATGCTGTTGGTCGTGAATAGATAGAATTAGCAAGTGGCCTTCACATTATATTGGATTGTCTTCTGACCTTCATCAAGAGCTACCTAAGGCAAAGATTGATCAGCAGCAATCTAATTGCTCATAACAAATAGTTGAGATCCACTGCCATGACGTCATATAAGGCTGGCTGGAACCCCCTCGGAGTGTCTTTTACGTCAAGATGGACCCCCGCATTGCTTCCGGTTGTGCCGGGCTCTATTTGTTTTATCCATATTGGCCCCTGATCGATCTTGCATTGACAGGGTAGTCTGCTATAAGACCCTAAGGCCGCTGTCACCTATTGGTTACATCCTCTATATATTATAAGGTTCGCCTCCACGATAGAGGTAAAATCGGGGCAGAAGGGGTGACAATTATTAAGGTGATAGAACCCCGTATATAGATGTCTACCTAAGCTAGGTGTTAGTACCCACACACGACGGTTCTCTCCACCTCTTCGGCTATCAGCACCGGGCAACGCTCACGTCTTTAAGTCAATGATTAGTAAGACTGCAGCTATCTATATCTAAAGCTTACCGTTGTCTCCGAAGATCTGCAGCTCGTTATGAATGCTGTTAACAAGCTAAGGTAGGCAGACTGGCAGAGAACATTCAGCCATTATGAGGTTTTTAATCGACAAAACCCCTAAGCCTGAGTAGTGATACTGTGCTACGAAGAACTGAACACACATTACTCACGAGCAAAATAAATTATCCTGGTGGACTAGTGTGACCTACTGGGATTGACTGGCTTTATTAGCCGGCGTTACAAGTAGTCCACAGCCATTAGGAATGTACATGTCCCAATCATGCTCAAGTCTCCTATTATTCGTTAAGTACAGTATGTATATCCTCAGGGCACTCTGTTACATGCTACATCAGAAGTGACTAATTTAGCCAATATTTGGGCAGGAAGAAATTTTCGATGGAAGTTGTTGAGCTCTAGAGCACAGAGTCAGATATGGTTACAAACAAGGCCATTTGAGTGTTCGCAAACCTTCTTCGCAGGCAAACTGCATCTGCAGTCGGACCACGAGCGTAAACTTACCAGATTCGTCTTCAAGTGGGAGTGAGACCTGCACCTCATGCTCGCTGTGGCATCGAAAACGTGTCTTAGAATCTACCTAGTCTTCAGCTGAAGATCGTTCTTGTCGAGCACGGGGAACAGACCGCGGTTCATCCCAAGATCCAGGAAGAAGTTAAGTGGCCTGTTAGTCAAACGAATGACCATCGTGAAATCCAAATTCGACCGAACCAATTGTAGAACAAATCAGCCGATTGTTCGTTCAGTGTCCTTCTGAATATTCGAACGGAGAACTTTATCGGCACCAACGCGAGTTTCCGGGAGTCCTCCAAATAGCTGTTGTACGAAAGATCTCTTTTTTATATGGCTCCGTGGCTTGATCAGCCTTGAGTTAATGTCCCTCAGAAGCAGTGTGTTAGCCGGCCGTGGGTTAAATGGAGAATGCACAAGGCTAGGGTTCGATCAGTGGTTAGATTAGAACTAAAGAATATAGACCTACTAACCCTATATATTGGTTAACAGAGTCCACAGAGACCTTGCCACAAGCTAAAACTGTCTCTGCAGCTTTCAATTGGCGTATGAACGATTTTAACTGCCTTAAAAGATCAGACGGGGCATCGACTTCTAGAATCAGGCGAACCGGGCGTTCAGTGGGTAACTGTTCCCCAATGACCTTCGAAGGGTGTTGACGAATGATCAGATTGCCAAATTGTAGCTCACAGGTGCTAGATGCGCTCACTGAGAGGGAAATTAACCGTCGTTAGTGTTTGATAGATTAAATGGGCGGAAAACCGCACCTTGATATCCTAGGCAATTGAAGTCTTTGCAGTATAGACCGAAGGACTGTGTCTACTCACAGTACAGCAGGACCAGCTCGTAACACTACAGTATATACTAATCCTATAAAGTCAAAGAAATTTAAGTAAAAATAATAGCAAAAACATATATCAAAGCAATATATGAAGATAGTATACCATACTTTACACTTAAAGTTGAACCCTAGTATAGGTTAGTTGCCTTGGCAAAGGTGTCATAATTAGTAAGATGCATAGCATAATTCGTATACACGGGAAACATTGAATGTTTTGCGTTCGCAGAAACCCGGAGTTATAATTGCTCCATTTCCGTACACATGGACACCCGTACCTAGGCAAGTACATACAATCCTTGATCACTCTGTACAGTCAGCGGGCCACGATAAGATTCATCTGCTTATCCGGGATTCAGAGCAATGATAGTCCCGGGTTGCTACTAGTACACATCCATGGATATTGTAGGTAATTCATAAGTGTCTATAGAGTATCCACAACTGTCTCACTTTCTCTGTGGCTTTTTATAGGCGGGTTCGGTCCTGCTTGGCGAGGTCTACGGCCTAGTTCTAGGTAGTTTCTGTTTGTCTCTATCTTCCTCCCACTTTATCCGCCATCAAATTCAAACAGAGTATTTGTGCCCTCGCAAATACAACATCGACCCGAAGCGATGGGAGATGAATCGATTGAACCAGAAATTATTGTCTGGCAGGAGCTTCGGGTTCCTAGCGAAGAACCTAGTGACCAATGGAACAGCCATTTTCAACCTATGATTCAAGCTCTAGGTCACGATGAGTCCTCATGGGCAAGGATTCCAGAGCGCCCCGACACTGTGCTTATGGCGACATGTTGGTACTACCCTACAAAACCAAGAAAGACATCCCACTAACTTCCCTCTGATAGTATGGTGCTCTAATTCAGCCCTGAAGGACTTTAGAGATTCCCCATCCGCTCAGCTCTTCTGGGAAGATCTGGGGGCCAAGGGCATAAGCCTTCTGACTTCATATGAATCAATTTACAGTGGGAACTGGTTTCAATGTTTGTGCAGATCATATGTTCAGTTATTCCAGGTTTATTTTCAGGCTCCTATCACCGAGGAACAGGAAGCTCGGACTTATAAAGTGAGAGGCATGTGTCCAGCAGCTCTGGGCCCCTCGGTGCCTAGGAAACACCACATAACAAGACACCTTCCTGAGCCAGTATGTACAACTCAGACAGAGCACTTGAATGGAGCACAAGCTCAGTTGGTGTTGTGGCCACACTTTTGGGCGAATGCTAAGAAGGCTGAGTGGAGGCATACGGAGACTTATATACTATCAGGTAGTGTGGCAATAGGCACACAGACCATCATGGAGAAGTTCATTGGCAATTTGAAGGAACTTGGTGCTATAGAATGGAGAGAAGAGTTTTGTAAGTTCAAAAGAATACCATATCTTTGATTTAGGAAGTACACTTGGGCATTCACCCTCTCGTTTTGCATCGATTCTTCCAAGGTTCTTGGTCTATTTAAGTTCAACCCTGAAATTTAAGACTCTGTAAATACTAGTAGCATGTAGAACCTTGGAATACACTCTCGCACGCGATCCAGCATTCATCACATCCAATTTTATGATGCCTCTTTTCCCCCCTGAGGCTCTTCTGATGCCATCCAAGAAATTATATCTGAACCAGTTCACCTGCGCCATTGTGGAAACTCCATCTCTGATTTGTCTGCTTGCTCCACTGCGTCTGCTGGAAGTACCAATACCCAACGCTGAACCAGAGATAGGTTTCGGGATTCTCACGAATGAGCTGAACATAAGTCAAATCTTGGTCTTCATCTTCGTCCGTGTTTACGTCCCCGTCTTCATCTTCATATGAGTCGGGATCTACCGGGGGTAGTCATCGGGCGTCTGGAGGAATTCCTGCTGCTTGTCCCAAAAATCTTGAATCCATTAGCTGGTTTTTCTGAATGGAAAGGCTTTGGGACTCACAAGTTATGTCGTAGGTACGGGCATTGCCTAGAACCAGATGGAACAGCTCGTGATAAAAGGTTCCACTTCGCGGAACAATCTTTTCAACAGACAGACCCTTCGTAGGCTTCTTTCCTCCGAGTTTGGCAGAAGCAGCTGTGCTTTTGAAGCTAACTGGGCATAAGGTAATCGTACTGGCAGAGACTGTATTATCTTGTGTAGCTGCCAAATGCTCATTTGAAACCGTACAATATGTTTTTTCCCGTAATCCCCGTCGAAAAGGTATTCTCCCAAGTCATCCGACCACCAGGGTATATTGCCATTTGGTTTGTTCTTTGTGACTGGGTTTTTCCAAAGGTATGGCAAGTAATTCTTGACATCTTCGATTGCTATCGGGCTCATAGTTCCATCTTCGGCCATTTCCATGACCAGATTTCTATTAGAATCCCAGACCGCGTCTGTACGCTGTAACTTCTCAAGCCATTTGTCGTTGCAGAAGAGCCATGGAATATTTTTCTTTGAATTTCCATCCAAGAAATTCTTCACTTCTTGAAGATATCCTAGAGATTAGTTAGCTTATCCACATTTGCGAAGAAGGGCGGTAGGCTGAATGTTGACTTTTCACAAGGTTAAAGTTGTCTGTTTCAACTCCAATTTGGGGAAAGTCTCAGACTCCGTTGTCACTTGCGGTTGGAAGCCGAGATCTGAAGATGGTCGAGCTCCTTTGTGCCTTAGGGGCAACTCCTGAAGTGTTGGAAATTTCTGTGATTCGAACCGACCAGACTCACGGCTCTCTATGGTTTACCAGGAATATAAAGATTCTCTCTTTGCTCCTCGAGCTCGGCGCAGACCCAGAAACCTTTGTCGCCGACAAACCAAGAGGTTTCCCCCTTATAAGTGCTGCTTCCGAGGGAGAGGTGGAAGCTATTCGCCTCCTTCTAGATGCTCAAGCTCAACCGGACTTGGTCACTCTGGAGTTTGGGACTGCATTACAAGCTGCTGCCGCACGAGGCCATGAAGTCGTCGTGAGGGTTCTCATCGAGCGTGGTGCAGGTGTCAATACTACCTGGACAACTTCAAATTACGGTCACATAAGGATAGCAGAATGGCTTAGGACCTACACAGCCTCCGATTACCCGATGAGCTTTTGATTAAGGAATAATGATATTCATACGACTCCGATAGCTTTTTCCTTTTCTTTTTCTTTGCCTTTCTTTGAGATCATCTTTTGCATAGATTGTCTACTTTGAAAAAAACAATATTGATATTTCTATCAAATATATTTGCTCTACAAGTAAGTCGTCCCCTTGCGACCAGATGGAGATATCGTATCTCATCCAAAGCATAATTACGAAGGGGGCTTGATTTGACTAGCACATGCCACGACAATTATGATTTCAAATTATTATGGTATTATAAACTGATCATGGGGATTATACTCGGACTTGGGCCTATTGGCAATACAGGGGCTTCAAGAGAGAACCTCGACAGCCGTAATCTTCGAAAGCCAGGGTACTTATCTTTCTTCTTTCTCTGGTCTCCGTACCACTGTATAATCATAAAATCCACACTTAGCATCAGAGTTCGAAAGGGTCAGATTCGATGGTGTCAAAAGTTGGAACCACCAGGAATCCCGGAAAGCGAATTGGCCTTTTATAGCATAGCTATTGTTTTATGCCCTCCCCCTTCGCTTAACAATGCCGAGCGGGAAAGGCGATCGGACAGAGTCAGGCATCAGAAAACAGTATCTATTAGTCTAGATTAGCAAAGAAAAGGATAGATCAAATTCCGTCTATACTACACTCGTACCATCTTTTGCACACTAATCTCATCGCGCGTCTCTATCAACATGCGACGTGTATGAGAGAAGTCTCCTTTGGACAGGCATAGTCCTGTATTTTCACTACTGCACACTGCCCTCTCCTTGGGCCTGTCCCATCATTGTCTTCCTGTGATGGAGATAATTTATTGATCACCAATCGACCTATACGACACATGGACTTTCGTAACGGCTCGTCGACAGATGGACCTCTCTACAGAATCCATTTGTTTCTGTTAGTTGCCCATATATAAACTTATGAAAACAGAACGTAGCCATATAAGGATCATGAACACTAACTAGCTGGAATGCGATAGTCGACAAGACCATCCTCGATAAGGCGCTCGTTGTATCCAGTATATTCACTTTCTGATATCCACAGAAGACTGACAGACTGTTCTCGATCTAAGTAGCCGGATTAGATGTAGGTAACCTTTCTTTCTTCCATTGAGAATCTCTTTTTCTGGTCAAAAGTGAAACTTACCAGTCGGAGTAGACCCCCTGCGTTCTTGAAAATGAATCCAGAGTAGCACAAGCGATGGTGGGCCGGTAATCAGTAAAGTCATGAGTGCGATGATTGCCTCCAGTGACCACCCCATTCTTCTGATCATGAAAGGAGCTTCTGACACGAAAAATATTCTTTTCGGGATAAGGGAAGTCTTTCATCATCTTATAGTTGATCCCAGGAAAACATTCTGATGTATAAAGACATATATCGATTTTTGGTAAAGAAGCGATGCGTCTGTCGACTCAACAAGCGACTCTCCTGTCGACTCAGCAGGGTACGAATTGTGGTAAGGGCCAATCATATGGAGTAAACCAACTGCTTGACCACTGTTCATTGGATGGTTCCATTTCTATTTTGCAGTCTGGTCCCCACCAATAAGAACAGGGGTTGCATCTAGACCCGCCTTCTTTGAACTAACCAATCTGTATCGAACTGTTGTGGCCCAGCACCCGAGTTGTATGGCGATTTCCGATCCGTCAAGAGGACATTCATATACCCCGGTGTCATTGTTAACCCCCCTATCATTATTACTTATTGTGCGTATATCAACCATAAACTTCCGGTCTTGTCTCTATCGGCCAACACGGTTCCCATGCTTCTACTCAGTGAGCTAGAGCTGGAACGCCTAAAAATGACACTAGCACAGGTAGAAAAAACACTGACAGACATTATCCTGTATACATAGGCACGTGTAGCCAAGTAATGTAAATCCAAGTCAATATCCGATTAACTATGCTACACTGAATACATTCATGGATGAGCCCTGGCCCATTTTTAGGGGCCCAGATGACGAACAACAAACGAAAAAGCTCGAAAAGGGGGGATTTAAATAATAAACACAAATCTATAGAACCAAGCGGGCAGGCTCCACTGAGAGAAGAGACTTGATGCGCTCCAAGAATGCCTTGGCGCGCACCTCCTCACCAGCCGGAACGGTCAGGCTGAAGACATTGGCAGCAGCCTCGGTCAAACGCTCAACGGGAGCTGAGGGGGCGGACTTCTTAACAGAATTAGCGCTGAGGAAGTCAATCAGATCCTCCTCGACAGGCTTGGGCTGGGAGAGAGTCTTGGGAGCCTCGAAGGCATTCAGCTCGGGGATGTAGTCACCGCGAGAGGTGTTGATAGGCTCAGCACCGAGAAGTTCATCGAAGAGCTCATCAGCGGAGCGGTTGGAGCCAACGCGGGGGAGTTCGTCGTTGGCGAGGTCGGTGGCCGCGGCAAGGAAGCGGGACAGAGGGACTGTGACGCCCAGGTTGTCCTGGATCTTCTTCTGGGCGGAGAGCACGGCTGCTAGGGAGATGGAGATAGCGACTGAAGCCATGGGAGGGGACGCGGCGACGACTTCCTTCTCTACTGGGGCTGGCGCGGCTGGTGCAGGGGCCGGGGCGATCTTGATGTTGCTCAGGTCGAGGTGGGCGAGCTTGGCCAGGGTTGCGGCCTGAGTTGATGGGTAGTCCGACGCGATCTGCCCGAGGTAGGCGAGGACATCACCCTTGAGAAGACGGCCCTTGGGTCCGGATGCTGGGATCTTGGAGACATCGTCCTTGGAGATGCCCTTTTCACGGAGTAGCTGGGCGACCGAGGGGTAGAGCGGATAGGCGGGGTTCTGGGTTGTGGGAGCGGTAGATTGGAAGCCTAGAGACGGTAATTAGTTCGGATTGGTCTCATGTATTGTATAGCAAGCAGTCCGGTCAAAGAATCCAGCCCAATGGAGAGCGGCTTTCTTTCGCGGAAAGAAGCTATTGCTTCTGTGCACGGGAAACTCACGCTTGCTGATACCGAAAACCTTGGGCTGACGACGAGCAAACATGGCCGGAACTTGGCCGACTGTGATCCGGGCTGCCATTGTGTATAAAAGGAACCTGGAGGGGTTTGGAAGTTTGGTGGAGGTGTTGCGGATGGAGATCTTCAACCGGTGTCGCAACTCGCCGCGGAAGCTTTCGAAACGAGCAGGATCAACCAAGAGCCCACCACCACGGAGAGGCGCGCAAAGTCCGGAGGTTTCAATTTGTTCGAGTTTGAGAGTCTGGTCACGAAAGCGATTGCAGGCCGGAGGTGTTGAGGGTGTTGGGAGCTTCACCGGCGGCCGGGACGGGAACATTTTTCTGCCGCTGCGGCTGCTTTCGACGTGTCGGGGCTTTCCGAGGAGAACAACGGTCAATTGATTCTTGTCTTGGTAAGTTCGTTGATTTTGTCACTGCATTGGCGCACTGCGCTCCTACACGTTGTGTTGCTGTCATGGCTTTATTGACGTTATGCATAGGCCCAACACAGTGATGTCGGTCAGACCACCTACCTTCCGCGTACTATGGCACCAGTGCTTTGGACAGCCAGCACGGCCGGGCTTACAAACGAAATCGGGCTCAGCATGGCGTTACTTCAATGCAAGTGCGCCTCATTCGGCCAAAGGGGTCCGCAGAACCGTTGATTCCCCGTGGACATCCACCGGACACAGCTCCGGGGGTAACAGAGACCCTCGCGCCCTAGCAAAGCTGGAAGCGAAGGTATTACACAAAGGGGAGATGGTCTTGTTCCAGGCTCCTTCCCATCGCACATATAAACTGACCGCGTACGGGTTGGCCGGGTTCTGTTTCGCCTATTCGCTCTACAACTCGAACGAGGTCTTCCGGGATCCTCTGGTTCCTCGTCCGTACTGGCAGAAGGCTCTGTTCGGCGGTATCTGTGTTGTGATGAGTGTCATGGGTACTGTGTTCATCGCCCGGACAGGCTCTCTGGTCAAAAGCATCAAAGCGGTCAAATCCAATGGCCAGATGCGCGTGCTCTTCACAGTTCAAAGCATGGCACCTTTCAAAAAGCCCTATCGGGTTGAGGTGAGCCCTGGTGAGATTTTCTTTAAGCGCCAGATCACCGTCTCTCCGGAAGCTGCTCAGCGGTTTGAGATGGAAAAAGTGAGACTTGGCCGTGGGATTCAAGAAGAAATCAAGTTCTTCAAGTCCCCGGCAAAGAAGCTGAGCTACATGGGCTGGCAGATCTTTCAGTCCCTGCGCCAGGTCTTCACGAACGAGGACTTTATTGTCGTACAGGTTGCTGGCCGCAAGACCCAGTTCCGTGTCGACTCCAATGGCTATGTCTCGGATGAGCTCTTGAACTTTGGCCGTATCGTGAACATGAAGATGCCATTGCAGCGTTGATCTAATTGTTGGATGTCTGCCTTGAAGCGATACCAAGGCCATCAGCACAGCTTTGATATCCCTTTTTGTACACCATTTTGGCCCTTTCTGATGGGCAACAGCGCAGCATTTGTACCACTATCAAACATATATAAAATAGATTTACCATAAATGTATTGCTCAAGACCTATAGTCACATATTGTGTTAGTTGGGTTGTACTAGAGTTGTCGCAAATCAAGTTGTGATCCACGTGATGCTCCGGCGCGTCGATGGACGCGGTCTCCCCGTTATCGCGCCCCTCCCAACCAACTTTGCCCACACGTCAATCTCCCGCACTAACAGTTGCAGAGCTCTGCTTGAATTCCTCACTGCGTGGCTCCCTCAGGGAAGCGGCCGGCAAGATGGGAAAACTCATTCGCTTGGAGCTTTTCAGTACGTAACACCGAAAGTGCGCCGCGAGCATGAGCTAACTTTGTCAGACTTCAAGTCCTACAAGGGACACCATGTGCTCCTATTCGGAGATGCATATTTCACGTCAATTATCGGACCGAACGGGTCTGGCAAGTCGAATTCGTGAGTATTTCTCGGCCTTATTTGGAGAAACGTGTGCTGACACGCAATAGGATGGATGCCATCTCGTTCGTTCTAGGAATCAAGTCGTCCCATTTGCGATCGACCAACCTCCGCGATCTCGTCTACCGTGGTCGTGTCCTGCGCACATCCAAAGTCGATGGAGAGCCTGCCGCTGACGGCGAGGATGGCGAGCAAGAGGAGGACCAGGACAATATGGATTCCACCCAGAATACTGGGGTCAATGATCCGAAGACCGCTTGGGTTATGGCAGTCTATGAAGACGATGCGGGCGAGGAGCAGCATTGGCGCCGATCTATCACCAGCCAAGGTGTCAGCGAATATCGCATCAACACCCGAATCGTATCCGCCCAGCAATACAACGAGGCTCTCGAGGAGGAGAACATCTTGATCAAGGCGCGCAACTTCCTTGTGTTCCAGGGTGATGTTGAGGCCATTGCGTCTCAGTCTCCTCGCGATCTTACGCGGTTGATTGAGCAGATCTCTGGCAGTCTGGAGCACAAGGCTGACTACGAGAAGTTCAAGGCCGAGGCGGAGGAAGCCGCAGAGCAGCAAACCGTTCAGCTCAATCGTCGGCGAGGCATCAACTCCGAGGTTAAACAGTACCAGGAGCAGAAGCGAGAAGCTGAAAACTACGCCAAAAAGGCCGAAGAACGTGACCAGGCTATTATCACTCATATCCTATGGAAGCTATTCCACTTCCAGCGCTTGATTGACGATTCTAGCGCTGATATCCAGAAATACCAGGATGAGCTTAAGGAATACCGCCGCGGTGTCGAGAAGTACGAAAAGAACGTTGAAGACGCCAAAAAGGATCATGCTCGAGTTGGTAGGGACGTCGGAAAGGCCGAGAAGAACATCACCAAGAAGGAGCATGAAATTGAAGAGCTCAACAACTCGCTCGTTCCTGTTGACGAGAAAATCGACATCACTCAGAAGAAGGTCGAAAGATACGCTTCGAAGATTGAGGAAATTGGCAAGGAACGCACATCCCAATCCAACAACCGCAAGCACCTCGAGAAGGATCTCAAACTTGTTGAAAAGGCCCAGGCTCAATGGGAAGCCGAGTGGCAGAAGACAATGAGCAAGAAGGGCGGCCAATTGAGCGAAGCCGATCAACAGGAGTACCACAAGCTCAGAGAAGAGGTCAATCGACGTTCATCTGCGGATTCTTTGAACCTTGACAACCTCCGCCGCCAGAGAAAGACGGAAGCTGAAGCTGTCAACAGTTTGAAGGGCAAGTTTGAAAACACCGAGTGGCAGCTGAAGTCTTTTGAATCCGAGGCGCAGAACATGGGCGAGCGCAAATCTTCGCTCAATGACACAATCACAACGACCTCCAAGGACATCGACCGCAAGAAGAAGGAGCTGAATACATTGACCTCAGAACGTTTGAAGGTCTCGCAAATGCGCACCGAGCTGGAGGAAAAGCTCCAGGTCGTATTGAGGAAACTGCTTGAAGCCGACGATGGCAAGAAGCAGACCGAGCGCGAGGTCCGCGCCAAGGAATTGATTTCGACCCTGAAGCGCATTTTCCCCGGTGTCAAAGGCCGCGTTAGCGACCTCTGCCGACCAAAGCAGAAAAAATACTCCGATGCGGTCAGCACTGTGCTGGGTCGACACTTTGACGCCATCGTCGTTGACAACGAGAAGACCGCCAAAGAGTGCATTCAACATCTGCGTGACCAACGCGCAGGACAGGCTACTTTCATCCCACTCGAGACTATTCAAGTCAAGGCGTTCAACTCCAACCTGAAGGGCATGCACCGGGGTATGCGTCCTGCGATTGAGACTGTCGACTACGACGAATCAGTTTCCCGAGCGATTATTTATGCCTGCGGAAATTCTATTGTATGCGATGACCTGGCCACGGCCAAGTATCTCTGCTACGAAAAGAATGTCGATGCCAAGGCGGTCACCCTGGATGGTACCGTCATTCACAAGGGTGGTCTCATGACTGGTGGACGTGGTCTTCAGCAAAACTCCAAGCGCTGGGAAGATTCCGAGGTTGAAAACCTGTATAAGCTGAAGGAAAAATTAATGAGCGATCTCGGAAACCTCCCCAAGAGTCACCGTCGGGGCTCCGAGGAGGAAAATCTGCAGGGAGAGCTTGTCGGCCTTGAGCAGCGTCTTTCTTACTCGCGTGAGGAATTAAAGGGCCTTGAAAGGAACCTTCAGAGCAAGCGCAGCCAGCTGGACTTCACCAAGCAACAAATGGAGGACCTGCGCCCTAAGTACACCGAGCGGAAGGAGAACCTTGACGAGCTGGATAAAATTATCGAGGCATCCCAGGCTGCTGTCAGCACAGTGGAGGATGAGGTCTACCGCAGCTTCTGCAAGCGTCTAGGATACGATGATATCCGGGAATACGAAGCCCAACAGGGCTCCCTGCAAGAAGAAGCTGCGCAGAAGAAGTTGGAATTCACCACACAGAAGAGTCGTATTGAGAACCAGCTCAGCTTCGAGAAGCAGCGTATCCAGGCAACTGAGGACCGAATCAATGGTCTCAAGGCCCAGTACGAGCGTGACAAGAGCCTGATTGAAGAACTTCAAATCCAGCAGGAGGAGATTCGTAACCAGCTTGATGAGTTCAATGCCGAACTTGAACTCCTCCGGGAGGCTCTCGAGGAGCAGAAGAATATCTATGCGCAATCCGCAGAGAAATTAACTGAGCAGAGGCGCGAACTCCAAAAGCGCAGCAAGCACGTTGAGGCGGCATTAAAGAATGTTAACGCACTCGAAGCGGAGATCCAGAAGAACTCATCTAGTCGTTATGCTCTTCTGCGGCGCTGCAAACTTGAGGATATTGATATTCCTTTGACCGACTCTTCAAGCGCCCTGGATAAGCTTCCTATCGATGACCTTGTGCAAGCCGCGGATCCCGATGCCATGGATGTGGATGAGGCTGATGGGCTGGACGATGCTCCTGTGGTTCACGATTATGGCATTGAGGTTGACTTCGAATCTCTTGGAGAGAGTCTCAAGGAGGTATGCACAGATCATAACCACGTTTAATTTCAAATTCTAACTGTTCTATAGGAGGCCGATGACAAGCTCGAGGATGAACTACTCGAGAAGGTCCGTGTTCTTAACAGTGAGCTTGACAAGATGGCACCCAATGCCCGTGCTATGGAACGTCTTGAGAGTGTCGAGAACAAGCTTCGAAGCACCGAAAAAGACTTTGAAGATGCCCGGAAGTCTGCACGAAAGGCCAAGGATGAGTTCGAGGCTGTGATGAAGCAGCGTTCCGACCTGTTCAACAAGGCCTTTGCTCACATTTCTGAACAAATTGGCCCGATCTATCGAGAACTCACACGCAGTGCCAACTACCCGCTAGGTGGACAAGCGTAAGTTTTCCCCGGCCTTAGTTTTGTATCTCTATTAACAATTTACAGTTACCTGGATATTGAGGACTCTGATGAGCCCTACCTTGACGGCATCAAATACCACGCCATGCCTCCGCTCAAACGTTTCCGAGACATGGAGCACCTTTCCGGTGGTGAAAAGACCATGGCCGCGCTCGCTCTGCTCTTCGCTATCCACTCGTACCAGCCTTCGCCCTTCTTCGTACTAGACGAGGTTGACGCAGCTCTCGACAACACCAACGTTGCCCGCATTGCCAACTATATCCATGACCACGCTGCACCTGGCATGCAGTTCATCGTGATCAGTCTGAAGACAGGTCTATTCCAGAACAGTGAGGCGCTCGTCGGTATCTACAGGGATCAGGTTGAGAACAGCAGCAAATCGTTGACACTTGATGTGAGTTTCTTTCCTTTGCACATATCCTTCCGTATATTCCACCATACTGACAAGTATTTTTCACAGCTTCGAAAGTACACCTAAGTCTTCTAGATGGGACATATGCGGACTATAGTGATAACCCTTTGCTTTGATATTTCTTTCTTCGTTTGTAGATTATTAAGTCTAGCTGGGGTGTTACCCTGTTTTTACCGGAGTCACTTGCTGAAAATTCGGAATTATCTTGCCTGGCATTTCTTTTTATCCACGAGGCAGTTAATTGATACCAGTTCCGTATTTTTCTTTCTGTTCCCATCAATTCCTTGCCCGTAGTCTATCTCCACGGTTCGTTGCTTACCGGCCACTTCGTATCAACCCATAGCTCCTGTGGTGCTGATGATATCAGTAGATCTTTGTATAAAAACCCGGGCGTGCTCCATAACCGTCGTTCCATCAACTATTTGGTATTCTGTTCTACCTCAATGGATATTTACATGTCTAAATGATATCTTGACTAAAGCAGAGATGCCATGGACTGCATTCGATTATGTTCGGTTAGAAACTCCCATAACCCAAAGAATCACCCCTTTGCAACGTCGCAGGATCCCAGGGGCATCATAAAGAACCATGACCACTTGCAGATTGAAAGCCAGAGGCTTTCCTCTCTCCCTGTGTCCCGCAAAACCCGAAAGCAACTGTCCCCGCATGAACGGTGTCGAAGCCCAAGACCCGACCTTTTTTTGGTGTTTGTTGTTTTCTCATTGTTGTAAGGCGCACTCATTAGGGAAAAAAGAAAAAGAAATATTCACGGCAGATTTGATGCATGAGCATGGTAAGACACTCATGAAGTTTGTATGAATGCGATCCTTAGATCAAACTGGGAGCTGGAGCGGCACGACCATTGGCCTTGTTTTCGGCACCAACGTTCAAGTCCGCAAAGGTCATGAGATCAACGGAAGGGGCTAGAGTCGCAGCAGCCTGAACCTTGGGCTTGGTGTTGGTCTTGATAGCGGGACTAACGGCAGGCTTGACAGCGGGCTTGGAAGTGGGCTGGACCTTGGGCTGGGTGCTGGTCTTTTCGGCGAGACTAGGCATCGGCCTGAGTGTGCCAATCTTAGCAGTGGCATACGCAGCAAGATTAAAAGCGGGAGCACCGGGCTTAAACGCGGTAGCAGCACGCTTGACAACGCGCTGGACGGTAGGCTGAAGAGTGTGCTGGACATTGGGCAAGACCTTTGGCTGGGTGTTGGTATTCACAGCCGGAGCGGGAATAATAGAAGGCATGAAGGCGGGATAGACGGTGGACAGGGCGGTGGGCTTGACATCAGCAGAAGCACCGTCCATAGGCTGGACCTCAACCGCGGCCTTCTCACCCTCAGGCTCGACCCCAGGAGTCTTGCCATCAACATGCTTGCCCTCAGCGGTATTAATCTCCAAAGCCTTAGCCTGAAGCTGCAAGAAAGCATCACTGAGAGGCTTGGGGTGCTGCTCGGGAATCTGGAAGAGAACACTGTTCACCTGGCGGCAGTTGTCGCGGATGTGCAGGGTATCAGTCTTCTTTCCGTCAACCTTGAAATCACAAACGAGGAGTCGAGCACCAGCAGGCTGGTCACGGTGGTATTCATAGAGCCTCATGGTCATCCCCTGGAAGAGGACGGCCCAGCAACGCTCATTGGGAAGAGGAGCTACCGCGAGAGGAGTGATGGGCAAATCCCAGTCCTCAGAGACGTTCTCAGCGGTAGAGATGACCTTGATGATGGCGTGGAGAATCTTCTTGCGACCATCCAGCTGCATGGCAAAGTAGTAGGAGCCGTCACCGGTAGGGTCAGGCTTGTAATTCATCGCCCACTTGGCTTCCGAGTCAAAAGCGTAAACCAGCAAGGCAGACACCATGACCTCCATGGTTTCGTGGGTGGGATTCTGCTCGAACTCCGAGATGAACTTCTCCATATGAAGGTTCGAGAGGTAAGTCTGTGCCATCTTTGCTGTGACACTGATGGATGACGTGAGGGCTTGATGGGTAGGAGAGTGAGTGATGAAACCGGAAGGTGATGGATGGACGCAAGAAGGAGATAAGTGGTCAAAGGAAGTAGGAAGAAGTGAAAGAAGGTCAGCTGCTCTTACATCTGCAAAAAGCAGAGCAAGTGAGCCAAAGGACTGAATGGGCTATCGAGCTTACCGAAATGCTTCGTTCAAGATGCGACGCAGACAAAAGGGTTAGTCAAAGGGTTGAAGCGTGTTGAAGGAAGAAAAGTGATGCTTGGGAAGGCAAGCAGTTGAAATACGAAAATGGCAAATGCCGTTTGCTATGGGTGGGCAAAGTGATGAGAGCAGGTGAGATGAGCGATAACGTTAATCGTAAGATGCTTGATAGAATTCTCTCTGATCATGGTTGACCTTGGGGTCACTTAATTAACACGGGGCATAGATTAAAGTAAAGAATAACTACAGTCAGGAGATCTGTAGAAAATAATTAGATATCCCCGTTGTTCACGATCTGATCTCCGGACTATATAGATCGACAGATCTGGGATAGGGCTGCCGAGAACAACGCTAGGGATGCGTCAAGCACATATTCATCTCGACACAAATAATCTGAGTGCTTTTATCAGCACCGATGCAAGAGCAACATCTGATTGTAGGAATGTGAAACTACGATATTGCATGCTCCAGTCCACGGATGTTCATCTCGGGGTCTTGGGCGCTTCTTCCTGTACGCGTCTACTTATATAACCCTCAAAACCCTAGTATTTTGAAATGGCAAGTAATTTCCTTATATGCGACGATCACATCCATAAATGACGTTCAATTGCCGACTCCCTGACGCTGCCAGTGCAACGATCGGCTCTCCACAACTTCAGATGCAACCCCCGCATTGACAATCCGGAGAAATTATCATATAACCGAGACTTAGGTAGATTATACTCCAATCGCCTGTCTTGAAGTCGGCATGTCCCGCCTCAAACATTATGCCTGGCGCCAAGCGGCAATTGAAGAACCAAATTCAATACCCTTCTGACGGTTGAGGGTATACATATATATATCCCTCAAAACACCATCTTTTTTTTGGTTTAGAGGAAGTTCAAGAGAAAACTTGTTTACAGGATAGGATACGCTTTGCATTGTCGGTATATCATCTATACCACAGGGCTATGTTTCTTGATCTACTTTTAGGAGCCACCATTGTGGCGGCAGTGCGCACAAATGTTGAGCGAGATGCTTCACCCGCTATTGCTGTTAGTGGACGAGTTCCCCAAACCGCTGGAGCTGCCATCTTGAATCCATTTGTATCATTCTCGATCGAATTCTCTTCTTTCCCCGATTTCGCTGGCAACTCTTCCCTGCCGAACAAGTTCTCAAAGAGCCTGCTCGACAATCTTGGTAAGCTCCAAGGTGGAAAGCCACATATTCGCGTTGGTGGAAACACTCAGTATGAGATCCGAGACATAGATATTGCCATTGTTAACATTATCGCAGGGACCTTGCCTTGTACGATCCGGATCTAAAGACAGGAATCCAAGGAACATATGTCCCTGCTGTGTCTGAAGATTATCCATCTATCATCTCATATGGACCCTCATACTTCGAGTCATACTCGACTTGGCCCGGCGTCAAATTTAGTCACGGCTTCAATATGGGTAAGAATGGCACTGCGGGCATGGATAATCTCATTGCCACCGTTCCACTGGCATGCAAAGCACTTAAAAACGGAAAACTGGCATACTGGGAGATCGGAAACGAGCCAGATCTTTTCAGGACAACCAGACCGAACAGTGTACGACCTACGAGTTGGACTGAGAGTGACTATGTGACAGAATGGTTGGCCAAGGCACAAGTAATCAAGCGTCAGCTCAAGAAGAGTTGCCCTGAAATGGCGACGGATGCCGAGTACAAGTATCTTGCGCCGTCATTTGCAGGTATAAAAAACAGTCTGGACCCGCTCAAGACCTGGCAAAGCGGGCTTGATACGGACCACAATGTTGGTTTGAACTCCATGCACAAGTATGAACACACCTCCCTAATCATGTAGAGTGTGAATTTCTCTTATATGGACATCTAACAATCATCTAGCTACATCGGCGGTGCAGACCAACCAGGTGTCACCCTTCGCCACACCCTTATGAACCATACTTCAACCGCACACAGCGTCGACCAACATGCCAAGCTTTCCCAAGTGCTCAACACACAAGGCCTGACCAAGGGTATTCCCTACATTCTTGGCGAGACAAATTCACTTTACCATCAAGGCAAACCAGGACTATCAAACTCATTCGGTGCCGCACTCTGGGTTGTGGACTTCAATCTCTATTGCGCATCACAAAGCATCCAGCGAACACATATGCACCAGGGCACCGACTACCGCTACGCATCCTGGCAGCCTGTCCAAACTAACAAGACAACCATTGGAACCAAGGCACCCTACTACGGTAACGCAATGGTCGCCGCAATGCTAAAGAGCAACAAGGAGAGCGACGATGTACAGGTTGTCAATCTCCCCTTATCGGAAGAGACAGAGGCTGCTTACGCGGCATATGTGAACGGTCATCTGGCCAGGATTGCCGTGGTCAATCTGCAAGAATACAACTACACAACCTCGGACTCGGATTCGCTATCGGATTCGCCTTCAGATTCGACGCAGCGTCCCGTGGCAAAGTACTCGTTCCAGATCCCTGCAACCTTGGCAAAATCGTTATCCGTCCAAAGGCTTATGGCAAATGGCAGCGATGCCATTACAGGTATCACCTGGGACGGCTGGTCATATAACTATGAACTCCAGGGCGGGAAGCCTGTGCGGCAGTCCAATGTCACGATTGGTGAATCGCTGTCTGTGAGCAAGGAAGGGATGATTGATATTGAGGTACCTTATTCTAGTGGTGCGATGATCAATCTTTAGGTTCCAACAAGGGATCTGTCCTAGCGGAGACAAACCCCAAGCGAGTCAGAATAGCTCCACTTGTGCCTAGGCTTGACTCAGCCTGTCTTACATACGTTCACAGATCAGAAGTACGATTGAGTTCTATATTTGGGATTGGTTCCTTATCTCCATATACAACGTCCCAGAGCAAGATCGGGATCTGATATTAAAGGACTATCCTTGAAAGTGGCGATGTTTGAGCTAGCGCCTCATCAAGAGAGCAACTACGGCCGAGGGTAGTGAGAACGAGGCATCCGGAAGCCTACAATGGATTAAAGTATCTAGTACCCTGTCCCTGGATGACTTTTAAAATCCAACCTTACTGTAGTTACGGTGAGGAAGACAACATCGCCATGTCATTCCATGTCCAGGTACTCCATAATCACCGCTACCATCCGCGGACTCCGGACGTCACTCAAATCAACACCATCAAACTCACAAGCCTGAGAGCTTTGACACCAAATTCCTAGTTAGAGGTCAGAGTTCCAAACATGCACGCCTCCTGCACTGCTATCCTGGTGCTAGGATCCCACCATATGCATCAAGCTTGCAAAGGTAACGGAATGTCAGAAACCGGGGTCCGGAAGGCCCCATCCGCGGTCAAGCACATAGTGCAGTCCCTAATTGACAAGAAAACGGGGACTTCGGTGCTTCGGTCCTTCGAAGAAAGTCATCCCTGACAGATAGGCGGGATGCGCAGATGTGCAGTGCAACAGTACATATATGGTAACAGTAGACAATAACAGGCACTGATTCGTTACTGCAGACCTAAAGCTGGGGCATTTGCGTCTCCAGATCCCGCTGTTCATCAACTCACCTGTTGGGTGCCCAAGTGTTGTGCTCCACCCCGCACTTCAACGCAAGGGACGCATGGCTTTTCTTGCGCCACTTACTACAGTGCGATTTTTGTTCCCTGTTTTTTGCTGCTTTTTTGGCTTACAAAGTTCGAGGCCAATGCAGCTCAGACAATAGTACGGATTGCACATAATGGTGTTGCTTTGCTTCACAGCAATGTACTGCAATGCAGGCTGTGCTATTGACTGCGTGGAACTTATGTTGCTTTTTTTCCTGTTTTGTTTTGTTTTTGTTTTTGCTTTTGCTGTTTCCTCTTCTGATATTTGTCTGTTTTGCCTTGCCCAAAAATGAGGCTGCCTGATGGGGAGAAGTGAATACGGACTACCCAATAGTTCTGTAGATGTCAGAAGACACAGGCAACAAGCCGTCAGGCTGACCGGTAAAACGTCTAAACGCCATATTTTCGGCCCCCTAATTCAGGAGAGTATAGTGCGCACTCGACTCTTGTTCTTACTCGTGTTATCTCACCTCTTGACTATTCAAAGCGGGGCTACCATGGGTATGTCGCGATAGTATGTGCCCTTGAGTTATCAAATCATAAGAATCGGTTAAATTTTCCGTGTTTGTGTGGGCCAGTGCAGATGGCAATAGTGGGTGCGTGATAGGAAACAAAGAAGCAAAAACTACAGTATAATGTAAAGAGACGGTGGAGAATACAACAATCAATGACTAAATTGGGTCTTTGTTACAGGTGGCTTTTGTTCGCCATAGGCCAACGTGTTGGTGGCGTCGCCAGATAATCACCCCTTTGAAATATTGGGTATACAGAGCATACTCCAGGAAAGGCCCAACGCGTCGAAATCCAAGGGAACACTGTCCTTTGTGCAAACCAGCGACAATCGATTCTGAGTTTGCGATCCGCAGTCCCCCACTCTCAGGACTGTTACACTGTCGATCCGGGAGCGAGGAACCCATCCTAATGGTGGACAGGAATTAACTTCGAATATCTTTTTGTTTATCGATTCAAACGACAATCAGTTCACAAGATGTGGTGACCCTAGCCCCGGGTTGCCACGTCGGCATCTGCACGATGCCGCAGGAGAGTAAGAAGAATTTGCAATATTGGCCGAGTACTCCTGGGGACGACCATGCTAGCGTGAGCACAGCGCCTCGAACTAGTAGACAAACAATGTTGAAAAACAGGGAGTTCGAGGAAGCCGCCAAGAAAATCCAGTAAAAAAGAAACGAGCGGGAATCACAGAGCATACTGTAAGCCAGGCCCATCCCGACTTACATCGTATTTGGAACCCGCATGCCGGGAACGAAGGGTTCGGTTCCGCGTGTGTTGGAAATAAGCTCAAGTTTGATGGTCGATAGTCGCGTCGACAGCCTTCTCGCGGAACTTTAAGCCGTCCAATGTCCAAACTGGACCTTGAGGTGGCCAGGGCAGAGATCAGAAAAAAGTTGCACTCTTCAGACCCCGTTTCAGATTAGGTTGGGAGCGACCGCACGGACAATCGTATTGGTCTTCGGTCGTGGAGCTGCCAGTGGGGATAAACTTAGTGGCCATGTACATCAACACACACTACGGTATGCCCGGGCAAAAGGGAGTGGAAAAGAAAAGAATAGATTGCGGGATTTGGGCTGCATGCAGCCGGACAAATGCTCCATCAGACTCTGTGGGCTGACGCCACGCGCAACGTAAGTATCCATCGAGGAGAGTCCACAAGATCCGCCTAGGCCTGCGTTAGTCAGTGATCCATCAGCCTCTCTTGGGGCCTTCTCCCCTGGCTTGCATACGATGATCCCAGAGGCGTCGAGGGAGGCCACTGAACTTTTAATCACCTGTCGTGGCTGATGCAGGCCAAGAGATCGGCAATCCTGCGGTCAAATTGGACCTATCCTTGTTTGCACGGATTGACTGGCCCATCGCTCGATCAGGTACAGATTATAACTAGGGCCATTTCTTCGAAGATACAAACGATGGATACACCGGTTGCTAACCTAGGCGATCGTATTAGAGCGGAGACTAAGCTGATTAGTGGAGTCCTCGGGACAATCTATAGAAATATAGAAGTTGAGACGTCAAAAGAGTGTTCTCGGATCCCCCGAACCGTGGAACGCGACTCAAATCGGATATTCAACCATGGATCACAGCCCTAAGGAAAGTCAGTGCGCAGCGTGGACTCGGCCCTCAAAGTGACACGGAAGCTTCCTTATCGCCACACGTAGCTTTTGCAGCTATTTCTTTTTCCTTGCATTGACACAGTAGCCGATTCGTACTCTCAGGGGACGCCTATGTCATGTGGGGACTTGAGAGTTTGGCCTCGGAAGTCGAGCAGATCATGGTCATAGTGTATATCTAGATCGCCTGGACCCTTCCCCTGAGCGTTACCGGATACAATATCCATTGGAAGTCCGTGTCCATCCCTGTCGAGAGTGGGGTTCGATCCTTTTTCTATTAAGTACAGATCGTGGTTGCTCCCCGACCTCCATCTTGTATTTTCTCGCAACCTCCTTGCTGAGTCGAACATGTGCAGCGGGGTTTGACCCATTCAATCTTAGATCGAAGCACTCTATACAACAATCGCACTTCCCAGTACCTCAATATGGATACAAATCGTGGATATCCGTTCCCGGGGGAACTCGAGCGAAGACATTCTGATACCTGTATTCCACACCAACCCATGAACATGGTAATATAGGCAGTGAATGCAATGTATCCGGTTCATAGCTAACGACTGACTAGTCGATCACTCCTAAACAGCCCCTCAACCCAGAGTTCCCTCATCCACACTTTGCTATGATCTATATCGACCACAATGGGGAATATCAGCTACAGACCTCTGCCTCAATGGCCGGATGTGGAGGAGCCATCTTCACACCGGATGTCACAGACCGATTTCTTGAAATGACCTGTCCAGGGACGCAGGCCAGCCCAAGTTTCAGTACAGGTGAGTCAGAGTCTTGGGAGCCAGTATATATATAAAAAAAAGCAAGGTTGACTAAACTTGCTCCAGACCAAACCAACCAAGCATCCTTCTCAGCCTGGGACGTGCAGTCGTCTCCCAACTGGGTTCAATCCGGCCAGACGAGACCAATGGAGAAGATCCCGTTTGAGTGGCAAACGCCAAACAGCCGAAACAAAAAGCGTAGACCAAACCCGGCTGGCATTGTCAAGTCTCGGTCCAAGTCTCTTTCTCCGCCGCCAACGGCGACACCCCCGCCTACACGGACTGTTCTTCGAGTGGGGAATCGCGCTCTGCTACGACGGTACTATGAAAAGGCATTTGAGGATTTTCAGCAACTCAACTGTCGTGCTATCGCAAAGTCTTACATCAAACTTGTTGAACCAAGGAAGCAGGTTCATTTCCCGTACAATGGACGCAGGGTTATCGCCGGTGTCTCGCAGCGTGTTGACCCAGAGTATACGAAGCCGGGGTGGTGGCCAGCTGGTGTTTTGCACAAGGAGCCTGATCATCTACTTAAGAATGGTAAGTATGTTGTTGGAGTGTGCGTATGAGTAGGTTATCTGACTCCAAACTAGACCGCCTGCGACTCCTTGTCCACATCCTCTGTGAGTTGAAGGACAGCCATGGGGTCACCGCTGAAAAACTGCGCGACGCTGGTCAGGATGTCCGACGCCAGATCACACCCGCCAACAAACTTCAAGTTCTCGATGAGATCTACTTTGTTCGACAAATGGAAGAACGGTTCTTGGACGGAGAAATCGGTATGTATCAACATACCAAAAACGAGCCACCTATACAATCACTAACCAATATCCCTTCCTTGTTATAGATGCCAGTACTCTGATCCAGATCACCCACACACACCTCCCCGAAGCAATCTACCACGACGTCGATGAGGTCTCACCGCGCACCCAAGCCGCATCAGCATCAGCATCGGCAATCAAACAAGACCACGATATAAACGATGCACACAATGACAGTATCCCCTCGTTGGACGAAGACGAGTCCAAGCTCCAGCCTCACTCGCATATCTTGCCCTTGTCACCCACAACCAGTGAGTCAAGTGGCCCACACAGCCCGAGATCTGGCGGCTTTAGCTCGTACCCATTGGTTGCGCCCCCTCCAACGGTGCATGTCATTCCACCAGAGTCTCCAACTGTCCCTAAGCCAATGCATGACCCGTCCTACATGTCTGGCTACTACGCGCAGCCTTTCATGTCTGACAAGGGCCAGGGATTCTGGCCACATGCCAGTCCTGTGTCGCAGTATGGATATTGAAATTGCTTCACTTTCTTTTCTTTTTTATTCTTTTACTTTTTTCTATTCTTCACTTTTACCTTTTGGATGAGTTAAGCATGGAGTTTGTGAGCATTGGGATCAGGATACGATTTCTATTGACTATAATTTTGTTTTGCTTTTTCTTTGGGATAGGTTCTAGGCTATGACCTCACTTTTGTATACGGGAAGTGTAGGAAAATGTGACATGATTATGAGACAGATTCAATGGACAGTGTATACATATAACTTTTATAGTTCCTCAAAAGTAGTGTGTTCCATCGAGTAGATTTCTGCCTTAGGCCACACACCACCTGCACCCACTCCGCTCTCTTATTGGGTGGAGTTGACGATCCCCCAGCGCAGCTCCCCAACCAACCACCAGCCACATCACAAGCACACGTCAATTCCTCATATTCTCGCTGGCTCATCTCTTCCCTTGTAAGAGTATCTTTTGCACTGTTTGACATTCTGCAGCTTCTCACTATAGCCATTTTCGTGTCATGCGCTAGGGATTTGCATTTGTTTATCCTCTGGATCACCAACCACAGCTTACCATCTTTGCCTCGTGAATCCGCCCAGGGCGTGATCGCCGATAAGGTAGGGTTGCCATCTATTTCTTGCCCCTCATGTCTAAATAAGGCCGGTGTCTGCTGAGCACTTGCGCCGCTCTTTCACATATCTACGTGCTCTCGTGTTCACAATGGGGATGCTAACATTCAACCGTTTCCTCAGTCGACCATATCCCAATCACCGGGACGGTCCAACGATATTCTTCTTCCAGCAACAGTTTTTGATGGAAACCAGCTCGCGAAGGAAGTCCGATCCCGCCATGCCAGCCGAGTCACTAGCCTCCACCCCCGGCCTGGAGGAGATCGATGCGCCCTTTCCTGCGGACGACTTCGCCGATAACGATGACTTCTACTCACCTCCTGCCTCTCCGGGTAGGCTATCACGCAACGGATCCTTCTCCAACAGCAGCTCGTATCAGGAGGACTGGGAGACTTTCCCGCCGCTGGACAAGTTGACTATCTTCGATCTGTTGGACAATATCCAGCTCTCGCAGCGCCTGGAGAAGTGGCAGCAGACTATCGCCATGCAGAAAGAGAAAGTGCGCAAGCAGCGGGAGAAGATTAAGTCGTCATCGCTGAACGCCAAGGATCGTGTTGTAGGGGAGTGGAAACGCCGAGCCCCAACCGCCGATGAGAAGCTGGAGAAATACCGTGCCCGGATGAAGCAGGGCGTCGAGCGGCTGGGTAAGCAGTGGAACAAGACGGCCACTGTGACCCTCCGCGAGAAGGCGTCTTTCATTGCCGGTGTTCTCAATATCTTCATCAGTGGTTATCTGATCGGTGCTTGCCCGGAATACTTCCACATCTGGTTCAGTGCCCAGCTGTTGTATTTCATGCCTATTCGATACTTCACCTACCACGCCAAGGGCTACCACTACTTCCTGGCTGATCTCTGCTACTTCGTCAACTTGCTCTGCATGCTGAGCATTTGGGTCTTCCCCAACTCGAAACGCCTTTTCATTAGCACCTTCTGTCTGACCTTTGGAAATAACGCTGCTGCCATTGCCATGTGGCGTAATTCAATGGTCTTCCATAGTATGGATAAGGTTGTCAGGTATGTTGGATCCGCAAGTTTCACAAGGGGAAATTAGCTGACTCAATATTAGCTTGTTCATTCACATCATGCCTCCGGTGACTTTACACTGTATCGTGCATTTGACCCCAGTTGAGAGGCTCAAGGAGCGTTTCCCTGCAGTCTACAGCATCAAGTTCAGTCAGTCCGGGGACCCTGAGCATTATGGTCTTGGTGCCATGATTATCTGGGCCACAGTTCCATATCTAGTGTGGCAACTGTTGTACCATTTCTTAATCACCGTCCGCCGCCGTGACCAAATTGCAGCAGGTCGCCCAACCAGCTTTACCTGGCTCCGCAAGTCATATTCCAAGGCCCCGATTGGCAAGTTTGTGCTGAGCCTCCCCGAGGCGCTGCAGGAGCCCTGCTTCATGTTCATCCAGTATGGATTTGCCCTTTCAACAATGATTCCCTGCCCGATCTGGTTCTGGTACAAATGGGCTAGTGGAATTTACATGGCCGCCCTCTTTATCTGGAGCATTCACAATGGAGCAACCTACTACATCGACGTATTTGGCAAGCGCTTCCAGAAGGAACTGGAAGAACTCAAGAAGGACGTTGCGCGATGGCAATCTTCTCCTGATGGAGTCACCAGCCCACTCCTTGCCGCCGAGCCTAGTCCTCTCAGTGAAGCTGTCAATGCTTTCAGTGGGGACAAGCGCTCCAGCGTTGACCGTATTCCGTTGCTGGACTCTGCCGATGCCTCGTCGAGTGCTTTGCAAGCCAGTCTGAGCCCTGACTCTGCCGTTCGAGAGAGAAGTTAAACACTAGGGACAATTCCTTTCTTTAATCTACGATACCCTGGCGAGATATAGTTTAATTGCTTTTTTGTTTATACCAGCGTTTGCCATTCTTTATACCCTCCTCGTTGGTTTCTAATATTTACTTCGATATTTATTTGAAGCGAAAATTTGTATAAATTGACCAGATTGACATGAACATGAAGATATAATTTGCCCCCTGCACTGCCCCTAAACAAGCCTTACCAGATCTAGACCAATTATTTTTATCCCCGATCTCCGAGTCACGTGCAAAATGATCTCAGACAACTCATCGCTTCCGGTCCATTCCAAACTTCCGTAACCATCGAATTATTTCTATTTACTTGATTGTTCATCCCGTGGACATTTGAATTGATTATTTCCTTCAGTGTTGTCGCTCCTACACCCTGTCCGCTCGTTGTCTCGAGCTCTTCCTTTTCCCCCCAACAATTCCGCAAATGTCCGCCACGATGAGATCCACCGGATTGGTTCGCGGCACCCCTGCTTTTCGGGCAGCGCTCGCTGGTGAGACCTTTGAGAAGGAATATTAATGTTGATAAGGATGGAAATATTTACTTTTGAACAGGTCGTCACCGTTCCAGTGCGCCGAGCCCGGCCTCTGTTGCAGCCCGAAACCTCCTCCGAAATGGCCGCAGTCTCCCATCTCAAGTATCGGCTCTCGCCATTCTGATCCCGCAGCGTGGATACGCGACCGAGCAGTCTACATCGAACTCTTCTCAATCCTACCCTCCCCCGGGATTCAACGCCGAGCAAGCGAAGAAGCCGCTCCCCCAGGACCAGACTACGCAGTCACCATCCGCTGTTGCGAAGCCCCAGTCTGAGACCTCGGCTGTTAGCAAGACACAGTCTGGAACTGTGGCAAAGTCGACCGCAGAGGACCAGAAGGTGGCCGAGAAGAAGAACGCCAAGAAGTTGACGCTCGGCCAGAAGGTCAAGAAGGAGATTCAGCACTACTGGGATGGAACCAAGCTGTTGGCCACAGAAGTCAAGATTAGTTCGCGATTGGCGTTGAAGATGGCCGGTGGATACGAACTGAGTCGGCGAGAGCACCGCCAGCTCCAGCGCACTACCAAGGATCTGGGCCGTCTGGTTCCCTTCTCGATGTTCCTCATCGTCCCCTTCGCCGAGCTGCTCCTCCCCGTCGCTCTGAAGATCTTCCCCAACCTCCTTCCCAGCACCTACGAGGGACAGAAGGCCCGTGAGACCAAGGCCCTGAACCTCAGTTCCACCCGTAAGGAGGTCTCTGGATTCCTCCGCAACACCCTGCGCGAGACTGGTCTCCCCCTGACGATGGCCACTGTCAAGAACGACGAGTTCGCCGATTTCTTCCGTAAGATTCGCACCACCGGTGAATCGCCCTCGACCGAGGATGTCATCAAGGTCTGCAAGATCTTCAAGGACGACTTGACCCTTGATAACCTGTCGCGCCCCCAGCTGGTCGGCATCTGCCGATACATGAACCTGAACTCGTTCGGCACAGACGCCATGCTCCGCTACACCATCCGCCACCGCATGCGTCAAATCAAGCGTGACGACCGCGCGATCTTCTACGAGGGCGTAGACTCGCTCTCTGTCCCAGAATTGCAAATGGCCTGTGCCTCGCGCGGAATTCGCACACATGGCGTCTCCCCCGCTCGCCTGCGTGAGGATCTCGGTATGTGGCTGGAACTCCGTCTGAAGCAGGGCGTTCCCTCCACCCTGCTCGTCCTGAGCAACGCATACCTGTACACCCAGGGCGGCAAGGAGTCCGAGATGGCGTCGCAGATTGACGCACTCAAGTCCGTACTCTCCAGTATTCCCGAGGAGCTCTTCCACGAGATCGAGCTCGAGGTCCACAATGCCGAGGGTGCTGCCACTAACAAGCAGCGTCTGGAGGTTATCAAGGAGCAGGAGGAGCTGATCGAGGAGGAGAACGAGCAGAACAGCGAGAACGAGGGCAAGGGTGTTGCTGCGCCTAAGGATACCGAGGATATCGACGAGAAGGAGGAGGCCAAAGTCGAGGCCACTGATGGCGCGGAGAAGCAGACTTCCGAGGCTAATGAGGCCATGGCGGAAGGTGACCGTGCTGAGAAGACCAGTGATTCCAAGGAGGCCAAGAAGGGCGAGAGCTCGTAGGCATCTCCATGGATGTTATGATTATGCTGGGTTGAGCCGGCTATGTGTTTTTAGTTTGGTTTCAGGTTTGGTTTGCGCACTTCTCATATAGATGGTTGTTTGGTTTCCCCTTCAGTTCTTGTCCTGTCTTATTTCTCTCCACTATGTTGATAGACCATTTACTCCCCACCTACCTCTTTATTTTTCTTTGCTTGATCTCTGGCTGTTGCTGGTGCATTCTTTTGATTTCTGCCTGGCTTATTTCCTTGTCAAGACAGACTTGGGCTGCATGTGGATAGTATGGCTATAAATGAAAACAATCAATTCAATAATTCATCCAAACTACCTGTAAAGCAGTGGATGTAGATGTAAATATTGCTCGGTTACATCATTAGTCAGATCTTACCTCGGCTACAACGAACCCCATCTTTCCCCATACATCTAGAACTTCCAAGTTTGTATATAACATATCACATCCACAATCTAGTGCAATGAGGAGAACCCATCTCCTCAAAAGCATCACACGCCAAGCCTTCAGCACGCGGCAAAGTCCAAGCCCAACATCAAAATCAAGACCAAGACCAGGACCAGGACCAGGATCCGAAAGCACCCTCAGCTCCAAGACCCCTTTCCAACCGCGACGCCCCAACTCCGAACTAAAAAGAATGGCGCCCCTAAATGCCGCCTCTGAGGTATGTGGATGTGGAAACTAGCCTGCAAGTACCCGAACAGTCCGCGTGTTCAACCTGTCCAGCTGCAGGTCCTGTCGTGCTCATTTGCCATGGATGCATACACCCCCTGCCGTTGATCCCTGTTTCCTTTTTGCCTTATTTCTTTTTATTCCCCCTTTTTGAAGAGATGCATGGTTCATTTGAGTTTCGGCTTCGGGTCTTACTGTGTGTGTACAGTACAGCCCCATCCTTCAGGGAAGAATGGATCCTTGAAAGGGGAAGGAAAGGGGAAGGGATGTAGATGGCGATATGGAACATTCTCTCGATCTATTCTGAGACTGAGACTAGAGGTCAAAGTCAAGGTTTCGTATCTGAGTGAACGGTCCTATTCCCCGTTGCCCGTTCCCCGTTCCCCGATCCCCGTTGAGCCTGATCCTGATCCTGATCTAATTCTCCTATTCACGTCCCTACTCTTTGATTCAATATCCATGCCGTGGATGTCCACCCCGAGAAATAGCATTGAAACACACCCGGATTCAAACTCAAAATCCAATATAGCAAGCAGGAAGCAAGAAACACAATGGAATATACAGCACACTGATATACTGATACCCACTATAGGCCGCAATAGCCCGACTCCGAAGCTATGTCCCCCCGCCAACAGCATACAGCTCAGTGCCACTAAGCCGGCGTGCAGCCGTGCTGATACTGCTCTACGCCGACGCTAAGGGGGACCTTAGGGTGGTGGTTACGATCCGGGCCAAGACACTCAGTTCGTGTATGTTTGATATTTATTGATTTTTCTCGGCCTGGTCTGGCCCTGTCGCATGGCAGACTGTCACGCTAACTTCATGTAGATGCAGGAGAGGCGGCTTTGCCAGGTGGTAAGTTTAGCTTTTTTTTACACTTTTACATTTTTACATTTTTACATTTCTGCGTTTTCTATTTCGAGAAAGAAGGAGACCGGAAAAAAGGGGGTGGAAAGAAAATATACGCCCAAAGGGGAGAATGGGGGAAGCAAACGAGGGAGATGAAAGAAAAAGAAAACAAAAAAGAAAAAACAATTAAACGAAAAAAAGAAAAACGAGGATAAGGAAAAAGAAAGAGAAAAAGAAACGCCCACACTCCGATCCAACTCATCGCACATATGAGCTATCCCATACACTACACTACAGACAAACTAACAAACCCAGGCCGAGCAGACACCCTCCAGGAAACGCCCTTCCAAACCGCCCGCCGCGAAGCGAGCGAGGAGATCGGCCTCCCCGAAGATGAAGGAGAGCCTTCCATCCTCCCTCCCTTCCGCGTGGAGCATCTCTGCGAGCTCCCGGCAAACCTTGCCAAAACCGAACTGGTCGTGCGTTCCTGCGTCGCGCTGCTGCATGGCTACGATCCTGTAACGGGGCTGGAGGCTGATCCGGAGGTATCGCTGATCCCCAAGCTGGATGCTCGGGAGGTTGCTGCGGTGTTTACGGCGCCATTTAGAGATTTCTTATCTATTACTGAGGATGTAGAGTGGTATCGTGGGTCGTGGAGTTTGTGGCATGACTCGAGATGGCGGAGTAAGTTCACTCTATACCCTATACCCCGTATACCCGTAGCTAAGGGTGGGGATGATGCTTTTGTTTATTTCTTCCATTTGTTCTTCTTTGTGTCGAGCTGACTGTGGATCCAACGCCACTAGTGCACCAGTTCTTTGTCCCCAGTCAAACGGTCAAACATCGATCGACAACATCCAACGTCAAAGTAGAAGGAGACACTCGCTATCGCGTATTCGGCATGACAGCCCGCATGCTAGTTGACGCGGCGCGAGTCGCATATGCGCAGGAACCCGAGTTCGAGCATAACAGCCACTTCGGGGATGAAGCCATGATCGCCAAGCTTCGTCGGTTAGGCCGATTGAGTGCAGTTCGCAAGGCCTCCGATGGGTTAACCCGCGAGACTATGGAAAAGGCGTCCAAACTTAGCTAGAAATCTCTGAGTTGGGGTTAGACTATACCTGTCAAGTAATTAGACCAATCATATATGACCACAGCAAGGTGATCCAAGTTGCGTGGCATCGGTTCGTTTGGTGATGTCTCCTTGCATGGAGTCCGTGCACTGATGATGCTCCTCATTCCTCCTCTCTTGACTCTCAACTCTTTCAAGATGCTCTCTTTATCTCTTTGTTCATTTCTTCACATTCTTTGATGTTATTTTTACATCGCATTACATCGGGTTCCGGGTATTAAGGGCTGTCTTCTGGCAAATGTTATCTCCATCTTACCGAATGGCTCCCCCGGTCCGGCCATCCCGTTCCCTCGAAGGGCTCGAACGAGTGATTCCTCCTCTTTCTCCTCTGTCGCCTAAGACGCCCTTCTCACCCCGACTCTTCCTCAATAAACCACTCCCCGCGAAGCCACTCCCCGAAGAACCAGAGTATTCCGCCATGTGGAGCGACTCCAGCGATAGTGAATCCACCGTCGACAGTATCGCCAGTCCTTCCGAACCTCGCGACTCGGTCGAATACCCAATCTTCGTCTCCGGCGCTGATGACTTCGACTTGGTGGATCACCCGGCTCCAGCCGCCGATCCACTCCCCGTGACCCCACTCCGCACGGACAATTTCGAGATAGATGAGATAGATGAGATAGACGAACTCGACGAGGTAGATGAGCTTGACGATGTCGCATCGATTGCAGAGGAAGCGCCATTACCAGTCTCAGTTTCGTCATCTTGGTCAGACACACAGTACGGTCGACCAGTCCACTGGGCCCAGAATCGACCCGGTACCAGCCACTATTTCCGCGAGAAGAAGTGGGACTATTTCCCCGAACTGGCTCCATCCACCCTACAAGCCAGCGGACGCATCAGTCCATCTGCCAATTCAAAGCGCAGGAAGAATCTCTCCGCCTTGGACTTCGCAAAAGCCAAATACCGCTGGCACTCGCTCGATCGCACAGGTTTAGGCGGAGTCCGCGAGTCAATCAAGACCTACGTCCACCGCACTCTCTCCCGCGATGGCACAGAGAGTAAAGCCAAAGAAGTGACACGTCCATCGACAGCACCAATGGACCGCCACATCGATGACGCAGGTAGTACCAGCATCCTGGGGACGAGTCTAGGCAGCAAAGGCTACATACCACAGCACTCTTCCTTAGACGTGGATGCCCCATTCCGAGCGATATCCGTCTCGACAGCATCGACATCGGCGTCGGCATACAGCACCAGCGCCGGAACAAACGCTAGAGTGACTAGTCTCAGTGCCAGTGACTACGACAATCCCAACCATCACATGTACTACCCGCTCCACTCCCCCTCTCACCAGTCTCCCCAACCACCCCGATAATCCCTCGCCAAAAACAACTCGCCGTGCCAATGTCCCCGTATCAGAAATACGGATCGTCGATCTGGGAAGCACCCAAGAAATCGAAGAAACGGGGCGTGCAATTCCCTAAATACTCCAAGCCGCCTTCGTCTCTGACTCTCAGACCGGAGGCATATCCATACCCCGGTTCCGCTCCGGTTATGAATGCTTCCCAGATCACATTTGTAAATCCAACGCCGCCACTTTCTCCGCCACTCAAGACGCAGCTTTTGCAGAATACCCGTGGTGCGGTGAAGGCTCTGCAAGGCAAGAAGAATTCCGAGTCGAAGGAGGAGAAGAGGAGGGAGTTATTGAAGGCCCAGATTAAGTTTGTTGGACCTGTTAATCCTCATACTTATGGGAGGGATCCTTGGGTTTGAGCTGTTTGTGCCACATCAATTCGCAACTTGGTTGGCCTTCTGTTTTCTTTTTCGTTTCTTCTCGTTGACATTTGCGTTTGCACAGTCACGACCTCTCATGACTATATACCACATACCCTCTCCTCGCTTCCGATCTGCTACTATTTCTGTTTTTGTGTTTAGTTTCTTGGTTGTATCTTATAGGGATTTATTCCCCTCGACACCTCCACTCCCTGCTATACGTCTATTTCCTTTCGATATTACATTTCGAGCATGGCATGTCCACATCCCATCCCACTCCTTTGCCTTATCTCCCATTTAATAATTATCTGTTTATCGGACCATTGTTATCAGTATAGACTTCCGCAGGCGCACTTGGCGAGGTGTCCATATTTCACTTGCATTTCAGCCACGGACTCTTCTGAGTCTGAGTCAGTTTGCTTCTTCCGTTTTTTCTTTTTTTGTGGATATTTTCCGGATGGCTTGGCTATGAATAATCTTAGTTGGATCTCCACTATTCCGTATTTCTATTCCTATGCTTTACTTTGCTTTACACTGAAATTACAGATACTAGTCAAATGTTCTTTCCCACTGCCCCACTACAATTTGACCCGGCAACCAACCCACCGTTTTATTTTTCTTCCTACACCTCCCCTATTGCTCCGATTGTAATGAAAATTGCTGCAAAAATTAGCAAAACGGCGCAGCTTACTGTATACAAAGGTCAGCTATTGTATCTGCTTATGAGAACGGTATCTCGTAGGTGAAAGTAGCTAATGACTTTGGCTGCTCTCGGCGTACTATCTACAATACACTAAAACGCTATTTAGAAGGCAACACCCTCGAAAATCGTGAGAAAAGCGGCCGTCCCGTAATTATTAGTGAGCGCGCTTGCTCTCACCTCTATTTACAAGCACGTCGGCATCTATTTTAGACCTATAAACAGCTAAGTGCTGCTATAGCTTAGAATCCGTCACCCTCTACTATACTTCGAATTTCTAAGCGATTCGGATTCGGAAACGGCGATGGAAACAGAAAATACTAATTAAGCCTCCTCTTATAAGGAAGAGGCTAAAATTTGCGCGAAAATAGCGACGCGAGAGCTTCTAATCGTGGATCTTCTCGGACGAGTGTTCGGTGCAACGAACCTCGAACTTTAGACCACAATAGTGCTTTCGTACGACCTTGGAGGGCCTTTAAAAAGATCCTATAAATGCTAAGGCTCACGTAAAAGATATTTCACAAATAGTTTAGGCCGGAATCTAGCTAGGGGGTCGAACAGACCTAATTATTATAGAAAGAGACGAGGACTCGCGTTCGGGGAGGGGTTATACTATAAAGTCGTATATTTCGACGCTCGAAAAAGGTCTAATGCTAATCTACACCCCTAATTTAGTATTTTAGCAAGATAACGCGAGGATTTATCTAGCGAAGGACACGAAAGAGTGGTTTAAAACTCACGGAGTATACGTCGAGGATTAGCCGCCGCACTCACCCGATTTAAACCTAATTGAACCGGTATAGCGCTGGTTAAAAGTGAAGCTTTTTATATTATTTCCGGAGCTTATTGACCAAGGAAGGTCGGAAGCAGACTAGCTTTATTTTAAAAAATGCCTAGTGGAAGCATAGAACGCATTAGATTAGTCGAAGATAGATGCGCTAATATTGAGCATAGGAAGACGTCTAAAGGCAGTACGTAAGGCTAAGGGGTATTATACAAAATATTAAGCGAAAAATTTATTGTGCTATTATTAAGCAACCCTGAAATTTAATTATAGCATTATAGACCATAAAATGGTGGTGCTATATACAGTGTAAGTGATATATATATTTTGCATGGGGACCCGAAAAAAGTGGAGTGGGTAAGAACATTTGGTAGGGGATGGTAGGTGCTGCGATGTGCTTCAGATTTTGCGGTTTAGCATCTACTGCCCGCGTACTCAATCAAGTCTAAAGGAAAACCTTTCCTACGGGCATAACGCAATGCTTTGCTACTTATATGGCTCGATCGAGATTGAGGAAGAAGTAGCAAAGTATCTCGATAACCAATACGGAGCTATGGCCGTAGCGGGTGAGTTTCCCGAAGTCTAACCTCTATCTACTATCGCGCGCCGAAAAGGGCAATATCGCTATTATAGTGCTAACAACCTATGTAGTATGTGTAGGTCCGTCAATAAGTAAGGCTGTGACGAAGACTGTACAGCCACACGTAGGAAGGAATCTCTAGCTGATCGTTCCCGACCCCGATATAAGCCCTACACCGGATAGTGATGAAGATTTGCCCGGTAGCGAGTCTGTAGTTGCCCACTAGGATCCAAAACACACAGTCTCGGGAGCGGGAGAGGTAATCGTATCCACTAAGAACGACGAAATCTAGTGGACAATTGTAATCTACAGTATTCATCGCCTACAGAAATTGATACGGAAACCGGAAAAGTCGAAATAAGCAACCACTCGAAGTGGGTGGAAAATAGATAGGCACAGGGCGCTGAAAGCCTACTATCACTGTCATCGAACTATGAGCATCTTTCCGCTCGCTAGGAGCCTAGTTGGTTTCAACACGCTGACGAGCTTTAGATGCTTTGTGCTCCAGTTCAACTCATTGCCTGGACACAGCTTAACTGCACCGGAGGTTTTGGTGCCACCCAATTCACTGGCTCGGTTCTGGCACTAGATATCTCCAACGGCTACATTTCTCGGAGTTTTTAAATTAATCGCTCATTGGCACAGTAAGAGTAGTTAGATATATCCGTCACGAGTAATTTCACTTCCTAGTACTCCAACAAAGACCAACTGTGCCACAACAGTGCGTCCTATAGCAACTTTTAGCAGACCTATTACGCCGTGAATGGGACCACCGCATGTTATAACACGCCCCTATTTACTTGTCACCGGTTGTGGAACAACCTAGGATTGCCTATGAAATAGATAAAAGAAGAGATAGGAAGGAACAAACAATAATATCATTGCATTTCTTAAAGTCATTGCCTACCGATCTAAGTAGCCTCCTAATTAAACGAAATCACAAAATCATGGGAACATCGAACATCGCAGTAGTTTCCGCACTAGTCAGTAGTACACACCGATACCCAAATTGGCTTTTACACGATCGACAGCATATATGCTCATTCAAGAATGGCTTCCACTGTCGTTGCACGAGTGCCATTGGTGATCTCGCCCTTTGTGCCGGTTGGCCGGTTATAAAGTCGTCCAGCTCACACGTCTCACCTTTGCAGCTCAAATGTTTGTTATAAGCGTTCTTTCGCGGTATATGATCCCCGTCCTCTGTGTCTAGTTAGAATTCATTATAAATTAGCGATTTTACAGTACAACGTGCCGATGGTACCTTCACTATCGTACCATTCGTCTAGAAGTGAAGTGGACAGAACGGAGTCTCTAAGGAGTGCTAGACGCTTGTTGCCTTGCAGCGGACGAGTTCCAGCTAGATGCAAAGCTTCTTCTAACAATAGAGTGGAGTTGAAGTGGTAGCTAAGTCGGTCTTAGAGCTCCTCCATTTCGTTGGACCTATTGTCAAATATTCATCCCTATGAATGGCCTAAAGTTTGACCTAGAAATCCATAGACCATAGACCGACCTTATGTATCTTAGTGTGGCAAAAGACACTTTACGAGGTATCTAGTTAAGAGCTGGCATATAGAGGATGAAGTCATTAATAAAAGGCATTTTCCGTTCACGGATATGTCAAACCTTGCTTAGGTTGGATCAAAAAATTAAGACCACCGAAAATAGACGAGAGGCGACTACCGGAAACAGGAAGCCACTATATTGATTGGATCCGAATTGGCAAAGGTGAATAAACTGTTGCTATAGAAGTAAACACCCGGAGAATATAGTGAAACTAATTTCGATCCGCCCCTTCACGGCGAGATAGAACACTAGCGGTGAGGTGAAAGGTTCTATTTAGAGACAAAAAGAAAAAGGAAAAGAAACCATGTTAGAAAGCCCTATAGGATCACTGACAAGCAAAGCTTGGGCTAAAGGCGAAGAATCCTGAGGCAAGCCTTTAAGCACTATGCCCAGCCCTTAACTCTGAGAACTGGCGAGAAACGAAATTAGAACGCTCAGATTTCCTAGTTTCCCACTATATTCTGCACAAAGACTTGTGGATCAAGAAATAGCATAGACGTAGAAGGGTGAATGCGAGATAATAGAACCGAATCCCACATCGAGGAACTGTCTGTGACCTCTACCCGCGGCTATATAGCTAACTGAAACCGTGCTTGTCTAGCGCTTCATACGTTTCCCATAGTAGAATGTTGCGAGAGAATGTCACTTATTTGACCACGTATCCTTCGTAAGTTGCCCAGCATTGACTCAACCCGTGGAAGGAAGAACGGATACTCTTCGACAGCCTCTTTAGTCTCCGTACTGAGCTTATTGAGTCGGGGTTCTATCCAGTTCACCCGCTCAAAAAGCAAAAACGCGGATACATAAAGGAAAATAGCATCGGCGCACGTGTCGTGGGATAACGGATCCGGCCCAGTCCAGCTGAAGGCGCAGAACTTCTCATAGCTAGGGTAGAAGACACACTCTTATCCCCATGCTATACTCTGAAGCATCCGCTGATTGGTTGGTTTGAGCACGGAGAGCTACCATTTTCTGCGGGGCAAGGTGGCGGTGTGGGCATATTGGGAAATTCTCTCCAAATGGACTCAGGCTCTAGATTGGAGGATTTGTACTATATGGTGGTATCCTCTCCGACGAGCTGCGTCAAGGGCGTTTCCGTAGAGTCCACCCTGGGCGTTGACGTCGGCTCCTTGCTCCAGCAGAAATCCCACGATTCTATCATGTCCATTGGATGAAGCCCACATGACCGGGTATGTTGTTGTATCATCAGGTACATTGATATCACTTTTGTTCACACGAAGTGCAGAATGTACCTCCTGTTCGTGACCATTGAATGCTGCAAGATGCAGTGCACTCATTACAGATATTCTCTCGTACAGTCTGACTGCCTTCCAAAAAATAGGAAACCACACTGAAAACCGATTCCCACTTACGTCGTACAATCGAAGCACTCGGTCGGTTTCCTTTTGGGTTGAAGCCAAAGCCATCTTTCGTACGTGATCGGGCCAATGTACTGCGGAATATCTCAAAAAACGTTGAGTATCGTCCTCATCATATTTCAAACCCTCCATTTCAGTATAGTCTATCGAGGATACTGATCTACTTGGGGATAGGAGCTTAGTCCGCTAGGCTGCCGAGCATCCGTCGTGGGGTAGCTGGGCCCATAAAGGCGACGCTCGAGCCGGAATGACTCAATCGTACCACACCGCTTGCGCACTTGGATGTCATTCATGATTCGACAGATGTCTTTGGTTCTTCTACCGGGAATGAATAATCGTCATCAACAGTGGGGGTGGACTGCAGGGCGCAAGCGTCCTTGCATCTGTAATAGACGGCATAGACAACAAGAACGATGCCCACGATCCACCATGAAAATAGGATTGGCAGTGCGCGATGTAGCTCGTTGTTGCAGCCATCACTCCAGATCTGTCCCAGAATCTTGTATGTTTCATGGGCCGGTAGTGCGTATCCCCAGTGGTAAAACCCGGGGCTGAGTTCGAAGGGACTGATGGTGCTGGCAACATTGACAATCATCCACGTCAAGACACAGAACGGCATGAACTGCATAGGCACAAACGTAGTAAGGATGTCGAAGAGTAGGAGGTTAATATGCATGAAGAGCCACATTGCCATCCAACTGAGCACAAATTGATTGCCATTCTGATCCCACGCCTCCTTGAAGCCCCAGATGTAGCCGATCGTGCAGAGTGAGCTGAGGAAGGTGTAGATGATCGACGCACCCATCCGGATAACGCCGTTCACGTGCCAGCTCATCGTGGTGAAGAGATTGAACTGGGCGGAGATTCCATTGAGGGCCATCATGAAGAAGAACTGCATAATGATGGGCATTATCATGGACACGGTGTTATAGAGGACCCTCGTTCCCTGGATGGTGGGTTTGATGTTGATCTCGGTGGCTTCAATGGGATTAAGAAATATTTGCATGGCAGATGGATCGGAGAGCATAGGGCCCATTTTCGAAGCATTGTTTGCATAGTATGTTGAGCGAGTAACTTTAATCAAAGTCATGAAATTGGCGTAGACGGCGCTTTGCATAAATGCCGCGTAGCGGCCCTCATTCCAAACGTATTCAATGGTGGCGGGGGTACTACTGCCGTCAACTATAGCCGTCGCCAGGCTGTCCGAGGCATTTGGGAGCGAATAGATGGCACCCCAATAGTCACCCTTGCAGACGGTTGAGCGAACATCGGCCGTGGTAGGAAACTGATCAACTGTCGATTGCTGAATGGTCGGAAAGGTGTTGGCCTCAATAAGGTGGTAGGCATCCAGGACAGACTGTCCAATAACACCTCCGTCGTAATCAACGTAGAGGAGATTGAGGTTGTGAACACGGCCTGGTTCCTCGAATTGCGTCCCATACAGGTACGCCAGATTTGCGAGTAACAGAACCTGAAGGGAGATACAGCTGGCTGTGAGAGCAGTCAAGAAACCAGAGCGAGCCGTTTTCCAGGCATCGGCCGAGGAGGATCGATGACTAAGGAAAGCCATTATCGAAAGAACAAGAAAATAACAGGGCCAAGGAACGAGACAGTGATATTAAGAGATAAGGAACGAATGGGATGGGAGAAGTCAAATACATATCGTAGCGTATGAAGTCTATGATATACTCCGTAAGTCTGGGTGGCGATGGGCAAGAAATCAGGAGACTTCAACAATTGGCAATACCCACCCAAGGTCCTAATTTAAGGCGATTTACGAATACTATAAAACCGACAACCCCACATATTTCTCGGGCTTTGATCGTCGAGGCCGAAATCCGCTGACTCAGCTCCACAGTCTGCGGAATGCAATGAGAGTTCCATCATGTAATAGATTCCCACCAGTTGCAAAGCAGCTTTGTAGGAGAGCGGTGATGGGGCGGATTGAGTGAATCGAAATTAAGGATTCCTATACGGAAACAAGCCCAGTGGTCTGAGAGGCTCAAGTTGGAAGAGCGATGTGCTCTGGCTAATTTTGAATTACGCTATCATACACGAATAAGACTGGCTCTTATAACAGTGATTTGATGGTCCTTGGCGGCATTGCAGCTTTCATCAGATATGCATCTTCGATCGCCTCGATGATATGCCCATCCGTGGTCAACGTATACCAGACGTAAGCTTTCACCAGCGGGCCATGTCCAGGCCATACTGGGCCCCATTTCCCGACAAAATTGTCTGTCTGGAAATTACCATTTCCTCGGAATTGCATGGTAATTTCAGCAGCGATGACGGTGCCGTCTTGATTGAAAATAGCTTTGCAGAGACTTAGTTCCTCGGTCACGGAAACATGCACGTTCATGACCCAATCCAAAAACTCGTGAACAGTTTTCTCAGGCTGACCACTCCATTTGAACTGTGAGTATGTTAGACCAGATTAGACTGAACGGCTCTCGGCAACTTCCTGGACCTTACAATGGCATCTTTTGAGTAGTAGGGTGTAAAGGCACGCGGGTCATTGGTATTCAACCCCTCAAGATAGTCTTCGATATCCGACAAGTTTCGGATGGATTTGGTACCAAACGGCAGGGCCGCCGCCGTATGAGACATGCCTGAGTGACTTCGCTGGCAGGGATGAGGTAATGATGACAATGATTATGCTTGAAAGACGACGAGTGCTATCCACCTTAAACTCTTTTAAATTTCTTTGGTGCCATCGGCACATCGGAACCCCTGGGTGGGGCTGGGTGGAGAGGGCTAGGGAGGTTGCCACCCAGGACAGGAGTCCTTGTTGACCCGCCTGGGGCCTGCGTCGTCCACCAGACAAGGAGTGACTGACGAGGGTGAGAGTGTAGAGTGTGCTAGCCCCTTTGGGTATGACCCATGGAACATCGTGTCCTTCCTGTAGCTTCAGTTACGTAACCAACCATCCATCCCTCTTTGGAATTACGGATCTTCTGGGGTCCCAACATCACATGCCCCAGTGGGGTTCAATGTGGGTAGAGCGCTGCATAAGATCCGAATTGTAGTCCTTTCACAAAATGATGTTGATGTTTAATACTGCCATGATTTGATCAGCCTTGAGAACCTCCCGGTGGCTATACCCTTCTAAAAGGAGAAGATAGATAGAGAGAGAGAGAGAGAGGAGAGAGAGAGAAAGATATAGATAAAGACGTGCGAAGCACCAGGACAAGAAGATCAGAAACTCGGGATAATCTACTATCACCGTTGCTCACTATGTCACCATACAGGGATATCGAAACGGGGCACGGGTTTGATGCCACACGTCTGATGCAGCAGGCTCTCTTAACCAGTGTCATATTGATGGGGGTTTATCATGTCTCAACGCTTCTATACAACCTCTTCTTGTCACCGTTACGAGGCATTCCTGGTCCCTTCTTCGCCCGGGTCACTCGTTGGTGGGAATACGTCAAGATATTGAAAGGTGATTCACATCAAAACTATGTTCGGCTTCATCAAAGATACGGTTCGTTATGCACGTCCTATGCTCTTCGCCCTAGAAAGTACACTGACAGTCGATACTTGCCACTTAGGCTCGGTCGTTCGGGTTGGACCAAATCGATACAGTTTCACTTCACCACCGGCTGTAAAGAAGATTTACGAACTGGGTGGGAAGTTCGAGAAGAGCCAGTACTACACGCCACTGTTGAGCCCGGACCCCGAAACTCAGCACATCTTCCCGATGATAGATAATAATCGACACAAGGAGAGAAGACGGAAGATCTCCCCTCTTTATACAATGTCGACGATGGTGTCTTACGAAGGTGCGGTCGACAGGCTGAACGAAGTGTGTATTACGAAGATATCACAATTCGCCGAGGAGGGTCGATTGGTTGATATCCCCCACTGGATGCAATATTACGCATTTGATGTCATTGGTGAAATCACCGTCAGTTACCCTGTCCGTTGCTTCAAACATGGAGGTCAGTCCTAATCATCTGCCGTCTTCAGTTCAACGAGAGCTTCAAGATGATGGAGAACGAAGGAGACACAACAGGAATGATTTCGGGAATTCGTGAAGCAAACGATTTCCTAGCCTATGCCGGAGTCGTCCCAAATGTACTCCCGTGGTTTGCTCGCCTAGCGACCCTGCTGGGCAAGACCTCCAACGCTCGGATGATCGTGGGCTACACGTGGAAACAGATTGATAAGTACCGTGAGATGAATGTGAACCCAACCAAACAGACGAAGAAATACAACACGTTCTTGAACAAGGTCCTCACTATGGAAGCTACAGGGTCTATTGGCAAACCTAATATTTTGGATGCCTGTTCAAGCAACATTACGGCTGGCTCGGACACCACTGCGATTAGCCTAAGCTCATGCTTGTACTACCTTTACACAAATCCAGACAAGCTCAGGGAGTTGCGAGATGAGATTGATACTATGGCTGCTGATGGCCGAATCTCTGACCCAGTCACGTTTCGAGAAGCCCAAGATATGGTCTACCTGCAGGCTGTGATAAAGGAAGCATTGCGTCTTCACCCAGCCGTGGGCACAATGTTAGCTCGCGTTGTGCCGAAAGGCGGCATGCATATAGAGGGATCTTACTTCCCAGAAGGTGTACGTTCCTCTAAATTGGTTTCCATCCCTCATTGCCTGTTGCTTACGATGGTGCGCAGACTGAAGTTGGGGCAAATGCATGGGCCTTGCATTATGATAAAGACCTCTATGGCCCAGACCCGCAGGAGTTCCGTCCGGAACGCTGGATTGGCGACGAAAAGACCTCCATCATGGAGTCAATGATGTTTGCAGTAGGTGTGGCGGCTCTTGATAGTCCGTGACTGACAGCTAACTACCCATGCCTGTTAGTTTGGAGGTGGCTCTCGAACTTGTCTCGGCAGGAACATTAGCTTGCTGGAAATGACAAAAGTGATACCCCAGTTGGTGCGTAAATTTGACATCGTGCTGGAGAAGCCAGGGGAGCCGATGAATACTGAGTGTGCTTGGTTTGTATATACCCATTACAAAGGATGGTTCAAGGCAAGAGGAGAGTAAGACACCAGGTGTGACCAAAGGTCGCACAGATGGGAACTAACTTGGTTGCCATCCACATCGGCATTGAAGTTCATTTTCAAGCCTACACAATATCTTACCTACTGGCCTATTGTAAAGTTATTTCTCTTACAATGCAAGAATGCTTGTCCTGCTTATCATATTGGACTACTACCCTAGCTGGTCACTCAAATGTCGTCCTCAACCATATTTTGTTGATGACAGCAGGCCACAAGTTATCTGTAATCCAAGCTATTGTAGAAATGCATAGCACCACCAACGCCCGCGTTCGAGAGGTTTTATGACTAGTGTCAACCAATTTTCATAATGACTCGTACAGAACGATTGTATGGTTGATTATTCAGCTGTCATCATTACATTCTTCCGACCTTTGTTTGTTTGTTTATTGATCTACGTGCTCAGGAATACTAGGACTCAAATACTTAAGGGACTAGGATTAGCAGATACTGTAGTCAGGAGAGTCAGACACTCCAATCCATTCAATTATATATGACCGTGACCTTGGAGTACGAAGAATACCGATATTTGTTGACAACTGGTATATAACGCAGTGACCATGGAGAGGCTGTACATGTCCTCAGCATGGGCGGCTTTTGTAGCCCTTAGAGAACGCCCATTCGCTGTGTATCATATCCTCATGCAAATACTCATTGTAATTCTTCGCGATTACGTCTTCAACAATCAGAGTGTTGACTACTTTTACCCATCAATACTTAGAAGTGCGCCGATGTTATTGCAGATAAAAAATTCCTAATAAAACTAATAAGACAAGTAGGGTGGATACATATGGTCCGCCCTACGATAGCTTACTCCTGGGGTTGGTTGAGCTGTTACGATGCTCATAACTAGGATCTAAAGTGCTTGCGAAACCTCGATGACCGATGAAGGTCTCGGAAGGATCCCATTTCTCTCTAATCTGCAACCACTTGCTCAGTGCAGAGTCGGTCATAACCTGATCACGTCAGTCCAAATTGCGCATATTGACCGTAGCCTGCAACGAACATACCTTTGGCTTCCTGTGCTTGACGTTGAAGTCGGCCACGTAAACACCGGAAGAGACTCGGTCGGCCTTGGTATAGGCATCTAGAAGCCACTTGTCCATCGCCGCGTCATACTTCGCGTCCTTCCAGCAAAGCATCGTCGACACATAGGTCTTCTGGGGCAAACTAAGGGCATGATTCCTTTCGTCTGGGTAGTAGTCAATTGGACAGAATGTTCCGGATGAATGTCGAGTGGGTAGATTAAAGAGCGCCGGAGTAACAGCGTCAATCACCTAGGGCAAACACATTAGTACTCTCCGAGCGCTAAAGGTATGTCGAGAGAAGCGCTCACATCGTCATCAGAAGCATTTGGGTCGACCAGAATGCTGTCAACGTTCCATCTCTCGCCGTTACCCTGCGGCTGGAAGCTCTCCTGTGCAGCCCAAAGTTCCTCCCATGTCCTTTCTGCCAGTGGGATGGTAGCAACGGTATATTTCTTAAATTCATCGGGAAGGGCATCCCATGGGCTTCCCAGCACCCGAGCTTCCTCGATGGAATCGGCAAACATCATTTCATTGATGAGGAAAAAACACGCTTGGCTTTGGATTCGTGTCCACCGTTAGGGTCATCCTTGTCTGCGTAGAAGGTCGAAAAGAACAAATCGACGCCATATTTTGGGACCTTCTTCGAGGTCTCGATGACATATTTGAGCAACTTCTTGAAAATCTCGGTGGAATCGATGATTATTGTCATGTCGTAGAGCTTTCGTGCCGGAATTGTCCTGATCCATATCCGCGTAACCACCCCGAAAAAGCCCTGGCCGCTGCCAGGTGCCGCCCAGAACAACTCAGCATTCTGAGACTTGTTGGCAATCACTACTTTCCCGTCAGAAGTGACAACCTCAATCTGGGCAACCCAGCGGTCGGCCGTGTAGCCCCATCCGCGCACGAACCACCCTTGGCCGCCAGCAAGGAGGAAGCCGCCCAGGGCGACGCTCCGAGAATGGCCTGCAGGGAAGAACCTGTTGATTCGCCGGAGATAATTGATGACAGCCTCCACTCTATGCCCTGGGCTGACCGTAGCGATCTCAGTGGCGGCATCGTACTTAATGTTTTGGTTGAGATTGCTCGTGTCGATGAGGAGACCATTTTCAAGGAGCGAATTACAGAAGAACAGATGCCCACCAGAACGAACACCGATCTTCAGCCCGCGCTGACGTGCGGATTCGACGGCTGTCACAACTTCCCCCGTGGTTTTTGGGCTGACAATCTCGGTGGGATGGACATCAGGAACTCGTTCGTTGAAGAAGCTGCGGCGAAGTTTGTCGTAGGCTGGAGATCCCTTCGAGACAGAATTAGCAAGCAATGGAGCCATGATTGCCAACTGGGATACGTCGTGAGAGGGAAGGTGAAACAAAAAGCCACGAATCTCACTTCTGCTTTTCGAGGTCATTCCGCCTTTTCAGAACGCGAAGCATCATTGAACCCACCCTCCTTGGCAAGTCGCCACCCTGTTACATGCAAAACAGCGAGTCGACGCCTGTACCCACCTGGATGGAAAAGTGCTGTTGGGTATATGCTCATACTACGGCAAACGTCCAATCGAAGCAGTCGATAGATTGAGGGTATTAAAATGTGTTGAACGATCTCCTGAGACTGACTCTGGCGTGTTACGGCACCATGCTAGGGGCAATTGAGTGAACGATGACCGATCCCGAAGGGAACTACTGGTCCAATACCACTCCGTTCTTGATTGCAATGAGGTGCTACCACAACGAACCCACCGCGACCAACCGAGTGGCAACCTGGCGTCGATGACAATATTTCAACAGCCGGTGAATAGGCCCCAAGTAGGTCCACAACAGTTTTCCTCCCGATCTTCATACATGCAATACTCTTTTATCAACAGCGTAATTTTATCAAAAACTTTAGATAATGTCATACTGTTGTTTTATCAGAGGAAAAGTTGAATTATTGTCTTCTTTAGAGGAATACATGAGGTTATATTTTCATCGTGTGATACGAGTTAATTCCACCAACTTGCTTCTATAAAGAGTATGAAACTATTTCCAATGTTGCAGTCCTCTTCCCGATCGTCATCCGCCTCGTATCACAACACATGCCATCAACTATATAACCCTGTTCAGAGACCTGGCATCACCGAAGCTTCCACACCAATCTTTTTCAACTGCATGGAAATGAGGTTGTCAGTATCGAAAGTCATGATTTTTAAGAAATGAGTAGGCCACGAAGACTGACTTCCGTAATAACATCGTATCCATAAGTAAACTGCTGTGCCGCAGGGTCAATCCTAAGCAAGTCAGATCAACAGCTCATTTTGTGCGGTGACTGTCAACATACCAGTAAAAAGGGTAGCCGGGTTGCTGGTCATGGATCTGGGATGCTGCCAGCCGATCTCTCTCTTCTTGTTCCCGGCCATCCGGCAGATGGTTAACGTGTCTCTGGGAGGGGGTGTAAGTTTTCTGTACTCTGCCGTGAATGTTTGTAATTTTACCTGTTTCAGGCTCCATTTCTGTAATGCAGTACTTCGAGGTGCTCTCAAGTTCTGATATGTCTCCAATACCCGTGGTAACTGCTCTCGGCTTTGTACCTTCGACAATAAAATCCCTAGTGCCGCACCGTCTTCGAGAGCAGATCCAGCTCCTTGTGCCATGTACGGAAGCATTGGGTGACAGGCATCACCCAGGAATACCACAGTGGCATCTTCATTATACCACTTTTCCATCTCATGTACTGTCGACAAGTTAAAGAAAGTCCAAGAAGGTTGATATCCAGTCTCTGGGCTGGGTCTTTCACTTACAATGCATAAGTTTCCACTTCTCAACCCCGTCGACTTGATCCAAAAGCTTTCGCAAACTGTACTGAATTAATGTCTCTCCAGGTTTGTGAAAATAGGTAGCTAGCGCACAGTGGGTCCCAGCTCTTGAATATTTCCTTCATCTCTGAAATGCTCCCTGGCATCTTGGCCACATTATCCGGCAGATTATCCGGAACTAGCAGGACAATGTTGATCATGCTGTTATTTCGAAGAGGATAGTATATAGCGTGACAGCCAGGGCCAACCCATAAACACACTCTAGATTTCCTTGTAAAATCTAGCAGCTCTTGATCCTTCAGATCCTTTGCCTCGAGGACAATCCGGTAGGCTAGATCTCCCGTAGGTAGAGGAGGGGTGGGGTGACCACTGACCGCTGACCGTGCCTTTGACCAGAGCCCTGTCGCATTGTCAGTTCACAACGGAGTCTCAAATGCCACCAGGTATGACCCACCATCTGCTGCAATTACCAAGTCTCCAGTAAAACTTTCACCTTTGTCAGACGTTAATTCTGGCAGATAACCATTGATCTCTGTGATAAGAACGCCAAATTGAAATCGAATGCCGAGAGATACCGCCCGTTCGTACATTGCAAGCTGAAGGTCGGCTCGATGCATGTCCCAGTAATACGACCCAAACTTGTCAAACATCTCTGCAGCGAAGCCTTGACGCTCACCAAGAAGCTTTTTGCCATCATAGCGACGCACAACAAATTCCTCTGGGCTGCTCGCCAAGGGTTCCAACCTAGACTTCAGTCCCCATCTGAGCAACAGTCGCGTAGCATTGGGGGTCAGCTGAAGGCCAGCACCGATCTAGTTCACGAGACGTTCAGTTTTGGTTTCTAACGATAACTCAAATAAAAAGCAAGCACTAACCTCGGCCAGCATTGGGGCTGATTCGACAACCAGAACATCGTGATGGGGTGATTCCTGCTTGATCGAGAGGGCAGCTGCTAGCCCGCCAAGCCCGGCGCCGATGATAACAATGTTCAATGGCATCATTCAAGAGTCTCAATCTGATGGTGAGATGAGTTTGCTTCACCCCTGTCATCCAGAGAAATGCCGCTTATCATAACATTCGGTCCCGGGTTACTTTACTCGCCTTCCCGCCACTCCGGGGGTTTTGTTGGGGGGGTGGAAACACGTTGCCACTTGAATGCCAAATTATCCACTTGAATAGTCGACTGCTCAATAGAGCCCGCACCGGTGGGGAGTGCCTAAAGACTGCTCACGAGGCGAACTAGTACAGTAACACCTTCTCTCCAAATCAACGTCTTCTTTGGTGCTCAAGTTACTCCTCGACCTTGATGCCATGTCTTGTTCGGTCTCTAGAAGCCCGCCCCCTTTTCATCGAAGCAGCCACGCAACCGACCCCAGGAGCTATGCCAGCTATGTCATCCCTCTCAGGAAACGTGGTCTTGGTCAGCGGCTCTTCAGCTGGACTGAACGTTGAAGTTGTCCGGGAGCTCTTTACTCGTGGTGACTCCAAAAGAACGATTTGCCTCAAAACCGATGTCTCGACGCCAGACGAACCACAGGCTTTGGTGAATGGAGCCTTCAAAGTCTTGAAAAAGGTTGATATCTAGTTGACGGTGGGGGGAACAACTGCCCAATATCTTTGGACGGCCCCAAAGACTCGAACGTTGAGAAGACGTGGCGCGACATTCTCAGTGCAAATGGAGTCTTCTTCCTCACCACGGCGGTTCTCAAACATCTTTCACGAGAGAACTCGCGCATCATCAACGTCGGAAGCTCCGTATTTCATACCCCAAGCTCACAATCGACCGACTACGCCGGCACAAAGTCTATGATCGAAGTTTACACGTCGTGTTTGGCAGCATGAACTTCCTCGGAGGTACAGTTGCCCGTTCGATTTTGATTTCCTTAGATCCTGGAGACCTCCATGGGGGTGGCCGTCTCCGCCACACAGTTATTAAAGGTTGGGTGGCTCTCAGTCTCCTGTGGTAGTGCCTCAACAAGTCCGTTGGACTCTATACCGCCTTCCACTAATTAAGCCCCGACGAGTCAGCCAGGCAATGAATGGTGATTTGACCCGTCTGTAACGGCAGAACCGCGACCAACCAGTTCTGCTGCGAAGTATTCTCTTCCACATCTCCAGAGTTTGCACCTCAAGCCAGGAGGAAGTGGGAGAGCATCATAGGCGATACCGCGCCAGGAACCCTGGGTGTTATGATTCAGAGATAGATTGATGAAAATTAGGTCTCGGTGCACACGTTGCCCTTGACACATCCGCCAACTCCTTGTCCTGTCACTTCTAATAACGTCCGTTGCCTCCTATCGAGGGACGTCGGTCATGTTCTCGCCCTCGCCAATATCAGCAGTGGCAAATCCTTTTGTTAAACCTCGTAACCGTCCTTCGAACCCAGAGCTTGCTGAACTTGAGAGTGCCCGTCACGCCACCAGAAGGTCCTCGTGTCGAGTGTTTTCGACAGATAATGATACAGGTGGTAATTGAACGAAGCTTTGCTCTCTACACGGCAGAGGGCTTGGAAAGTTATCATCCGGGGCGATGGCTGGATGGTCCGGATCTCTCTATCTCCGAAATCCGGGCATGTGTAATTGACAGATGTGAGAACCTGTAGAGTGGAAGAGAGGTTACCGACAAACGCATGATCAACAGTGGCGAGTAAACGTGGAGTCAAATCATATACGTAACTTAGTCGTTAGATTGAGTGAATATTGTCTCGGTTGGGCCTAGTGCGTGGACAGTTGTGGAGCTGACGATCATTCGGACTCTGTCTACTTCCGAATCGCCGTGACTGGTCATTTCGTGCGACCATTCCCCACAGCGACCTCGGAACTGCCGGCCAAGGTCCCACAAACTGTGGAGTACCAAGTGCGTCGGTCCAGCCAGAAGTCTCGTGTGGTGGTTCTCCTCATCCCTCACCCCTCACCCCGCAACTTTCCCCAAGTCCTCTACAGTTAATTATCCTTTCTCCTGGGATGCTCGCTTCTTCAGTAGCCAGCGACAGAGTTTTCCTGCTCCGGAGCCCTTCACTTGCAACCTCACATTCAATATCTCGGACATGTCGGAGCGGGAAGGGGGTCCTGCTGAGGACCGGACAATCCATCTCCCACCGAGTCGTAGGAGTGAACCGAGATCCCCGATGCGAAAGCCTAACAAGCTCTCTTGTTTGCAATGTAACGCCAAGTTTAATCGCTCAGCTCATCTCCGACGGCACCAAATGACCCGTCTGTCCTGCGTGACGTTATCTTTTGCTCGTCCACGACTAATTTGCATATAGATCGAGGCGAGAAGCCACATACCTGCCTCTATTGTCCTGTGGCCTCGTCGCGCAAGGATGTCATTGTTCGTCACATACGAAACTTCCACCCGCATGTTGTCGGCAACGAACATGCCTCCTCCACTGCGAAACAAAGCCGACAAACCAACGTCGGCGCAGAAGCTTCAAGACCCGATGCAGCACCGCGCAGTGTATCTCCTCCAACGTCACCAGCTGCATCAACAGCACCAGAAGCACCAGCTGCATCAACAGCACTAGCAGCACCAGCAGCATCAACAGCACTAGCAGCACCAGCAGCATCAACAGCACCAGCAGCACCAGCAGCACCAGCAGCACCAGCAGAAGGCGTTCAAGGACCACAAGAGCTGGGGCACTGCGATCCCCGGCATCACAACCACGACCATCCTCTGGACAATCATATGGACCAAGATCAGGAGGCCCAGAGTGCACAGTTTGATGAGTGCTTGCTATCTCTCGATGACTTGTTTCCACCAGTCCTTGAAAATAGCCCAATGGGAATTCTTGGGTCGTGGATGGAGCCGCCAGTTTCTAATAGCGCCTTCACAGATACCATCGACGTCCAAGCTTTCTTTTCGAGCGCACAAGACCTTGTGAACGGGCAGTCGACCAATTTTGCGGGGCAATCCCCAGTATCCATTCGCCTGGAACCAGAGTCCGCCTCACGAAGCAAAGACAGCCACACTAGCAGTGACACCGCGTCTTCTGAGTCGGCCATGGCGATAGACGACGACGATTGCGCTAAGGCATGCGCAAAGCTCGCCACGTATCCGAAGCATATCCTCGACTCGGTGCGGGTTCCCTCCAAGTACACCATGAGGCGCTTTGTCCGAGTGTTTTTCAGGCATGTCGCTCGGCACGTACCTATTGTGCACGAGCCAACATTCAGCCTTGCTGCAGCATCGTGTGAGTATTCTATGCGTGTTCCATATGGAATTACATTATCAAGTGCTGGTTTTGACACTCAGTTTCTTGAATAGCACCTTTGCTGCTCGCGATAATGGCGAGCGGCGCGGCCTTCTTGAGTGAGCGGACCGTGGCTAATTCCATGTGCTCGGCTGCCGTGCAATTGATCTTCCAGGTAAGCCGAAGGGTGAACGAGGATTTATCTTTGTGTCGCTAACTCTCCTGAAGCACGACTGCCAGACGGCGGCTGGAGAAGTCGACTGCACGACAAAGTTAGCGACGCTTCAGGTTCATCTGCTTCTAAGTTATATTGGCATACACTGCGGAATGGAACAGTGGCCCGCTTATGCCTATCCTCTCGCTGTAAATGTATGGGCCCTTGGCATCCAAGCTTCTCTATGGTGGTCGAACTACTTCAATGGCTAAATACTCTACTGGCAGTGTGCGAACGGGGCTCTCAGGGAACTAAAAGCATATCCGGTCACGACATACAAAGAATGGGTGCTCCAGGAAAGTATCAACAGGTATGCCCTTCTCTTTATTTTTGCATCTAATTTTGCATACGTTTTGCCGACGATAACTGGCCATCTAGGTGCCTTGCAGTGACAGTTCTCATTGGCGCGGCCCCTGATTCACTAGGGAAGGAGAAATGCTTTGTCACCCCAATAAGCAACACTAGATTTGCTCTCCCATCTAGAACCGCCGATTGGCTAGTGGACGAACCTAATTGGAATCCTCCTGGTGGTACCGATTCTCTCGAAGACGCAGCAAGGAGCGTTCTCTCCGGGCGAAAACCCAACCTGCCTGTCAGCGAGTTCGGTCTAGTTACCATCGTAGCGCTGATACTCTACCGTGTCTGTTCATTCGAAACGATGACCACCTCGTTCAACGAAGAGCTATTCCCCGAATTCGTTGGCAAGATGGAAAAGGCAGTACAGGCTCTCGATGATATGCTAAGGGATCGATTGAGTAATGTGAGATCTGGCCTGCCACCAGATCCAACCCTGCAATGCGCCAAGTCGTTGTTAAACTCAATCTTCTATCATCTATACGGAAGTCTCCCTTTAGCAAGTATGAAGAAGTTGTTTAGCCCCTCTGCCCCGCCGATGATGCTGGGGGATATTACGCATTTATTTGACCGGGTCAGTTCATCACACTTGTACTACAAGGGAGTGGGCCGAGCGGCGGACCAATTACGTATCGACTGCCAATTAGGCTTGGATTACCTGCAGAGAGTGACTCATGAGTTTGGACCAGAGTGTGCAATGAGCACTTTCGAAGGAAGTATGTGGATCCCGTTCCCTTCTTCTCCCACGCAATACTCTCGGTGCTGAGCTGACTGGTCGCCAGATTTGCTACTTTATTGGTACCTCGAGTTTGTCCGACCTCTTCTCCCTCAGCTAGAGTTACGCGATACCGTTCGTAAGTTGATCAACGAGGGGTTTTCCGAAGTCCACGATTTGGAGCTACAGCTGCAGGATCAAATCGCGATCATTCCGCTGGTCATCACGAGTAGATTATTATCTGATCAGTCAGTCTGGCAATGTGAGACTTCCGTTGTATTACATAACCTGCCCGACTATACTTGGAGTACTGACTTATCCCTGTCTTTAGGGCCTGCCTCTGTATCAGCTCGGCTGGAATGCTTTATCAATAGCTCACGGTTACCAGCACAGGAGGGGGAATGGCAATAGATTATGGGTTTCATAAGCTTGCTTTCAGGTGCGGATAGCGCATGAGTTGAATTCCAGCTGAGGTTTGCTTTATCCACCCAAGCTCTACTAGATATCCTACGCATTCCCTTGAAAATTGTTAGAGCAGTGGCGGCACCATCCATATAGGGTGATGGACAATGTGCCGCCCTGACAGAATACGAGATCATCTAGAGAACATCTCACCGCCATCGTGGGTGGCGCCGAGTGGGGTTGGGGTCAGAGGATCCGTATGCTACCGGAGCTACTGCAGAGCAATGTTGGCATCGATACTGATGGCTCTAAGATCGTCACTTCAAATCTTGCGGTGCTGCGTTGGTACTTTTCGCGGTATGTGAAGCACGAGGCGCTTCGCCTGGGCTGGTTCCTCTCCTGAGTCTCCCCGACTAAGCTGCCCATTAAATCGTTCCAAACCGCTCCCCGCCCCCGACCACCACCGGGTGACCCATCGTTTGACGAAGACTTTCTGAAACAAACTTGGAAAGATGACCCTCCTCCAAGCAGCACACCTCCATCCATGGGACCGACTGCCAGACTTTAGCAACCCGGGCGTCGTATGGATATCTGATGTCATAGGCAAGGGCTTGATAATGAGAGCAGTGCTGGGAGACGGAACCCATGATGATCCCGCGAGGCTATTCTCATAGGGCCGATTCCCACCAACCTACTTCTTCCATGGCGCAAAGGATTTCTTAGTTCCAACAAAACTGTCGCGACGGGCGTATGATGAGCCGAATATTCCGTTGGAGTGGAAGGGTCGTCGAAGAGGCTATCATGTGCTGGACGAATGTGCAGAGCCTGGAAGCCAGGTGTTTGATGATGGTTAGTATGAAACCGATTGAGGGCCATGGGTCATAAGCGGGATAGCTACATTGAAATTTCTACGACAGAGGCAAGGAACCTCGTTTAGGTGGGACTACGCCAGTTATTCATGTGCCATCCACCCTTTGGTTCTGGTCGGTGGAGCCTCAATGGAATGTAAGGCGGGGTTCGGGCCGCCCATTGGTTGCATATTTTCTCTTTAAACATTGGAATATCCAGCTGTTTGACCCTGGGAACAAATTATTCCATACTTTTACCAAACCTAATCCTACATCATGGACTCTAATCGAGTGACCCAAAATCGCGCCCTGTGGCTAAGTTCGTTCGACAAGCCTCTGGAGCTAGTTGACCTACCCATTCCTGATGCAACAGTCGGCTCGGTGGTTGTACAGGTCCTCAACACTGTTATTCAGCCCTACGCCGAGGATATCCACACCGGAAAATTACCAGTGTTCAATCTTTCTCTGCCTTTAGTGCCGCATCCTAGCCACATCGGGCGAGTACACGCCGTTGGGCCGGATGCGGTGCGTGCGAAGCCCGGCGATCTCGTCTTTTTCTCTGGCTCCATCCAGGCGCGAGACGATCCGGATGTACGCATCATCCAAGGCCATCATGGTGGGGAAGGTGACGCTGGCCGGAAGCTCATGCAAGGAGAGTGGCGTGACGGGGCTCTCCAACAGTATCAAAAGGTGCCACTGGAGGCCATCTTCGTGCTCAATGAACAACGTCTGGTGGAAGAATTGGGATATAGTCCTGCAGACCTCCACGAGCTGTCGTTCTACGTCATCGGGGTTGGTGCTATATGTGAAGCAGCCAAAATTCAAGCCGGTGAGACCATCGCTATCGGGCCAGCCACCGGTACTTTTGGTGGTATTAGCAGCGACGTAGCGCTTGCAAGAGGCGCCTATGTTATCGCACTCGGCCGCAGTGAAGAGAAACTCCAACGGTTGGCCAAGCAGCTGGGAAACCATGATCGCTTCGGCTACGTTGTCATGACTGGAGATCAGGCGGCTGACGCAGCCGCAATTAGAGAGGCTACTCCAGAGGGGCGTGGTGTCGAGGTGTTCAATGACTGGGCGTCCGGCGAGTTGAATGGATCCCCGTTCCTCTCTGCGGCCATTCGAGCTGTGCGCCCAGGGGGCAGGATCGTTCTCAGCGGTGGCCCGGCTGGCGACCTTCAAGTGCCTTACACTCTCGTAATGCACCTCAACCTCCAAATCATTGGGAAACTCATGGTCACGAGGACTGGAGTGGATCTGACCTTGAAGATGGCCAACTCGGGAGTTCTCAAGCTCGGGAAGCGGGGTGGCTCGACGCACAATGTCTACAGTCTGGAGCAACACCACGAAGCATTCCGGTACGCAGCCAAAAACAGCGGATTTCGGGTCTATACAGATATTGCGCCCAACGCGTGGTGAAGGGTGTGGCGTCCTGAGATACAGATATCAGAAAAGAATATAGTATCGTGTCTTGGAAGGGTACATAGTAACTTGTTATCCTGTCATTGTAAAAGTTGAGAACATTTGATTTATCCCTGAAGATTTTCCCATAGCTGAATGAGCCATTCCAGTTGGAGCCAAGGTTGCAAAGGGCCGGCCCACCCGGAAAACTGGTTCCGACTCCGGTGGGATTAGATGGGGTGCACCGGTGGGAACGAGATTGTCCGAGCTAGGTTTGGAGGAGCTATATACAACTGCTCTTCTGCCCGCACGGTGGGGGAAATATAGACTCGGGTTCAAACAGACGAAGCAAAGTCCTTGAGCTCTCAACATTTCCCTGTCAGTACCCGGTGGGCTCCTATCCATTGCATACAGTTAATTCTCTGCCCGTCTTTGACCGTCAACATGCCCTGTGCAGACTGCTTCAAGGGGAATGACCATCCCGGGCCCTGTAATGGTGCCGAGGAGAGTCTCTACGGTCACCAGGTCTACGTTGCTAGGCCACAAGGTGATCATCCTCGACACAAAGCCGTGATTGTTGTCTTTTCGGACATGTTCGGATGGGACACGGCCAATCTGCGGAGACTTGCCGACTCGTACGCCGAACGAACTGGCTGTGTTGTATACGTCCCAGACTTCATGCACGGTGCGTTACAACCGCAGATATGAAATGGGACGTGGTTTAAACGGGTCTATAGGGACTTCAGCGCCTGCGTGGATGAAGAGGAATTTGGACCAGATCACAGGTGAATGGGGGTTCTGGGCATGGATGGTGAAGCCGTAGGTTCTGCTCCTACCCAGTTTTTCTTTCACACTGACACCCCTTGGGGTAGTTGGCTAGTATTAAAGGCTGCCTTGGTGCTCGTGCCTTTCGTTCTGAGAAACAGCCCGGAGAAACGCTACCCTGGTATCTTGAAGTTCATGGATCGGCTCCGCTGCGATCAAGAACAGACCACCAAGGTAGGTGTGGTTGGTTTCTGCTGGGGAGGGTATAGTGCCACTCATCTTGCGCACGGTGGGCTGGCGAGCAATGGGAAGACACTTATTGATGCAGCTTTTACCGCTCACCCGAGTGAACTGAATCTCCCAGACGATATTTCCAAGATCAAACTTCCTTGGAGCATGATCGTTGGTGATGTGGATTTCGCACTACCGGTACATGGGATCCAGCAGGCTGCTGAAATCCTCGACAGGAAGAAAGAAGTTCCCAGTGAGGTAGTGGTTATTCCAAATGCGAGACACGGTTTTGCTGTTAGGGGCAACCTCGATAACAAGGCCGAGGTTGAAATGGCCGATCAAGCTGAGGATCAGATGGTTAGTTGGTTTGCAAAATATCTATACTAGATGTCCGCCAATATTCCCGATAACCTGTACCAAACGGATTGCGTGATTGACTATTCAGCCATCATAATGATGATCACAACTAATTAAACTGTTGGATATTTATGCAGCTCAGGATGAGCAGCTAGTTAAGGGATTCAGAACCTCCAATCCATTCGTTTGTAACCACTACCTTTGGTGTACGAAGAGTACCGATATTTATTGACACGAAGTATTTGCCTGCATATCGCCACTAGGGGCGAGGGGTCGGCGTACAAATTCAACCAACCAACCAACCCTGTAGAAAGTAATGCTACTTTATTTCACCTCTATAAGTCGGCTCTCGCATCCTCACCCGCCCAAGCCCGCCGGAGTAATTCTTCTATCGCGTTCCTCTCCAACTCACGCGGATTCCAGTACGGATTACTTAAAGCAATCTCCGCTGCTTTTGGAACATCATCTTCTCTAAATCCATACGCTTTCAGGTCCCGCGTTACACCTAACCTCTCCAGTAGGAGGTTCAGCCCATAAATAGCATCTCCATCACTATCCGGTAGCGCCTCTGCTATCATTGCCATGGCCGCTGGGACCTTGGGGGCATTATATGCCAGTGAATGCGGAAGAATGATGGCGTGGGTATCGGCGTGTGGAAGATTAAAGCTGCCCCCTAGCGTGTGGCACAGCTTATGGTGGAGGGCCATTCCAACACTACCGAGACAGGTACCACACAACCAGGCGCCATAAAGCGCTCTGCCTCGAGCGGCCCTTGCAGTAGCTGCATCACCTGAAAGCAACCCAGGAAGCGCTTCAGCTAGAGCAGTCACGCCTTCTTTAGCGAAGAGGCATGTTACAGGGTTTTGATTCTGCGAGTAAAGTGCCTCCACCGCGTGAGCCATCGCATTTATGCCACTTGTAATACTCAGACTGACTGGTAAAGACAAGGTCAAATCGATATCGTAAATCACAGTGCCCGGCAATATTTTCGGACTCGATTGCGTTGTTTTGCGGCCATCTCGAGTTTCGCCCAGGATAGGCGTGACTTCACTTCCAGCATATGTCGTAGGGATGGCGATATGGTAAAGGCCCGTCCGAAAGCTTATGGCCTTCCCCAGCCCAATAGTGCTTCCGCCACCGATGGAGATGATAGTGTCACATTTGGTTGATTGTGCAATCCAGACAGCCCGTTCTGTCACCTCGACCGGAGTATGCATTGTCGCCTCGGCAAAGATATCAGATACTCGCCCATCGAGGGCAGATCTCACTTGTTCTGCTTGAGCGACCTGTTGAGGCGTGCATAACAGAAGTGGCTTGGTAGATTCTAGCCGGTCTAACTCCAGTTGAATCTTGTTGATCGTTCCGCTACCAAACACGATGCGCGACGCACTAGTTTGGTAGACGAAGCCTTTGTTGTATTGCTGATCGTCCATTCTGAATCAAAGCGGTGGCACTATCATGGGATGTAATAAAGTTGTTGGAGGTAAGGACCTCAGGTAGGTTAAAGTACAGTATTTAAATTCCCACGTCAAGAGGTTCTCTAAATCGTGGCAGATTATTTAGCTTCGGGATTTACATACTAGTTATTCCGGAACTCCAAGTGGGATTACAAAACTACACATTAGAGCATATGCCACTGAGCATATCCCGGTGGGTACCCGTCGCGTAGTCAACCCATCTGACTGCCCGGGTGGGTCGGCGGCAGCTCAACATGCAAACAATTTGGATTCCTATGAAAAAGCCGAGAAACTACCTATTTAAGCAAAGATGACGCTATATTAAGACTTCCATGCGGATGTAAAACGTATAAAGAACCAGAATCCGGGTTTCCTGTTTCCCAGTAGCCCACTTCCGTTGGTTGGGGAAAATTGCAGGCGCGGGTTGAATTCTGCTTTTGCCTCTGCTTGCGGTTCATATTGCAGCCTTCAAAAGACGTTCGAATTATTGCTTCTTTTTGCATCAATACGATGCCTATAATACCCTGTATCTATCCTAATAATTGCTTTGGCCTGACAGCGTGATCTGGTGGTAGGGCTAGAAAGTCGATTCTGTGGCTACAAAAGGTTATTCAATGAGGCTGATGATTGCGTGCCTTTCTCCACATTAAACAGCACACCTCTAAACACATTACTTATAGTATGTATAGGCTTAGTCATAGCCTTTTATATGGTAGTATTTTCTTTTTGAACTGACCGTAGTGTTGTTGGATTTCGGATAGTCTCTGCTAGAGGTGGAGATGGAGTCTTTTGAATAGTTATACTGGCAATCTACACCGACGGCAGTGGGTATCAGGGTCAGGTGGGGGCCGCGGCAGTATTGCCAGGCCTATTCAGAGCGTCTGCATACCTAGGGCCTGGATCGACCACAACGGTGTACCGTATACGCCGCGGAACTCCGGGGCATCCGCAAGGCCCTGGCCATGGTACGAAGGGGTATGGAGTATAGAGTTGGAAGCAAGGATTGAGCATGGCGTTGTCATTTTCTCAAATAGCTAGGCGGCTCTCAGGGCGCTAGTAAGGCCGGGTATAGTATCCGGGTAAAACGAGTTGATGGCCTGTATTAGGGCCGCGGAAGACCTGTGGTAGGCAGACGTGGGAGTGACACTTCTGTGGATCCCAGCACACGAAGGGACCTAGGGGAACAAGGAGGCAGATCAACTGACTAAGGAGGCGGCCATGCGAGGCAACAGCCTGAGTCAGGACCAACTGATGGTGTGGCGCCTGGCTGCAGCCAGGGCCCCAGGATGCATGAATTTGGGCTTAGAAGCACGGGAAGAACGGTCGTCCTATAAAGCGCCTGGTAGAACTGCCATACCGCAAGGTGCTGAAGTACTGGAAGGGGCTCTTCAGGGCAACTAGTTCTGTGCTAATCCAGGTCCGTACAGGCAGGGTCGTGCTAGATTATTACCTAAAGAGCACTAATACAAGTGACACAAACTCAGGGATGTGAAGCCCTGAATATGTCCTTGTCCTTCTATAGTGTCCCCTACACAAAACCCTGAGGCGGAAGATATAGAGAAAGGTGAAACAACAGGAATTTCGGGTAATAGCAGGGACGAGATATAATAACTTGTCAACCAAAAAGACCGCTAGGCCACAAAAAGTGTGAACGCACTAATTGGGCTTTATACAGTCTATTTCGGTATCTTTTCAGGTTCACATAACTTAATTAGGGATGAGCAGGCTGCACTAGTAGTAGCAGAATGTAACGTTATAATCTAAAGTAATCTCCTACTCTACTTTGAAGTAGTAGATCCTACAGCTACTAGTGTTACGAAAGACTAGGAGTAATAGACCCTAGATAAGATGATCCTGAGGATGCAGAAACAGAAGACTAAGTAATAAAGGAGGCGCACACAGTAGCCTGGGCCTAGGCTCCCAGGATACTGAGTATCCGAATGAACCGATCAAGCAAACCGCAGAGGCGGAGGTGCTGCAGAGGAGGTTAATGAGGGGAGGATAGAGCGAGTGAGCGGGGTGTTCGCAAGTACCCGTGGCGCTGCCCACCCACCACAGGTGCTGGGTGGACAGCAACGTGACGGGAACTATTCCTATTTGGGCCGCCGCAGGCAGCGTTCCTGCCTTACTGTGCGATGGCAATCCTGCATGGCAGCCATTAGATAGGCAAGCTAAGACAGGTCAATGAACACTACTACTACTACTACTACTACTACTACTACTACTACTACTACTATAATATTCATGTCCATGTAATCCTTGAAAGTAATTATCTGAAAATTCAGCAAGGGAAAAAACACAAAGAAAAGTTGCGGTGTATGATACATCTATGTTGCTGTTGCGATCAGAAGGAGGTTATCTCTTGTGGGATTAACGAGGTATAGAGTCAGTAGCCCTCCATGAAGCTTCTATTGGCATCCCCACCAGAGAGTTCCACTCATTCAATCTCAATACACTCCAATCTGCAGACCTTGCAAGCCATGCTTACAGACGGCATCTGAACCCCTCAATCTTTCCAGGTGATGGTCTTGTATCGCAAGAATTCTGCCATGCCCTGCGCCCCGTTGAACCGGCCATATCCACTCTTCTTCACGCCACCATGCACAAGGGAGGCCTCGTCGTGCACAGTCATGGAGTTGATGTGGACAGCTCCCGTCTCGTACTGATGGGCCACGCGCAAGGCTGTGCTAAGATCCCGAGAGAAGACGGCGCCTGACAACCCGTAATCGGTGTCGTTGGCGAGCGCAAGCGCCTCCTCCTCCGTTTCGAACGTCATCAGAGACACGGTAGGCCCGAAAGACTCGGTGTGGAATATTTCCATCTCCTTGGACACGCCAGACACGATGACCGGCCGCATCTTTGTCGGCTGATCCTCGGAAGCCGTTGGGTCTCCAAGCAGCACCTTGCCGTCCTTATTTAACGCGTCATGGAGTAAATTCTTGTTCTTCGTCACTGCCGCCGGATTGATGAGTACATATGGTGATTCAAAATACTGCTGCGTGGCTTTCGCCAAAGCAGCTGCAAACTTGTCGGCAATCGAGGTGTGCACCAGGATCCGTTCGGTAGACATGCATACCTGGCCTCCCTATGGCAAGTAACATAAACCATCAGTTGACCCTTTCCATACCGCACAGCAGACCCGTACAGGCCGAACTTACATGAATGAATGCACCAACAGCGCAACTGGCAGCCGCCTCTTCGACGTCAGCATCCTTGAGGACGATGGCGCTAGCCTTTCCACCGAGTTCTAGCAAGAGGGGTTTTATGTGCATGCCAGCCAAGCTTGCGATGATGCTACCGACCGCCGTGCTCCCAGTAAAATTGATCTTTTTGATACTTGGATGAGCGATCAAAACCTCCGACACCTCCGCTGCGTCCGCCGTTCGGTGGTAGATCACATTGAGACACCCGTCGGGGAGACCCGCCTGGCTGAAAACGTCACCAATGGCCCAGAACACACGAGGGCTAAGCTCCGAGCCTTTTAGGACAGCCGTATTGCCCGTAGCCAACGCAAAAGCTACTGACCGGACCCCCAGCACATAAGGCGCATTCCTGATAAAAACGTCAGTTGTCTGATGCCGTACAACGAACGGCAGAGAGGAAAGTCGAGGGTTTGCATCCACACGTACCATGGTGCAATGGCAAGGACAACTCCGTAAGGTTCCTTGAGCATCATGGCATGGGAGCCTTGTTCGGCCGTGACAGGCACGTAGCCTTCAAGGGCCGACTCGATCCTGCCACCAATGTCTCTCAGAATCTGGTGTGCTGCATTGATGCCAAATTCCATAAATGCCCTTCCTGCACCGGTCTCTCGGCTCTGGTAGGACATTAATTCCTCCTTCCTACTGAGCAATAGGTCGGCGGCACGAAAAAGGATTTCTCTTCGTACGCTGGGCTTTGTGGCGGACCATGACACGAAAGCTGCCTGGGCCGCTTCGACAGCTTGTGTTGCCTCGACAACAGAGGCGGCCGATGCGTCCCAGAGTGCTTCGCCTGAGCCTGGACTGACGACAGTAAATGTCGATGGTAAGGTAACATCCTTACCGTTGATTATGAGGGGGACCGTGGTAGTTTCCCACTTAAATGGACCATTGTTCACAGAGATCGAGGCCATTGTTGCCCGCTGTGTCATAGTTGAGATGATATGCGTAGCGAAATGTTGTACTTAACAAGGATAACGAACGTATAGAACCCAACATATGGCAGCGCCGCTACATATCTAGAGATTTGCATCGGTGGCGCGTTGGTAAGGCCAAGGTGGGGACAAGAGGACGGGTGGTAGGTAGCTCCACTCAAGAGCCAAACATCACATGGATTTCTGAACAATAGAAATGTAACTAGTTATTTGCGATAGGTTTGGTTTCGTAACCTTAGTTTCCCATCATCAAGCTGGCTAGCTGTCCACCCTCTAGCCATCCCTTCACCAGCCGATACAGCAAGTCGTGCTTGTCTAGATTTACCGTCCCAACATGCCGTCTATGCCCTGGCAGGTCCTGCAGAACCGTCACCCCCATCGTGACCTCCTGCCAATACGCGAGGTACTTGTATCCCGGTGGGTATTTCTTCAAACGTTCTTCATCCAGCGTAGGTAACTTGGCCGGATTCGTCGGGATCATCTTGTCTTTCTCGTACCAGTGTCTGACAAGACGGGCACCCCAGTTTCCTTCAAGCTTTTCAAAGAAGAAGCAGAAGCGGCAATCAGTCTCGACATCAAACTCAATGCCGTCTACTTCAAAACGCTGCGTAATAGTTGCCTTGAGCTTGGTCACAGCGCGGGTTCCCGCTGTGTCGATATCAGTGCTCGCGCCGTGGCAGCGATGCATGATGAACGCTCCCCTGTCCATACCTGTCTTTGAGGCGGCAATGAATTCGTTGTACGCCACCTGACCAGTCCAAGTGGTATACACATGGGCATTAGGGTGGAATATCGACTCGAAGTTTTCCCATTCGCATGAGTCTCTGCGTCAGTCGTCAGAACCTTCGCCCCTCTCCATTGATAGGCTGCTGGCGGCGACGGTTGGAACTGACCTATAGAGGGGCCATCCCTCAGCGAGCTCTCGAAGCTTCACACGCTCCAAAACCAAGTGATCTGGACCATTGTTTCGAATGGCCGCGACAGGTCTAGAGCCAGCAGGCAAGCTGTGGAGATCAGGCATGGCTTTCGTCCCAGAAAAAAAGGTTGATGATAGAATTTTTCGCCTCAGTGAGTTTGAGTGGATTCGGAAGCGAGTCCGCGGTAATGGAATTCTTGCCAATCGCCTTGAGTCACGCCAGCCACGGCCTGATCCATATTATGTACAATCTCTGGGTTCCGGTTCCGTGGGGCGTCCGAGATGGGTACCATTGATGTGTTTGCATGGTAGCCACCCGGGCTTTGTCGTCCATCGGGCGGGTTTCATAGGAATCCCCATATCAAGGCAACAGCAGCCTTTCCGCTACTTGTCACGAAACCTACCTGACCTGTTAACTCTAAGCTTCCTCCTTAACTTACGATGAGCCGGAAGTATGACGCGCCAGCGGGCCTCCCTCCGCTGAAGGATCTTACTATTGACAATATCACTGCGAATGTCCACGCCATAAATTCCCAATGCAGAGATCCTCGCACCAAATATCTCTTCGAGAGACTTATCGTTCATCTCCACGATTTCGCACGAGAAACTCACCTCAATACCTCAGAATGGGAAACTGCCCTCGGTTACTTGGTCGATGTTGGCAAAATCAGTACAGATGTTAGACACGAGTTCATCCTTCTTTCGGATGTACTGGGGCTTTCTTTGCTTGTCGATTCTATTGACCACCCTAAACCCCCCGGCGCGACAGAAGGCACCATCCTTGGTCCATTCCATACAGAGGATGCGAATACGATTGAACCGGGAGGCCTTATTTCTCATGATCCGCACGGAGAAGCGCTATTTGCAGTGTGTTCAATCAAGGATACTCAAGGGAGGCCGATACCTGCTGTCAGCGTTGACGTCTGGGAGACGGACTCAAAGGGGTTCTATGATGTTCAATATGCAGGGCGGGAAACAGCAGACGGCCGAGCTGTACTCACCAGCGATTGGGATGGCATGATCTACTTCAAGGGCATCGTGCCAGTTCCGTATCCCATCCCGCATGATGGGCCAGTTGGAAAACTCCTCAGTGTGCTAAATCGTCATCCCTACAGACCGAGCCACATCCATTTCATGTTTAAAAAGGAAGGATTCGACAGACTTATCACGTAAAGCTTTCACACCCCATTTCACGCTTGCCGTCAACCAAGACTAATGCATCTTTTGTAGGGCCCTTTACCTACGTGGCGACCCTTTCGAATCATCTGATGCTGTATTTGGTGTTAAGGAATCGCTGATTATTGACCTGAAAAGGGTTGGTGATGTGCCAGGGCTTGCGGAGAGGCACAGTATTTCATCCGACACTAGACTGTTACAGTATGACTTCGTACTTATCACCGAGGAGGAAACGCGTGCTTTAAGGAATAAGGCACAGACGGAAGCCGCTCGCTAAGCGGGCAAGATTTGTGCCGCTAATGGAGTGATGATCTTGTCTGGCATGAAGCCAACGTAAACAGCAAACGATACGTGCCAAATAAAATCCTATCTTCAAGTTGAGGGACCGTACATTCCCAACCGAAACATTAAACAGTCGTGTCTCGTACGTGATTAACATGCACGAGAACCTGCAGTACGTAGCAGCCAAATACCTTATCAAAAATGACTCTAAATGCCCACCTTTAAACTGACGTCCTATTTAACAACTTCTGCTTTCACCGCCTGATTCAATTGGCCTAAGGTCTGCCTTGTTGACCAAAAAGCCTCTTGAGTGTAGCCGAACGTACTATTTTGAAGCATGGATACAGAAGACTTCATCAACCACGGAGCTTCCATAGCCAGCTGTGTCGTGCTTATGAACGTAGAGTAGGCTCTGGCTTGGTCAGTAGGCACCTGCCATGTAGCCCGAAACTGTGCCATCGGCGTAGTCCTGCCATCCCAGGCCAGCGATGGAGTATGAGGCACCAGCCCTCAGCTATCTGAGGTTTGGCTAATACTTGTCCTCTATTTTCGCGTAGGTGGCTTTTGGGAGGTATGGCTATACAGCATAGGTTTATATATGAGATAAATATAACTGCAGACTGATAATAGGTATTCAAAAGCGTACTAAATATAATGTACACCAGGTGGGATTTTCTTGGACACTTAGTATTATCGTAGATAGATGCTACAAGTACAGTTCTGGATCAAGGAAAGTATGAAAGCTTTATCACTTGGTCAAGGAGCTATGGAAATTGCCAAAAAAATATTCATGACGACCCGTACAGAACGATTGTATGGTTGATTATTCAGCCCATCATCATTAGATATATTCATTCCGACCTTTGATTGTTTGTTTACTGATGACCTGCTTCTGTATCAAACCGGCTCGAATGCTCCATCGAAGGCTCGCATTCACCAGCACAAGAAAGCGAGGAGTGGAGGGGAACAATGGCTAATGCATATCAATAACCTGCCTTTAGTCACGAATGGCGCTTATAATGGGTTCAGGCAGGGGCGTGATTCATGCACCAGTATCAACGCTTTTTTTGGGATCTAGTTGTTCTGTACTACACTATCTTGATAGAAAGGGGTGAAAAATATGTCCTCCCTCCATATACCGTGGCGGAAATTGCGCCACCCTAAGTACGAAGCGGTCGGGAGGAGATCGCAGTAATTCAGGGTGGCGTACGGTGGGGCCAAGACCCTGTGTACAGATACAGATCGACTGCGGCGTTGAGCACCGGTGTTGTATTCCTTGTTTTCCAAGAGTACATCCGCTCAGCCTTCGTCCCTCGTCCTTCGTCACAATTATCAGCACCCTTTGGCCCTGCACTATGTTCATACGCAAGGAATACATCTACAAGATTGCCAATGGCGTCCCGATTAAGGCAGATGTCTATTTCAAAAAGACTTTGTCGAGGCAAAAATCACCAATTGGTTCGATCTGCCCTCAATTTCTTTTCAAAGCTGTTCAGGCATCTAACAAAGCTCCTATGCAGCCCTCCACTTTCACGGAGGAAACTTTACCGTAGGGTCTAAGGATATGCTATCCCAACACCAGGTCACGGATCTAGTCGATAAGGGGTTCGTTGTTGCATCCCCCAACTATCGACTTTGCCCGACAATCACTGTCCATGACGGGCCAGTGACTGACGCTTTGGACGCCTATGATTGGTGCCAGACAAAGCTACCTGATCTACTGCAGAACGATGCTGGGATCACTGTTGACGGCTTTCGGATCGTCACTTTTGGCCAATCTTGCGGTGCTGCATTGGCACTTTCAACGGTACGTGAAGCATAAGGCGCGTTGTTTAACCTAGTCCGTCTCCTTTGGATGCCTAACCAAGTTTCCCATTACTTATGCCGAACGATGCTAATGATCCGGTCGTCACGAGATAGGCTGCATTACCCAACCCTCCCCTTGCTATTCTTGACTTGTACGGCATGAAGTATTTCAACGATCAGTCATTCCATACTGCTCTGCCCCCTCCTCCCACGGACAGTCCGACGTTTGAAAACAGCTTTTTGAGCCAAATATGGAAGGACGTTCCTCCTCCGAGTAGCGCGCCTCCTCCCATGGGACCCGCTGGACCAGATTTTAGCAACCCCCGTGTCGCATGGATGTTTGACGTCCTGGGTAAGGGCTTATTAATGAAAGAGGTGGTGAGAGATGGAAACTATGAACGCGTAGACCCCGCGAGATTATTTTCCAAGGGTCGATTCCCACCGACCTACTTCATCCACGGTGCAAAGGATTTCCTAGTCCCAGCAGAACTTTCGCAGCGGGCTCACGACGAGCTGGAGAACGCCGGGGCGGAAACTGAGCTTGTTATCATTGAAGGAGGCCAGCATGGGTTCGATGAAAGTGCAGAGCCTGGAAGTTACGTATTTGATGTTGTAAGCAAAGGATTCGAGTTCCTTCGGACTCATGCAGAAATTTAATGATCTCGGGCCAGAGCCGGCCGGGGTGATGCTATATCCTTGACTTTTGCCATCCCAAACATGAAGATGAGTGTAATAGAACATAGTCCCCGCTCAATAGTGCCCCATATAAAACCTGGAATACGACCCTGGAAGTGAATGCCGCACTAGCTATAGGCTCCGCAACCATAGACGCCACCACCCTGTGACGTCCCGCGTCCACTTTGGTACTCGGAAAACCCGGCCCAAATCACACACGTCGCGAAAGTAAAACTTCTTTGCCTGCATGGTTTGTGTAAGAAAAAATCTTCGTCACGGCCGAGACACTCAGACGGCGAATCTTCAAGTCAAGTATCTACATCAAGAAGTGAATCGCGAACCCCCACATTAAGCTTAACTAGAACTGATTTGAAACATGAGCAGTCATGGACACGACCGCGAATCAGTCTGGAGCTGCCAGGGGGAAGCGCGTTTCCCAGGCCTGTAATAACTGTCGGCCTCGCAAGCAGAGATGTGATGGTCGAAGGCCCACGTGTGCGGCCTGCTTCAAAGCGAGACGGCTATGCAGTTACGACCATGCCATGGCAAAGAGGCGCGGCCTACCTACCGGCTACGTGCGATCCTTGGAACTGCTATGGGCTCTCATGTTCGCAGTTGTGCCCAATAGCATCGATATACTCAAGAGGATCTTGCAAGAGATACAGTTTACCATGGATTCTCGTGGTCAATTGGCGATTGCCACAAATCTTATCCGCTATCCGGGTCTTCTGCGCGAGACCTGGGAGAGAAGTGGACTCCGGACGAAGCTGGATAGCCTATTATCTAAATCTGCCACCAAAGCTATTGATAGTGGGAATCCCGCTGGTTTACACAACACTCAGAAGTCCGCATCCGATGGTCAAAAACCCTTCACCACACCATTTGAAGATTCTCAAAGGCAGTCATCATTGCATTCATCACCGAAAATTCCGGCCCGACTTCACCCTTGCTCTCCTAGCACCAGGTCCATGCATACGGTTCCAAATGGCGTCAACTTATCCACAATGCCAGCCAGGTGCTTCGCAGTCGATAAATGCAGAACTCCACAGAGCAGGGCCTGCTCGACTTCCCACGTATTTGATTCATCAACCAACAGGCCTGGCAATTGTTGGTCTTTGCTCCCCCACACGGATTTCACTATGAAGGATCAATTTACACCAACAGAAGATACAGTATCTGTTACAGATGGCTTGGCGAGGCCAGGCCCAAATGCCGAGAAGCCCTATTATGATCCAACATGGAACGGAGATGGCGATTTAACCGAAAGCGAAGGCGACACACTGGCCCATGGATTACTTGATGCACATGTGGTGGAGGCTGAGATCTTGGGCAGCGATGATGGCTGTTCTCTAGGTACCAAGTCTGTGCACACGTATTATGAAGCTACATTTGCAGAGCTCCTTAACTTCATGTATATGGGCGGGGCAAGGATTTCAGATTTCACGTTTTGGTAATGGACGGTGACTATGTACATGTACTGTAAGTAACAATTCTCAAGAACATGATTCGAATGACTCAGTTAAACGGCGGGATGACTTGCTCTGCCTCCATAGTATTCTCGCATAAATGAGTATTATCGCATAAAATGAGTATTCCCGCATAAAATGCCCTTATCATAACTCCCCTGTTTGCCTTTCCTGCTCCCCACCCAGTCCCACCGAGGCTTCCGAGGGGCTCAGAATGACGGTGGCAACCAAAGGCAGGTTATGTATCCACCATCGGCCATTCACCCAGCAGACGCTGGTGGGGTGTTATATTTGCGGGCGAACCAGTCCGTGACCCTTCTTTCCGAATCAGCATCGCGCGGCATCCAGCGAGGTTGATATATCCCTCAATTGTCATCGATGTCTCGTCTGGATCTTCTAGCAGCACATTTCTCCCAATTCGACGTAACAAACAATCAATCGACCCGAGAAATCATGTCATCACTGGCCGGAAAGATTGCACTGGTTAGCGGCTCCTCCGCGGGACTTGGCGCTGCAATTGCCCAAGAGCTTTTCGCTCGTGGTGCCTCAGTTGTTCTCAATTACCCCTTTCCCACCGAAAAGGCCAATGCAGACAAGGTCCTCGAGAGCCTCGGTGATTCCACAAGAGCCATAGCGGTTGAGGCCGATCTGTCGACGCGAGACGGGCCGCAGGCCTTGGTTGATGGGGCTGTCAAGTTCTTTGGTAAGATTGACATCTTAGTCAACAGTGCTGGGATCAACCGCCCGATATCTTTGGACGACCCGAACGATTCGAATGTTGAAAGGACATGGCACGACATTGTGAATTTAAATGGCAGAGGAGTATTCTTCCTCACCAGGGCTGCCCTCAAGCATCTTTCGCGAGAGAACTCACGAATCATCAACATTGGCAGTTCTGCATCTCGTACTCCAAGCCCGCAGTCCAGTATCTATGCCGGTGCCAAATCCATGGTTGAAGTTTACACGCAGTGTTGGGCAACGGAACTGCCTCGCAAGTACGGCTGCACTGTCAATGCGGTTGCTCCCGGTCCGGTGGCCACGGACGCTTTTTTGGCCGCCCCGCCGTTTGTTAGAGAGGCTTTGCAGCCCTTGGTTGACGCGACTCCCGTCGCCCCGCGCCTGGGTACGCCGCAGGAGATTGCCTGGGTGGTGGCGAGCTTGGCGGAAGAAAAGGCAGGCTGGGTCAATGGAGCCTTTATACCTACCAATGGAGGAAGTGCCATCTTCTAGTAGTTCGTGTGGTGTATGTACTTAGAGAAACCCATCTATTTCTTGAGTTAGACGATGTAAGCCACCCGTCTTGTCGTGGAGTTAGTCATGTTTCGGATATGAACAACAGGAATTCTCAGGAGCGTCTTCGCAAAATAGAGTTGCTGTGAATTATAAAAGATCTCAAAGTAGAAAGTCATGGACATATAGAAGATAACACAGTACGATTAAGGACATACGAGCCTTTCGCCTAAATCCTCCTGGTTTAATGTAACCCCCAACCTCAGAACTCAGCTATTCAGATCCCCCCTACAAAAACGAAGGAAAGAAAAGGACTCACGCACGACAATGGCTGGGGAAGCAAGGCGATGTTAAGGGGTATGTTACTTCCCGTCCGCATTTCTTTGAGACGCACCAGCCTTCCTTGCAGCCTCGACCTCCTTACCGTCTACCCAGCTACCGTGCAAACCATCCATGAGTTTAAATGGCAGCTTGATCTCGGCAATTGGGCCCTTGGTGATGTCCAACGCGTCAAATAGCAACAGAACATTTCGGCCCTCACGATAGCGATCGGCCAGGACAAGGAGGTATCCATCTTCCCCGGCAGCCCCCTCGTGGCGAGGCACAAACACTGGTTCTTGGAACGTGGTGTCGTCGGCGTGCCTGTACGTCTGGAGCTCCCTGGTCTCAAAGTTGTAGCACACTAGAGTGTTGAAACCGGCGTTCGGGGCAGCAAATTCGTGGTCACTGCGCCTCACTGGTTTGGTGGGATCAACCTTCAAAATCCAGACGCGAGAGTACTTCTTGCCAAGAAGACGATCATCGATGCGACCGAACTCGTTCACACCCGGGACGTGTACCGCCTCATGGTGGATCATCGTGTCGGTGCTACCCTTGGGGTCGAATCGGTACCGGAGAATAGGCGACGTGACCTTGGTCGGATCGGTGAAGAAACGCTCACCCTTGCTGTTGGGGAAGAAGGGGAAGTGCGCGTCGGTCCAGACATTGGCATCCAACACCAAGTGGCCGCCCTCCTCGTAGGCGTTGATGGTGTGCGAGTAGCAGCCCTGAGGCGTCTTGAACCACTTGGCATCTTCCGGCTTTGCTCCCCTTCGTGGGACCACGCCAAGGAGCTGATATTCCAGTGTCTCATCCCAGTAGAAGTGATCGCCGCCGTTTTTCATCTGCTCGAGGCTGGCCTTCAGTCCATTGATTGGGAACACGACCCAGTTCTCTGTAACCCAGAAGTCGTGAATCATACACGGCCAGGGCGCCTGGAACCAGACCTCTTCGGTGATCCTTCCGGAGCGGTCAACAGTAAAGGAGCAGATATCGGGAGAAGCTTCCCCTGCAGCCTCGTAGCCGTAGCAAACAATTTCTCCAGTGTCAGCGTCCGCTTTGGGATGAGCGGTATGGGTGGGACAGCGAAGGGTGCCGTGATAGTCAATCGGTCCAATAGTGTCCAAGGTGATTGGATCCATTTCCATAGGGGGGCATCTTCCTTGAGTGCCATCAATTTGTTATCATGAAAGACGACATGAGTGTTGGCTGTTGTGCCTCTGAGCACGTCCCGGACGAGCGGTTCATCGGTGTACTTGTTGCGGTATCTGCCGAAGACGGCCCGTCTGGCTTTGCGCTCTGCCAGCAGCTTTGGCGTCTTAACGTACCGCTGTTTGAAGTCCACATGTCCGTCTTTAATGGTAAAAGAGCTAACATTGCCGTCTCCGTTGAGAGGGATTTCCGTATCGGCGAACTTTGGTGGAAATGCATGATCAGGCTGAACTCGGTAAAAGGTACCATGAATCGTGCTGGGAATCTCCCCAGTGACCTCAAGCTCGAAAACATCTGCCTCGAAGCGTAGGTGGTCTTCATTCCACTGGCTCATGGCATAATGCTTAGGAAAGCGAGTCCCACCGCTGCTGGGGACACCGGGAACGATGTGTGCCATGAAGTTTGGAATAATAAAAAAATATACAAAAAGAAGGCTGAACGTCGGTTCCGTTACAAATTGTTCTGGAAGCGGGCATATTAAGGCATCAAAGTAACTGGCTCTAATCGGTTTTTAAATAATATAGTACCTGGCTCTCTCTCGCCTTTTCTCGCCTGGGCTGGATCGGACCCATCTACGTCTACGTCTCGGTGGGGAGTCCCAACCTCCCCTCCCCACCCACATCATTGTGGCACGATGGACGGTGCACAATCTCCGCAGAACATACGCGGTATGACCATCCATCTGGGACCAAGGCAGCATCCAACTAACTATTCTATGTATGTCGAATATCAGGCCTTGCTGAGCACCGCCTTTTTCCAACTTTCCTTCCATTCTTCGATAGACGGCCAATAAAACCCACGGTGGTCGCCTCTGCTATTCGAATAGCATTCTCATCCCTTGTCCAATCCAGCTTTCTAAACCACCCACATCATCCATCATGGTTCAGTGGTATAGTGACCCAGTGCTTCAGTTGCACCATGACCAAGCTTTTGGATCACGGAAGCCGGGGGCAAGCACTCTCCCACCAGGTCACGATGAAACTAGCTTCCAGCGTGCTCTGGGAGAATTCAGGGCCATCGTCGGCGATGAACACGTCATTGTTGATGAAGGGTTGGTGAATTTTCGAGATCCATACCCATTATTCGAGGAGGGATTCGAGGCATCTGCTGGTTTATGGTCTGATGTTCCGAAATCTTGACGTTTGGAGAGATAGAATCCTAACATGAACTCCAGTCCAGCATCTGTTGAGGAAATCCAGGCGATTCTCAGAGTTGCCAATCAGCATAATGTGCCCCTGTGGGTTTGCTCACAGGGGAAGAACTTTGGGTAAGTCTCCCGATCAATACCTGTCAGTACGCCAATCTCTCATTCTAATTCATTAGCTACGGTGGGCCTGCACCTCGAGTTGCTGGCACAGTTGTCTTGTCTCTTCAGAGGATGAGGCGCATATTAGAGGTTAACGAGAAGCTTGCGTACATCGTGGTGGAGCCAGGCGTGACATTTTTCGACGTTTTCAACCACTTCGCCGAGAACAAACTCAACCTCTGGATGTCAGTTCCAGCCCTGGGGTGGGGAAGTGTCTTGGGTAACGTAAGTCACTCGGAGTGTCCAGTTATCTCCCTTGAGTCATGACCTTGACCGCTATAGACTCTTGATCGTGGCCATGGGTACACCATTTCGGGAGACCGGCAGCACTTTATCGGTAGCATGGAAGTAGTGCTGCCTTCGGGGGAAGTCCTCCGTACTGGTCAATGGGCGGTGCCTAATTCCCCAAGCGCACACGCCTGTGCCAACAGTTTCGGTCCTCAGGTGGACGGCCTGTTTCTGCAAAGCAACCTTGGTATTGTCACCAAGATTGCGGTAGCCGTTGATATCGCCCCAGCATCCTTTATGGATGTCAAAATCCACTGCCCCGAAGTGGATGACATTTCACCCCTTATTGATACGCTGCAGAAATTAGACCGCGAAAGCATTACACAGAGCCACCATATGATCACCAACATCAACCATTTCGCTTCTCACGACGCAGCAAAGCACGAGCAGCAAAGTACCCAAGGTCCACTTACACCTGAAACCATCGTTTATTTGAAAAAGAAGTACAACACGGGTTACTGGCGCTGCGTGGTCGCACTGTATGGCCCGAAAAGCCTTGTCCAAGCCCGCTGGAGGCGCATCCAGGAGGTTGTATCCACGGATCTTCCGTCCAGTAGGATCGAAAATACGTTTTACGAAGGAGAAAACGGTCAACCCCTGGATAACACAAAAATTGACAGCTTGTATGCTGGTGTCCCAAGCATGAATCCTATAAAGCTAGCAGATTACAACCTCCCCGCAGATGGATCTGGATCAGGAGGCCACATTGACACGACGCTCATCCTGCCGTGCGACGGTCCAACGGTCTCAGCTTGGTTCAAAAAGGCCAAGTCTATCATAGAAGTTGAAGGCGTTGATCCATTCATTGGTTGCCACGTGTTCCCAAAATACATCCTGTTTGTTCAGGAATATGTTTTTGACAAAACTAACCCGCAGCACCGTGAAGGCGGCCGAAGATTTATAAAGTCTTTGCTCGCGGAGGCAGAAAAGAACGGGTTTGCCAACTACCGATCTCACATCCAACATATGGGTAAGTTTCCTTCTGCCCTGGGATATTGCAATGCTCACGCTACGCCAGATGCGGTTCAAAACCTATATGGGTATAATGGCCACATTTACCGGAGATTTGTTGAGACATTGAAGGTGCGTTCACACTTTGAATGCCATTTACTGTTTTCCTCTGTGAAAGCCTTGCTGATGTTCAATAGGCTGCTCTAGACCCAAACGGCATCATCTCCCCTGGGAAGCAGGGAATTTGGCCGGTCAAGACGATCTCGTATGCCTCTAGACCTAAACAATAATTTTCAAGTTCCATCTTGGATACAAAGTCTGGTGTGTGTTTATTAGCTCTGATAGGCAAGATTGAAAGGCTTTTTATTTACCGCAAAGCACCGCCATTCCGGGGTGGGAAATTCATCCTTTTCGTTTGTTTTCTTCATTTTTCACAAACGACTTCAGCTCCTACCCGTGGGGATAATAATCAAGGCCGAGTATGATGCCCTAGATAATATAAATTCATGGGATTGACATGTATATACACTGCGTAGCAAGAAGAGCAATGAGCTAGCCCATGATACGACATTGTCTTCGGCTTTATATTTATGATCATATCCCATTAACTATGATATTTTCCAACCCGAAGAAGCGCCTCGTGGGTAGTGGTGGCTGGCGGACGAAATTGGGCCTGCTGGAAAAGGGAAGTCGAAAGGTTGAAGCCATCTCGCGGGCTATCTGCGGACTAGTTCCCACTGTCAAGTACCAAAGGAGAGTGCCAGCCCCGTATTAGTATTCAAGTTAAAGGTTCTAACAGGTTGTCGGGCCTGAATAAATTACATAACACGTAATGATAATTTTGTGTCCTAGTAGGCTTCCAATGCCTGGCTTTTAGCCACTTCATTTTGTTCAGCCGTAATCGAGGTCAGCCACGCCAGCCAAGAAATACCGGCCGAGTTATAAAATACCTCATCAGTTTTCAGTCAAACAGCCGCTCTTCAGCAGCAACAGCACACTTTTGGCACTCGTATTCCGGTTGCATCCGTGTAGGAGGAGGATTCGGCACAGCTTCTGTATCCATTTCTTCCTTAGCGATGATATCTTCGTACCTGATTTGTAGCAATTTTGTGGCACGATGCATCGTGCGTTAAGTCAAGAAGAATGGCGACAAATCGAATATCTTCTTTAGATCACCCAGCCTTTCTTCAAATTTATAACTCTTCTTTTAAAGACAAAGGATGTTAGTATTCATCTAATCTTTAGTATCTATAACAAACTCTTCACTCACCTTAAAAAGTCGAAAAGTGCGTTAAGACCGATTTATACAGAGCTAAAGAACGGGCAGTAGATTCGAAGTATACCTAGCTACTAGTATCGTTTCTCACTGGACTCGTAACTAATGGGGGAGTCCTTCTTGTTCCCGTTCCTCGGGGGATCTTCAGCATTCTTCACATCGGGATGTTTCTCGTAGATTGAATGAACGAACATTCTGCCCAGTATTCACCTTCCCCTTGATAATATCTTACGCTGTTCTCCAAGATAGTGATCATTTTGGTAAACCCTCCAACTCAAAGGCATTGCTCTGCTCCCACGGATGTGTTTGTTCCACTGAGCGAATGAGGATTTCATGAGCTGCACTACGAGGTGCAATATGAAATTTCCATGGAACTGGGTGGCTGATAACTCCCGGCTTGAAATCCGGCTGAACATCGACTTCTTTCCGCTCTTCGACAGGCCTGATGTTGAAGACGGTAAGGGTTTGCGCAGCACTCAGATAAACTGTAGTTGCAGCCAAAAACCTCGCGGGACAGATACGACGCCCGAACCCAAAGACAAGATCGTTCGGGTCCATTTCAGGTCCTCGGCCGTCCACACCAATGAAACGCTCAGGCTTGAATATCATAGGATCATAATAGACTGCAGGATCATGCGTCATGGCCCTTTCATACAAGTCAATAGATCGTCCAAGGATTTGTCAAGAATTATTATTAGACGGTATAGACACACCAGATATTTGGCATCAGCAATGAACCTTTTGGGATGGAATATCCTTCCCAGGTATCATCATCGCTTGATGCATGGGGGATACCCATGGGTGCAACCGGATGCCAGCGTAGGACCTCCTTCACCACAGCATCAATATATGGCAAGCGAGTTCGATCCTTGACTTTAGGAAGCTGGTCAGGTCCTAACACGCGATTAATCTCCTCTTGGGCTTTGCGCTGGACGTCGGGGAACAATGTCATTGCCAGGAAGAAACATTCAATGGCGCACACAGTCTAATTATGTCAGTACTAGCGGAGAATATGGGCTGTATCTCATCTTACTGTGTCAGCGCCTCCGGTATAGAGTGACGCGGCGGTCCATTTTGCAATTAACTCGTCCTCTGAGCCAGGAAGGGGATAGCCTGCCGTTTTGAACAAGTTCGAGAGATAGGATGACACGTACCGGCCACCATCCATCTTCTGCTTTACAAATGCATATGGCTTGTCTGCAACAGTCTCAAGATTCTTCTTCCATACCTGCGCTTTTCGCTTAAAACTAGCCCCAGGAACCCATGAAGGGACATATTTCACTGCTCACAGTCAATAATCGCCCAATTGTCGAAAATGAAAGGGTGGAACGTACACGCTGGAATCATATCAACCAACCAAGCCCCGGGTGTTCCAGCCTTGGAAAAATGATCCAAAGCCAGGTTAGAAATATGCACTAGGGGGTCGCGGGCATGTGCCTCAACTGTATAGCCGTATGCGATTTTGAGAATTATAGCGCCAGCTTCCCTAGATACGCAGTTTTCAGAGATTGGGCTCGACACAGTCGTCGAAATTGAACCCTGTACTAACGTTTGAATGTGCTCCGAGAGTTTGGATTGATCTCCAAGCACGCGTAAGAGAAATCGATGAGCTTCGATCTCTTGGAGTGAGTTGAACTGAGCAACAGCAGACTCGGAGCCAATGTATGGGTGTAATGCTTTGCGATAGGCACGGAACCGAGCCGAATATGGTTGCATAGCTAGAATGTGCTCCCAGCCAACCCTATGAATATTAGCTGGGTGACATGGTTGTTTTGAAAGAGTCGTGGACTAACATTTCCGATGCGAATACTAAATTCGGACGGGATGAATAGATAGCAGAACGTTTGCCCAGCAGTTCTAATGCTACATTTGCATCGTTGAGGATGACAATTGTCTGACCCATCACCGTAATAGAGCTAATTGGACCTGAACATCTCTCAGCAAGTTGAAGATAGAAAATTTCCTACGTACTTGGAGCCAACGGAAAGATTTCAGTCCTACATACCATATAACTCCTTGTGTTTGAGCCAGTGCATCCAGTCCTGTGTCCCTGGGGGTGGCAGATCGGCGATATTGCCAAGTACAGGTTTAGGTCGTGGTCCCGGTGGGAGCGGGCCGAGAGGCCCTTTGCGGGTCAAGAGCATCTTGGTGACATAGAGACCTACTATCCCCAATATTAAGCCAACATAGACATTGTAAGACATCGTAGGGAGCCTTTGGACTAGGACTGAGGCAGACAGAGGGGAAGAGGAAGGAGGCTACAATGAATGAAGATAACGCCTGTGGGCCCCTGTCACATTTGATATATATTGGGCTCTGACAGAGCTCCGCTGTACGCATATCTCGTTAGTGCATACACGCCTCCCCGCTCCCGTCACGTCTTATTGTTGGTTAAAACTCAAGGTCCCTGTGCTATTGGCCATTTTGTCTCATAATAGTTTTTCCAAACGAATGAAAAGCGCGGTATTGCTGACGCGAAAGAAGACTAAATATCGGGGGCCGCCCCACTGATGCTGCCACGTCTGACGGTAGAGTCAGCTCCATGAAATAAGAGCCCCGAGCCCCCTATGGCTAGTTCGCTTGCGCACTGCCATGAAAGACATCTAATAGCTTCCTGGCACTTCTGAGTTTGCAATGTCCGAGATTCCTTATCTAGGATGAACAACTACCATGATATGGATGACCTGGAGTGCCAGGTATTTTGGTCCGCGGACGAAGATTAGCCGACATGATATTCCATAACGACGGTTCAGGATCGAAAATGTAGACGATCTAGCTAGCAAGCTATATTTGGGTATCTGCCCGCGATAGTTGGATACAGAAATACCGAGTACGAATAAGAATTCAAATATAGTGGAGTCTTCATGACTTGGCGTTTCCTTGCCCCTCAGATCACAACAGTATGTAAATACAATAGGTATTCATCTTGGTAGAGGTTGAGGTTTGAAATAAGTGGTCGTGGCGCAACTCGATCTTCGGTGGTTTTACAGACAGCCTACAATCTACGAGAAATGTATAGATACCCTCAGAGGTGGCAAAATTTTGCGAATACATGTGTTCCAGACAACGAATGACATCAGAGTTCAAGAATTGCTCAATAGCGTGAGTAACATGCATATTTTCCATAATGATATGGAGAGTACTAAATTATGCCGTTGTGTTTTGGGTCCGTAGTTAACTCCCAGAGCAATAAATATCGATGACGCGCTCACTCGCGATAATCCAAACTGTCGGAAAATAATCTTAGTCAATGGCATTTGTATTGGCTTCCACGATGAAGGTCATCCGTGGAATGACGACAGTTCCATTGTTTTCTTTGCCCGTTATAAGAACGATGCTCCTCCAACATTCTATATGATTGTCGTCACGACGTTCTATATCGCAAACACTCAGCGACAGTACACACCACATTTCAAAATTCATTTTCCAAGGAGAGAAAGCATGCCTGAAGGTAAGCACTATTCCTAGAAGTACCTATTTCCAAGCTAATATCACCCCTAGAACCGAAGCACCGCAAGGGAAGTTTCGGTGGCTTCATGGATAAAGTGCTCCACCGTGATCATCACGAAGACAAGGACCAAGCCCATCAAGCCAAGGATGAGCATGACCCTGACCAGGAGCAGCATGAAGACCAGCCCCAGAAAGAGGGTGAAATGGATAGGGTCAAGGACTATATGAAGAAGGATCAGGATATGGAGGCGGAGGGAAGGACTTACGGAGATTTGATGTAATTTCTGTGCAAAGAAATTGAAATGTATTATTAGTTCTGTGTTGAAATTTAATTTTACTCATCTCTACTCGCGATATTCATTACATACGGACTATGGAGTATGGAGCGATAGATGCGCTGTAACATCCCAGATGCTAGACTGCGTAGCCAACCCCGCATTTACCCCGGATTCTGGTGTTTGGCCTGGAACAGTTTCTACTGTAGAGGGTGAAATAATGCAATGATGATAGCCATTTATATTTGAGCAGTCTGGATTCGGCTGCAAGAAATTCCATTGTGAAAGTACTCACATTCCATCAAATGTGACGCAACTCAAACCCGATGTCCGCCAAGAAAATACAGACTTAGTGCGATGCCCAAAGCTCCGCTCGACAGCTCCACAGAGCAAGAGAAAAGGAAGATATTCTATGTTTGTCTCTGGAATGCCAGACCCAACTCCCCCCGCACAAGCGGACAATAGGCCGAGCCCCTGATCTCGGCTGATGACCGTAGTGGGGAAGGACAGCCCCGAGTGTATATCGCACTGTTGCTTAAGCTTCACGCTTAATATCTTACTTCCTTGAAGCCGGCAGTGGAAATGCGGGGAAATAAGTCTCTATTGTGATGATTCGTTGGATAAGGTATTTATGGGGGTGAGATGGACAGGAATGGCGGGATATTGCCTGTTCAATGCAATTCTGAGTGGTTAATTGTTATGGCCAAGACATAGATACAAATGTTGAGTACTGCTCGTCCGGGTACATGATCGACATATACCTCGGTAATGCGAGAATATAAAGAGACTGCGCCGTGGGATGGATGTAGCAGGTATTACCTGCGAAAACAACTCTGCATCATGAGGAACCATATGGCAGCCGGGTGGTTTTACTCCCCTAGCCAAATCATCCGGTACTTTGCGACGCGAGTATCAAGCCTGAGTCCACCAAAGGTCAGCTCACATACAGCGACCCTCAAACTTGGTCTTTGGCCAGATTGTTAACCAGTCTCCACAGAACAAGCTGAGAAACCCGTACGCCATCCTGAGGGAATTGACATCCCATCAATGGCTCATGTTTGCGGCTGGCTTTCTCGGGTGGACATGGGATGCATTCGACTTTTTCACGGTGTCTATGACAATCACTGAAATATCCGAGGCGTTTGATGTTTCGTATTCGGACGTTTCATGGGTAGGTCTCCTCGGTCATGTGTACATGTACTTGCAACACTTCTAACATACACAAGGGTATGACAGTAACACTTATGCTGCGGTCGGTTGGGGCTATCATCTTCGGAGTCCTGGCGGATAGATATGGACGCAAATGGCCAATGATCATCAACCTGTTCCTGTTCATCATACTCGAGCTGTGTTCTGGGTTTTGTCAGACACTTCCCCAGTTCTTAGGGGTGCGTGCTCTCTATGGTATCGCGATGGGAGGTATGCATTCAATCCGGTGTTTTTTGACTGGTATTTATTGACACTCTTCAGGGCTGTTCGGTCCAGCAGCAGCCACCGCTCTGGAAGACCTTCCATATGAAGCTCGCGGCTTACTCTCCGGACTGTTCGAAATGGGCTATGCAACAGGGTATCTCCTTGCGGCGGCTTTCTATCGCGCCCTTGTGCCGACAACAAGTCACGGTTGGAGAAGTCTGTTCTGGTTCGGCGCGGGCCCACCAGTGCTCATCATCGCGTTTCGTTGGTGCTTACCAGAGACAAACCACTTCCAAGTCATGAAAGCAGAGCGCGAGGCACGAGCCAATGCAGTGAGTGACGATGGTACCCACCCGACGGGCTTGCGCGTGTTCCTCCGGGATGCTGGACGGGCTCTTCGTGACAACTGGGTACTGTTCATCTACCTGATTGTGTTGATGACAGGCTTCAACTCATGTTCCCATGGTAGCCAGGACTTCTATCCGACCTTCCTGAAGGATCAGGTCGGGATGGATGCGACTCAAACCACAGTCATCACGGTTGTAGGCCAGATCGGTGCTTTGATCGGTGGCTGCACAATTGGCTACATCAGCACTTTCTTTGGCCGACGCCTGACCATGCTTGTGTCATGTGTTCTCGGAGGCGCCATTATCCCGGCGTACATATTGCCTCGAAACATGTCGTTGGCCGCTTGTGCTTTCTTCGAGCAGTTTTTTGTTGGTGGCGTCTGGGGTCCGATGCCAATTCATCTCCTCGAGCTCTCCCCGATCGCACTCAGAACTCTAATGGTTGGACTGACCTACCAGCTGGGTAACCTTGGATCTTCCGCCTCGGCAACGATCCAGTCTATCATTGGCGAGCGGTTTCCGTTACCGCCTGGGTTAAATGGAAAGGCACGGTTCAACTATGGCAAGGTTATTGCCATCTTCATGGGCGCAGTCTGGGCATTCATGTTGTTTTTCCTCTTCTGGGGACCTGAGATGTCGCAGGAGGAGCGAGACGAAGAGGCCGAGGCTGCTCTGCATCTGGAGACATTGCGCGCGCAAGGCGTGAGTTTGGCGGAGATTGGACAGCACCAGTTCCGGAAACAAGGAGATTCAAGCGAGCATGAAGACAAGCCTCAGACAGAGCACATTGCGTAGGAAAAAGATGGGAATGTTGAAGTTGTAGTGTACTCCGTCTATAGTTGAGAAATGATGAATGCCAAGAATGCGAAACCCCGCGGCCCCACGATTCACCGGAGATTCTCTTCGGGTCGTACGGGAGTCAGAGCTGAACTCGTGGATTTCTATTTCTTTTCTTCTCTTCTTCCCTTCTGTATTCTGTCCATATCTTTCGCATCATGACGCAAGTATCTGTGCAAAGCGCACCCCGCTATCTGACCGGCGATAAGGCCGGTCTCAAGGAGTTCCTGGACAAGTTTGATGTAAGTCCCCGATATGATCGCGCAGGGTTGTTGTAGAGAGCCAATTGCTGACCGGATATCTTGCAGGTATTCCTCTTCGACTGCGATGGTCAGTATCTCACGTACTGCGAATCTCGGCTTTCCCTCCGACGACCCCCGCGAATCACCGCATTGAAACAACAGCTGAGAGGAAAGTGATATAGGAGTGCTATGGTCCGGTGACCACCTCTTCCCCGGGACAGTGGAGACATTAGAGCTTCTCCGGAAGAATGGTACGCGTAAACCATGGAGCGAATGAAAGTAGAAGCTAATCCTCCGCACAGGAAAGCAAGTCGTTTTCGTGACGAACAACAGCACCAAGTCCCGCGCAGACTACCGCAAGAAGCTGGAGGGCCTCGGTATACCCAGCACAGTCGTCAGTCAACCTCCTGGTCTAATATTGAACCCCAATGTCTCACACCAAGCAGGAAGAAATCTTCTCCTCGTCATACAGCTCCTCAATATACATCTCGCGCATTCTCAAACTCCCCGAAAACAAGCGCAAGGTCTACGTGATTGGCGAAACAGGCATCGAGCAAGAACTTCAATCAGAGAATGTCCCCTTCATCGGCGGAACAGACCCAGCCTACCGTCGCGACGTCACACCAGAAGACTACAAGAAGATCGCCGCAGGTGATGAATCAATCCTAGACCCAGAGGTCGGAGTCGTCCTCGTCGGTCTGGACTTCCACATGAACTACCTCAAGATCGCACTGGCATACCACTACATCAAGCGCGGCGCCGTCTTCCTCGCAACCAACATCGACTCCACACTGCCCAACTCCGGGACTCTGTTCCCTGGTGCTGGATCGATGAGTGCGCCACTCATTATGATGTTAAATAAGGAGCCTGTGGCGCTTGGAAAGCCTAGTCAGGCGATGATGGATGCTATTGAGGGCAAGTTCCAATTTGATCGTAGCCGTGCTTGTATGGTAGGTGATCGGGCTAATACTGATATTCGCTTTGGGCTTGAGGGAAAGCTTGGTGGCACGCTCGGTGTGCTGACTGGTGTTTCTTCTAAGGAGGACTTTGTTTCTGGGGATTCTAAGCCTCATGTCTATTTGGATAAGCTTTCTGATCTGCTTGAGTCTGAGTAGACGGTTAGAGTAGATTTGTTTGGGTTTGATAGATGTTAGGTTTAGATATATACGCGCGACTCAATGCATTAGCCAACTATAAATGATTTGCTTTAAGTAAGTCCCGCTTTGCTGTATACTTCTAACCGTGTGCTAGCTAGATGATATCTATATAAATTACAGGATGTTTTATGTATGGTTTTCCTTGAGAAGCTTCAGGCTTGGGAGAATTTGATTGTGGGGTCAAGTAAGGTCCATGGAGATGTGGCTCGCGCAGTGAGGATGATCTCGTTTCTGGACATCTGGAGTGGAGTGCTTTTGATCAGGATTTCGACGGAAGAGAAGCTTGAGGAATGGAGGCGACAAGGAAAGGCACACTTACCACACCAGCCTCTTTGAATGGTATTACTCTTGATTGCCACCGTATGGACGTGTTTTCTTTTGTGGCTCATAATTTAATGTCCATAACTAAACGGAGGAAACAGATATTGGAAGGGTATCATGATCATTCCATTTTAACAAGAGACTAAATGCTAGAAACTTCATATGCAACGCCTCAAACATGGGAACCATCCCGATTCCGAACGCCATCTATTCATCCAGCCAGGCTCGATAATCTCAGGATCAAATAATGTAATCTGTATCTGCGGACCTTGACTGGCTTTTTGCGGGATCAATTTCCACTCAGGATACCGGAAATCCGCAGTGCCAGATCCAGCATGGACAAGTGCTCGTCAGATCCGTCGACCAAGCGCTTATCCATCTCGGAGAAGAGCATGACGATCTTATTCTTTTGAATATCGGGGATTGCCTCGCTGAAGACAACACGCCGGTAGAGCTGAAACATGTCAGTTGATACCACCATCCCAGGGAGAGAAGCACAAACCTGACTAAGAAGCTGAGTAGCACTCCACCCATCAGCAACAAGATCCGTAACAACACCAGAAACAGCTTCATAAGACGATACACCCTTCTTAGGCTCCATAGCCTGCACAAGGGAATCAAGAATACTCTCAGGCACAACACCAGCAATCTCCTCAATACTCCGCACAGTAATAATGTGACTCTCACTCCCAGCGTCAGTCATCTCAGCATCATCATCGCCATTTTTACCGGCAGCAGGTTTAGTAGCACCAACCAACCGCGCCGCACTCTGCAAATAAGTAATAGCACGACGCAAATCACCCTCACCACACCGAATAAGCGTATCAATAACCCCATCATCAAGTGTCAGTCCCTCAGCCTCAGCAATGCCCGCAATCCGCGACCCAGCCGCACTATTATCCAGCATCTTGAAGCGGAACTTACTGCACCGACTAGCAAGCGGCTCAATAATGCGCGTGACATAGTTGCACACCAGACAGAAACGCGTAATGCGACTGTACTGCTCCATCGTGCGGCGCAGCGCAGACTGCGCATCTTGTGTCATGCTATCGGCTTCGTCCAGGATGATGATTTTGAAGGGTGGGCATGGGTATTGGGCGCGGTAGGCGGCGTCTAGGCCTGTTGGTTGGGAGAGCTGGGCTCGGGCAAAGTTCTTTACTTTGTCGCGGACGATGCCGATGCCGCGCTCGTCGGAGGCGTTCAGTTCCAAGATGCGGGAGCGGTAAAGGGCGGGTCCGAAGAGGGATTTGGCTAGAGCGAGGATAGTAGATGTTTTTCCTGTTCCTGGGGGTCCGTAGAAGAGCATGTGGGGGAGCTTGGGATTGTTAGTTTATTGGTGTGGTGGTTTGGGGTAATGTTAGGAACGGACGTTGGAAGCTTGCAGGGTGCGCTGGAGGACTTTTGTTGTGTGGTCTTGCGCGGCGACATCGTCTAGGGTCTTGGGGCGACTGGGATACGTGAGTGTGCTGGTCTGGAAGCTTTGGATAGAGCATTGGCGTACTATTTCTCAACCCATGGCTGGAGACGAGCCGAGTCTTCCTTGTTGTCGCCAGCCTTGGCCTTGGAGCTGCTGGATGCTGCAACGGCGGCGGCATGGGCCTTATTATTGAAGAATGAGGAAGCCATTATTATTAGAAGGCTCGGACTAGAAGGCGAGAATGGTTCCGAAGCTGGTCGATGTGTTAAAAGATCTCGCCCGACGCCCTCCACAACCAAGACGCGTCTCCACGTGATACGCGCAGCACTTAAGGACATTGACCAATCAGAGTGGCCCAATATACTTCAGCTCAACAGGGCTCGAACAATACATTTCTTTACTAGTGTTAAGCACATTAGGACGACTGAAACCTAGTGGTAGCATGGTGCATCATTAATGTATTGGTCATGTTCTATAGCTCATCCCGCACCGGTTCATCCTCGTACATCCTCTTCTTCGTATTCCGAGGAAGTGCTTCTTGCCTTTCCCTCTCCTCGGGGGTTATATCATCAATTCCGCCTTTCTCTTTGGCTTCTTCAACCATACGACCGATCTCATCGATCACGCGGTCACTTCCAACTGGTACTGACGGTTCTTCCCATGTAGCAGTGGATGTCACAGTGCCGCCCACAACGGCCGTAGCTGTCTCATGAATAACGGACGAGATATCGCCAGAAAGTGAATCAGTAGATGACTGCACAGCTGTGCTAGACAATCCAGCCACACCTAGAGCTGCAAACACAACACGAGCAATGAGCTTCAAGGGGAGCCATAGGAGCCACCAAAGAGGCCCATATAGGACACGTCGGAAGATAAGCCATGTGATAGTTCCAACAAGAACATAGAATGCAGTCTCAAGATACCAAGTATCGGATTTTTGGGAGCGGAGAAGAGAATTAGCAAGGCTGCGGGATGACGAGAGAAGAGTATCGAGACCGCTGTAGGACTCGGACAGAGAGTTGATAGCAACTGTGGATTGTTCTATCCAAACGTGTTAGCAGCCAATTAAGTTGAATGCAGCCAAGAGCTTACCAAGGGTTTCCTGAGCAAATGCACTGCGAGAAAGCTCCGCCTGCATAAGTTGATGAGTTCTGCGCAGAGCAGATGTCACATCATTCGAAGCATTGAGAACAAGATCATCTTGCGTGAATCTTTCAGACGGCTGCTTTTTCTCAGAAGTCGTTGACCGCGATAGCAGCAACTCTCTCTTTCCGCTTAGCGAGCTCTGCATTCCGCTTCGCTTGCAACTGTGCATTTCGGAAGTCGCCTCGCGTTCTGAACAAAAGTTAGCAAATTGTATCTCAAGCGACAGCAGCGATGCAGCAGAGAATAATCTCCAACATGTGCAAGCTGTTCCAGATTAGGCCAGTATAACCCACCTCTTAAGCTCCTCAGCCAACCGCCCCGCCATGGCAGCAACCCGCTCCCTTTCAGCCTCCTTCTCGCCCTGAGAGGCCGAAGCCTTTCGCCTGCTATCGGTGCCAGTTTCAAGTGCCTCAACATCAACCCGCAATAACTCCAACTCCTGCTCGGCCTCCTTCAACCGAGAGTGTATCTCGCTCCCAAGCTCGAGGCGCGCCTCATCGCCTTGTCCAATGGAAGCCGTAAAATCGCGTAATCGGTTAACGAGAGGTTGGGTCTGGCCTAGGGCAGTGGAGAGCTCTTTCAGGCGGCCTTGGAGACCTATTGTGGAGGACATGTTGGGATACGACTGGTATGGTGCTCCGTCGGTTTAACGCATTCGAATGTCGCCAGCTGTGGGTGTCGCAGAGGATTCCTAGATAAAATTTACCACGGGGGAATGTGTCCTCAAGTATAAAAAGGTAACGAGGTCCGTAAGATGTGTCAAGTTGTATGTCGAAGTTGCCATGTTGACGGGCGTCATTCGGTTTACTGTGTTTGCATTCGGAGCAAACATGCCCCATTTCTCAACCGCAATTCGCATCGGAGACCTTCAGTTGATACGAAGTTGCAATTGACCACCGCGCCTTTCCCGTCAGACCTGTCGCAAACTGATCATACCTGACTCTATTTCCCTCCTTACAACAACCACATCCGATACTCTCCTCCCCAACGGCTGCGTGGCTCAATCCAGAGAAGAAACCACCGTTAAAAAACTTCCCGAGTCAAACCCGACTCCCTCCATCCAGGTACAATATTACAACCAAATCTAAACCAACATATCTTTGGTTCACATGACATTCAAATTACTAATGTCCTTAACAGAGACACTTCCTCCCCCTTAAACCAACCACCAACACCGCCAAAATGACCATCCCAATCAGCACAATAACCACCTTCCGCACGGCGTACAACCCCTTCTCCCGCGCCTCAAGACCCTGCCGCCTCTTCCTAGGCATGCTGCGCACACCAAGCACAATCCCAACAAGCAGTCCCACCCATATCGATATCCAGGTCAAGCAATTGCCGCGTGAGTCGACGCAGAGCCCGACTATGACTATCGGCTTTAAGGGTGGGAAGGAGCTTACACTTGATGTTGGTAAGCGGGGGTTGAAGATTGGAGATGTCATTGAGGAGGTTTCTCGTGTTGGTCGTGCTTTGCAGCGTGAAGCTAGTCTAAAGGGGTGATTTTCTGTTTTTGTTTATGTGATATAACTTATGGGTGTTTTGTGAGCTGTGCATTTGTATTGTATTATATTATATTATATCTATTTTCATTTTGTGAGGATTTCTTTGGTATGCTTACTAGTATAGAGACACTGGTATAGAACGGACTATGGTTGATGTCTGTCCGGGTACGAGGTTGGACACAATCGATTGGTTGACTTGCTGCCAATATGTTGACACATGCTTGACATTTAAGCTATTCACATTCAATATAAGCCCCGCCTAGAGGCGGTTACGCTAACATTTTGATTTGGTATTCGCAAAAAAGACATTTACACAGCAGCACCGGAGATGAAGAACCACTTGTCAATGCTGCCGTCAATGGGAGCAGGAGCAAGGTTCTCACCGCGGGGAATAGCAGCGAGCTGGGACTGGTCGACACGGTCGGCGGAGCCCTCGACCTGGGAGTTGGCGCTAGTACATGTTAGTATAAGATCCCCAATGGGACGTTGAATATGAACTTACAGGCTGATCTCGCCACGGGGAGTCTTGCCGGAGATGAGCTTCTCCCAGGCATCGGAGCACTCGCGGATGACATCCTCGGCGTACTTCTTGTTCTTGCACTCGCCGGAGAAGGCGAACTGGTTCTCGGGCTTTCCGTCGGGGATCTTGTAGATGCGGAACCACTCGTTGGTGGCGCGCAGAAGACCAGGGAGGTGACGCTCAACATCCTCAATGTCGTTGAGCTTGGGGGCGAGAGGGTCGTTGACGTCGATGACGATGATCTTCCAGTCGGTCTCCTCCTCGTCGATCAGGGCCATGACACCTAGGACCTTGACCTGCTTGACCTGGCCGGGGTAGCCGACAAGCTCACCGATCTCGCACACGTCGAGAGGGTCGTTGTCACCCTTGGCCTTGGTCTCGGGGTGGACGGAGTTGGGGTCTTCCCAGGTCTGATTCAAAATCTGTTAGTTTACCCCTCCTCCTGCATAGTCACGAGGGCACACTTACGCGGGGGAAGGCACCGTAGTTCCAGAGGTAACCCTTGTGGGGGAAGCAGTTGCGGACGAAACGGAGCTTGCCCTTCTTGGTGTCCTGCTTGATGGGGTTCAGGAAGTCATCTTTGGAGATCTGTACGTTCCGGGTTGACGCAATTAGCACATAGGGTTCAATTGACGTTGTGGTTGAGGTCTCCTACCTCCTGCTTGGCGTTGGTCCAGCGGGGGATCTCGACGACCATGTTAAGGATGGTCTGCTGCTCATTGGCGTAGAGGGGAATGTCGTGGAAGGGCGAGACGGGGACGCCATCCTTCTCGACGAACACACGGTGCTCGAGGGTGTAGGGCTGGGCGATCTTGCGGACGGTGTAAGACATTTTGGGAGGTGACGAAAAGTGTCTAGATATTTGGGCCGCACGGGAAATGGGAGAATAAAAGGAAGAAAAGGAGGGAGGGGCAGTGGAAGTGGGGGGAGCCACCGTTGCTGAGGTGCGCCAAACACGGCGGGAGGCGGTGGAGGTATGAAATCCCAGTCGGGCCAAAGGACGAGTCATTGGCTGCAGAAGATGAGTTAATTGTGTATTACGCGGAACATACACAACCTGGACAACCTTGGAAAGTGGTGTGTTCCAGTTCTGTTGGTTTACCCCTGTCGGAGGTTGATATTTTTTTTGTGGTTCCGAGATTCGGCATCAATAGTGTCCCCGAGATTGACATCCCGACTGTGTCACATACATCCACGTATACGTATATGCCCAGGTGTACATTTACATGTTTAAGGTCACTTATGACATAGATTTGATCTGCTTGACAGTATGCACTCTGCATGTACACGATACCCCAGACTGCGAGAGTGCCGATATCGGTATATTATACGCGGCCTACAATAAATATCCCTCCAGTTGTATGCTTTATATATAGTTGTCTACTCTAATTAACGTTAAGTTAACTATGACGAAACTCACATTTAGTTAGGTATTGAGGTACAATCAAATTCACGATGTCGTGATCCTTGGCAGGGAATATTGTCTGTTGATTGGCGCCAACTCTCGGAAAAAACCGGACCAACGCAACCTGTAATAATACTTGAAATCCACTGACGATTAACCACGTGACTTGCACGTGATAGACACAAGTGAAGTGAAAATAGATACTATCTCCACGTGATATCAATCCAGTCGGGGAACTAAGGAAAAAAAAAAGAACTCACCCTCAACCCCGCAGCATGCTATGATCAGACTCCTCCGCACAATGACCAACGCAATCTCCCCGGCCACAGTGGCCCGCGTGCCCATCCCCGCCAACGGCGTCGACTACCGCAACAAGATCGTCCTAGCACCTATGGTGCGCTCCGGCGAACTCCCCTCGCGCCTCCTCGCCCTAAAATACGGCGCAGACCTAGTCTGGGGTCCAGAGACAATCGACCGGTCCCTAATCGGCGCCGAGAGACGCATCAACCCTCGCAACGGGACGATCGAATTCACGCGCATGCCATCAAACGGTGGCCGCCCAGACAAACCAACCAAAGCCTCAATAATTTACCGCATCGATCGAGCCCGCGAATCCGGCCGTCTAATCTTCCAAATGGGAACCGCAAACCCAGACCTAGCCGTCCAAGCTGCCCGCGTTGTGGCTGCTGACGTCGACGGCATAGACGTCAACTCGGGCTGTCCCAAACCATTTAGCACATCCGGCGGCATGGGCGCCGCCCTCCTCCGCACGCCGGACCTCCTCGTCTCGATCCTCGAAGCCCTCGTCAAGGAAGTAGGCGAGCCCTTTAAAATCGGCATCTCAGTTAAAATTCGCATCCTCTCCGAACCTGACGCAACCCGCGCTCTCGTCTCCCGTCTCGTTAGAACTGGCATCACAGGTCTGACTGTCCACTGCCGTACAACACCAATGCGACCCCGCGAGCGCGCAATCCGCGATCAACTCCGCATGGTAGCGGAAATCTGCCACGAAGCCGGCGTGGCATGTGTCATGAATGGCGACGTCACGTCGCGCGATGAGGGACTCGCGCTTATGACCGAGTACGGCGTTGACGGAGCGATGATTGCTACATCAGCCGAGACGAATTCGTCTTGTTTCCGTGCTGAGGCGGATGGCGGTGTTGCGCCCTGGAGAGAGGTCGTCTATGAGTATCTCAAGTTCTGTTTGGAGGTTGAGAACCGGCTTGGGAATACGAAGTATCTTATGAATATGTTGATTCCTGGGAAGAATAAGGAATTCAAGGAGGCTAAGCAGTGCAAGACTTATCTTGATATCTGTCGGAATTTGGGTTTCGATGATTTGGTTCCAGCTGCTATGCGTGTTGATGAGATTCTGGATCTCTCGCAGAAGTGGGAGTCTGTGCCTGCCTCTGCCCCTGCCTCTGCGCATGTGAATGCTGAGGCCCCTGAGGGGAAGTCCAAGGCGGTGCAACAGGCTATGGAGTCGGAGGCTGCTCGCGCTGCTGGTTGTGGTGCTGCTCGGTCAAAGGCTGCCCCGGCTGTGCCTAATGGCTGTGGTCCTATTCGTAGGACTTCTGTGCCAGAGCAAAAGGCCAAGGTTGATGCTGCGCAGCCGGCTGCTGATGCCACTGTTCCTCCGGTGGAGGCTCAGACTCAGGCTCAAAGTCAGCCCCAGGTGACCGTTTAACCGTGCTCTATATTCTTTTTGTTTACTCTAATCCCTCAGAACGGTCTCGGTCAACATGCATAGCTACCGGTTTTGGTTTTCTTTCTTTCCTGTCTGCATCCAAGGTGTTCTTCCTTCCATCCCTTTGTCATGTTCATATAGATTCCCCACTTGACAAAATACACAAACATGCCTCCGGTGTACATGTTCATGTTCGTGTTCATTCTCAACACCATATCCAAGCGCTTCTACCTCTACTGTATATCACTACAATCTCCATATTCCACCAACCTAGTTATAACCCAGTTTCCGAACAAAGAAGCAAGGCTACGGCTGAAAGGCAGTAAATTCCTGACCGTAATGCACAGATACAGAATAAAAATATGCACCAAATCTCCTCACAAATCACAAGTCAAGCTACCCAAAAACACCATGTTCTAACTGATATAATGCCATACTTTCAATATGTCAAGAACTCACCATGCAAAAAAGGCATGTCCTCACCACGGCCATTAGCCATTAACCTCAAAATCGCCATCAATCACATTTCCATGAGAAAATTCGAACCATAACACCTTCTTCACCTAACCAAAACCAGAACCAGGTATTACCACTCAGACTCAGTTTTCTTCTTACTTACTCCTCTGCCTCCTTCTCCTTCTCCTTAGAGCCATTGGCATTTGACTGAAGCTCAGCCATCATCATCCCTTCAACAACCTTCATACCGGCCTCCTCGCCCTTCTTCGCAACAGCCTCATCTTCACCAGCAACAGCCTGATCAAGCGCCAGCTTGGTCTGACCGAGAGAATAAATCTGCTCTTCGATAGTGCCACGAGTAACAAGGCGGTAAATCTCGACCTCGCGAGTCTGACCAACACGATGAGCGCGGTTCTCAGCCTGGACATCTTCCTGCGGGTTGAAGGAAGAATCGAAGATGATGACGCGGTTAGCGCAGGCCAAGTTAATACCGGCACCACCGGCCTTGGTGGAGAGGAGGAAGACGGGGATTTCCTCGCGTTCGTGGAAGGCGTCGAGGATAGACTGGCGGTCTTCGACGTTGGTGCGGCCGTCCAGGCGAACGAATTCGATCTTGAGGGTTTCGAGGACGTGCTCGAGGATGTCCATGACCATTGTGAATTGGGAGAAGATTAGAGTTCGGTCCCCGTTGGCGATGAAACGGGTTAGGAGTTCGCGGAGCTGTTCGACTTTTCCGGAGTCCATCCATTCGTCGTTCTTGAGCTTGAATTTGCCGAGGGAGCCTGGGTTCTCCACGCACATGTGGTGGCATTCGAAGTCGTTGTAGGGGAGGAGTTCTTCGAGGATGACTTTCGGGTCTGAGAGCGACCACTTGTCTTCCTTGAGACAAGCCTTGGACATTTTCTGGAGGATCTCGTCGGTGTAGTGACGGCGAGCGAGGAGAGGGTGAATGGCTGCTTGACGGAGCTTCATGAGGATGTTGGCAGACTTCGAGCCTGTCTTCTTGCCGGCTGCGCGGTCTTCAAGGAGCTGGCGGACTTGGTCTTTTTCGTGCTCGTAGATATCGATCTGAGAGGACTTCATCTCACACCAGCCGACATGAGAATGCTTGGCGGGAAGATCAATGACCTGGTGCTTCTTACGGCGGAGGACGAATGGTTTGAGCATAGACTTGGCACGCTCGATACGCTGCGCCGAGAGCAAGGTTGCGTGGGACTCATCGGTGGTCTTCGCCTTGTTCGCAAAGACTGCCTGGAGGTCTTCCTTGTGCTCACGGAAGACAGACGGTAGGATAAAACCGAGAAGAGAAGCGAGTTCTTGCAGGTTGTTTTGAAGAGGCGTACCGGTCAAGAGGAGTCGGAAGCGGGCAGGAATGCGAATGAGCTTTTCATAAAGTTGAGATTGGTGGTTCTTCAACATATGACCCTCATCGTAAACACAAACAGTGAAATCTACATCGCGAAGGAACTTGGCATCAACCTTCGCCTTTGCAATGGTGTAAGTGGTAATGACAACATTGATGTTGTCGCGGTTGTCCTCAATTTGCTCTCGGATCTCAGCACGCTGGTTGATACCGGCATAGTAAGGCATGACCGAGAGAGTTGGGCAGAACTTCTGGAACTCGCGGAGCCAATTCTCAATAGTAGAAGACGGCACCACAATCAGGTGAGGCCCCTTGATGCCCTTCTCAAAGAGGTGAGCCAGGAAGGCAATGACCTGGCAAGTCTTACCCAGACCCATGTCATCAGCCAGGATACAGCTCAGTTCCTGCTCAAAGAGAAGTGATAACCAATTGATTCCCACCACTTGGTAATCCTTCATTTCAAGGTCATCTGCCATGATGGCAGGCTGACCGATAAACCGGGACTTGCGCATCGGGACGAGCGAATCCTCGTCCTCGTCAGGTGATTGGCGATCGGACAAAGGGGTCGCGATGCCCGAATCGTGTGCCTTGGTGTTGGGAATCTTAGTGAGCTCAAGCTCACCGTCCTTCTTGCCGAACATATCGACACCCCATTTCTTCATTTCCGCGGTGATGGGCTCACCGATTGCCTCGACCTCAGCAACAAGCGCATCAATGGCCATATAACCAGTCCACATGTCAACACACTTGTCGACAATCTTCTCACCAATTGGCTTGGGGGCTTTGCCACCCCGCTTGCCCTTGGGCTTGCTGGTCTCGGGAACAGGAGCAGAAACAACACGAACATCATCTAGGGACTGGAAGGGACGGTTCTTTATGATAATCTGGGCCTGTTCCTCGGGAATTGCAGCAATATCAGCCAGATCACGGACCGCGCAAGTGTTGAAAAACTTCAGGACCTTGGAATCCAGTCCGCCAGCGGTGGGTTCCTGCATCTGAACATCTGAATCATCCGAATCACTCATCATAGCCTCGGGGGATTCTGAGCGAGGCGAAGCCATCTTGCGGCCCTTCTGGAGACGGCCAAGCTTCTTCTTTGGCGGACTGTCATCGGAGTCAATTATCATGGGGCGAGCCGGAGAGGCAGTGCGGGAGGACTTGGGACCGCGGACGAGGCGGCGCTTGGGCTTATTCTCTTCGTCGGAGTCCTGAGTCTTGGTGGCGGGCAGATTCATGGCGGCCCACTTGTCCTGGATAGTCCCACGGGCCTTGATCTTCTGCTTGGCCACGGGGACCGGACCTGTAGTTGCTGGCGAGGCCAATTCGTCTTCCGATGATTCAATCTCCACGGTCTGGACACCATTCGCCTGGGCACTATCGCCCAGAATTTTGAGGGCGTCGTCGTAATGGCCATTGGCTTGAACAACAGCATTGATAATTGTTTGCACGGGTATAAGAGGCATTATCTTGAGAATGCGCTCGACCTTGATGCGCAATCTGTAATCTTGGATAAAAGTGATATCGGGGGTTGGTACAAGGGGGACGGGCTGTGCGCGGGAGGGTGCATCCTGTCGAATTCTCTTCATAGCGACGCCCTTGGGATTGAAGTCGCTCATATAGTCTGCGGAGCGTTTCATAGGAGCAGATTTGGGATCGTACATTGCGGAGGCAGTAATTTCACGGAATCGATCCATTGGACCGGCGTCGGGACGGACAGGGGACTCCATGACTTTTTCTTTTTCGGGACTCCGAACGGCTTTTTCAAACATGGCAGGTTTGATATCTGTACTGCGAAGGGGTTGCTCGTCTTCAGACGAGCCGCCTCGATACGTTGGACCGTCGTCAAGATCGAACACCGGCTTTCTTTTGGCAGGTCCTGCGGAAGGAGGGCGGAACTGAGTTCCCGAAGGGGCAATGAGAGACGAGAGCAAACCTCCTTGAGGTCTTCGAGGTGGGGAAGACGCAGGACCGGTAGGCGAAGAAGCGGCGACTTGGATAACAGTATTCCGCGAGTAGGGATTGTCGACGAGTTGGGTCGGTTGTGTTAAGCGCTGCGATGGGGTTGCGACAGGGAGAGTGGCTATAGTTTCGTACTCGGGGTCGGGAGAGGGTGTCTTGTGGGGAATGTCAGGAACAGAGTCCATAGCGACTTTTGAATAGCATTGAGGCTCTATCGATGGCGATTCAGGAACTGTTTTTTCTGCCAGGGCGGAAACGCGAATGCTTGGACGCGCCCAATCACGTGTCTATCAATTAAACAGGACAAAGCAATGCATAGAAGAAGAATAGGAATAAATTATAAAATAGTCCAGCAATAATTATTCATCTCATCACCGAACATAATACTGTATACTGTCTATACTCCCAACCAATCAAGTGTTGGCATGTGACTGCGGGAACTAGTCTCCGCCCTTCATCTCTGTTCCACTCGTCTTGCTACATCTACAGTTTATCTATCCTAGACAACTAAATCAACAATGTCTGCCCGTCGTCCTCATGGCCAGTCCTACGCGGACGTCGCCAAAGCTCCAGCTCCAGGCACCTCCGATGTGACCCCCGCCGTCCCTGCGTAAGATACCTTACCCGCCAAGTACAAGACCAGCTCTCATATTCTTCTGATATAGCGATGTGATCTACAAGCTTCTTGGCTTCACAGCAGCCATGGTTGCTGCCCCCATTGGAATGTATTTCCTGACGGTGAACACCATTTTCAGTGGTATGCGCCTTCACTTCCATCTACAAGAATGTCTTCTAACCAGAATATCATATAGGCAGCTCCACACTGGCTGGAATTACTGCCGCCGTAACTGCGAACGTGGTCTTGTTCGCATACATTTATGTAGCCTGGAAAGAAGACCAAGAGGACAGACAGACGGACAAGTCCAAGTCAAATTCAAAGAAAGCCCAGTGAGCAGCTCCGCATCGAGTCGGGTCTGCGGATGGCTTCTACTTCGGCGTTGCGGTATTCAATTCGGGTTTCTACGGGCTATTTTGTATACGAAAGCACATCAACCATCTCCAACAAAAAAAGTTACAGATTGACCACATCATTCGTGTTATTGGATATCACAAGAACAACCCACACACACCACGGACGAATCCGAGACTTATAAAGCCTCGACACATCCACCCATCCCAGCCAACCCATGTTAGATATACCCGGTTCATGTTGAAGGAACCGCATATAGAGAAAAGACGATGCCCAGATAGACAGAATACGCCGATATGCTGTGCCGAAAGGAAACCACATCCCACATCACACATCACACACACTACGTCGAGTAAGAGGCAAGTTACCTCAGGTAGGTCTGCGCTTAACAAACTCCTCAAGATCAGCCTTAGTAGCAACACCAAGAACAAACTTGCGCGAAACATCCGTAACAACAGCGAACTGCTGCTTCTCCCGCTTATCGCCATTGGGCCCAGTCTCGCTCTCGAAGAACTGCTCCAACTCCTCAAGGGGCGTCTCCATCGTGATAACTTGGTAGATGCCGCGCTTGCGGTTGAACCGCTGCATCGCTGCGGAGACGGGGTCGGACTCTTTGACGGCGCCGGATTGGAGGAGCTCCCTTAGGCGCGGGATGCTGAGGTAGCCGAGGAGGGAGCGCTTGGTGGGGGAGATGACGGTTAGGTGGGTGTAGTCGCGCTCGTAGGCGGCCATTAGGGCGGTGGAGATTGGGTCTTGGGAGGAAATGGAGAGCGCGGGTGGGGGGTCGAGGTCTTCAATTGTTGCCTGCTTTTTGGTTAGTTTGGTGTGTGGGCTTCATTGGGAGTGGGTGCGGACCCCGCGGTATTTGTCTGCCCAGGCTGCTTGGGGGCCTGCGTTTGAGGTTTCGGTTGGTAGCTTCTCGCGAGTGAAGGCCTCGCTGCCGGTTAGGTATGATGCCATTTTGGGTGTGATCACGGAGGGAAGGTGGTGGATGGGAGGTGGAGGTATCGGAAGACCGAGGTGGAGGTTGTGAAGAATTGACTTAGGAAAGAGGTGAGATATCTGCAAGCTGCGTGTGTAGAGAGAGGAACCGTTAACTTTTTGATCAAACTCGGCGCCTTTCCTCTTTCTCCACCGCCAAGACCAACCAGCTCATACGTCATCTTGAAGTGACATTTTACCATTCTACACATTCTACGGAGCGTACACTTCAACGCTGTATTCTCTCAATGATCTTGACGAAAAGAAAGTCCCTCTCTGTTTTGGTCTACATGTACCTAGGTTCACCCCACCATACGTTGGTGGGGATCGCATTCTGCGTTCGGATGTTCAGACATGACTCCACTTGATATCCACATCGAAGTGTCCCTCAAGACGATCTGAGATTTATATTAGAGAGTAGACCAATAAGATCAGCTGAGGAGCGTTTTGGGGATTCTCTTGGAGTGCATATCATACTCCCTTGGACTACCACAAAACGATATACGCCACGAAGGAGCAATGTGGGGAATGATCGACAATTGTATACTGCGATGGCAGAAGTATACTCGAACAACAGTTCGGTTCAGGCGCTCTCAATAAATTGTGCGATGTAGTGCAAACCATGCCGGCAAAGCCCTCATGATTCCCAAAGCCGGGCACATGTAGCCAAGAAGGGATAGTTACACTTGAGCTCCGACAGCTTACGGGGCATCAAGTGCCCGCATCATATCTTACATTGGCCCCCAACTCCAGAGCAGGGCTGCAACATTCTAGGGTGGGAGAGCCGCTTAAGCTAAAATGATGTAATGCGCCATTTTCCCTCCTCTTCTCTCTCTCCCTCTACGGAGTACACAAAGTACGGTAACAACCATCATGTTTCCAAAGTCAATCATAAACACGCTGGCTGCTGGACACCCTCTGGGCACTGCAGCTGCCCAGTCTGAACCTACTGAGCCGGTCCCCAAAAGACCCGCGCCGTTCCCCGCGTGGAGTGCCATTGACAACGCCAAAAGCAAAGCTGATGCAATCGCCCACGAAGCAGATCGCGAATTCAATCTGGCAAGCAAGAAAGTCCAAGAGAGGACAGGCAAGATCGAGCCTGGCTCTCTCAAGTATTATGCATCATGCACCTTTGGTGGTATGCTCGCGTGTGTAAGCAACTCTTCCCATCCACGCTCTCGTGACAACTACTCATGTACCATTTTCCTACCAGGGCCTAACCCACACCGCTGTGACACCTCTTGACCTGATCAAATGCCGTCGCCAAGTCGACCCCAAGCTCTATCAGAGCAATATTCAGGCTTACCGGACCATCCGTGCTGCCGAGGGTTTCCGAGGTATTTTCACTGGCTGGAGCCCTACTTTCTTCGGATACAGCGTGAGTTTACCACACCTTATGCACAGATCTTATATACTGACTCGGTGAACAAAGGCCCAAGGTGCCTTTAAATATGGAGGCTACGAGTTCTTCAAGAGCTTCTACAGCGACCTCGTTGGCCAGGAGAATGCCCACAAATGGAAGACCTCCCTGTACCTGACAGCCAGTGCTTCGGCCGAGGTCATTGCCGATGTAGCTCTGTGTCCATTCGAGTCTGTCAAAGTGCGCACGCAAACTACCATTCCTCCTGATATCCGGGGCACGTTCAGTGGTATCTCCGATGTTGTCGCCAAAGAGGGTGTGGCCGGGTGAGTAGCATTCCCATATCCCAAACCAAGTCAACATATCTCAGTCAGTATACTGACTATACGCAGTCTCTATAAAGGCCTCTACCCCCTCTGGGGCCGTCAGGTTCCATACACCATGATGAAGTTCGCATCTTTCGAAACAATTGTCGAGTTGATCTACCGCCAGCTGCCAGGCCACAAGGCCGACTACAACAAGGGTGCCCAGACTGCTGTTGCCTTCACCGGTGGTTACCTAGCTGGTATCCTGTGTGCTGTGGTATCGCATCCTGCCGATGTGATGGTCAGCAAATTGAATGCCAATCGCCAGTTCGGTGAGGCATTTGGTGCCGCTATGAGTCGGATCTATGGAGATATTGGATTCCGGGGATTGTGGAATGGATTGCCTGTTCGAATTGTGATGATTGGTACTTTGGTGAGTTCCCGTTTGAAAGTGGTTTGAGCCGTGCTAACATGGTATGACAGACTGGTCTGCAGTGGATGATGTATGTCTTTTATTTTTTCCTTTTGTGTTTGTTGTTGATGTATACTGACCTTGCATTCGCAGCTATGACTCCTTCAAGATCTTCATGGGTCTCCCTACTACCGGAGGCTCGGGTGAGGACAAGAAGAAGGGTAAGTGAGGCAACTAATAAGATCCTTAATTTGACAAGTATCTCTCAAAATGTGCCATTGCTATGAACTGTTTTAATCAGAATGTATGCAAATATCCAATATCCCCTCTAAATTATAAAGCTTGTAACTATATGCCAAGCTTGCTATCAGGATATATACTACTTAGTCACACTTCCACCAATCGGCGCCTCTTATCTTATCACAGAACGTCACTACAAACAGGCAAGTTAATAGAAAATAAGTCGTAATAATCCTACCGTAGTGACTGTTATATAGCCAGCCCCTGTCATATTTAACAATCTAGATCCCCCCTCCCTCCACCTCCTGATCTGATCCGAGCAAGATCAACATCGAACATCTAATATACAACGGACATCCCTAGACTACAAGTACAAGTAAGTGGAGATCCAATCTAGAATCCTAAAGCTGTACCTGCATACGGAGGTCCCTCTACCTTATCGTCTTGTGATCTATAGTGATAAGGGTCCCTCATCGCCCCATCGCCCCATCGCCCCTCACTCCTCCTCATATCCTCAATCTAACAGTATCCCAAACAGGTACAATGGGTGAACAGGATAAGCCTATGGTCTCGCACGGTCGTGGAGGTATTACCCGCTTTCTATTCTATTCTATTCTACCCTATGGATATAATACTGATATGTACCTAGGCCAGGGCAATATCGGCCATGATGATACCGAGTACGTCCCCGCACTTGCATCCCACACCACTCCATACCACACAATACGATATGATACGATATGATGTGATATTATATTATAAGGAAAGACCAGGCCTAACAGGAAACAGATACGTCGACGGCGAGATCGTTCGCGAGGGCGTCTACGGTGACCAGGGTGATGGTGCTTACTCTGCCGGTGTAAGTACATGCCCAGGTGTACTCCAAGATCTAGATCCAGGTCCAGATCCAGTTCCTCCACTATACACTACAGATCAAGTCTCTACCTCATATATACTAACAACGCTCCCAACAGCGCGGCGGCGCAGGAAACATCGGTTCCCCAATGGTGCGCCCAACCTCGAAAGTCCCCCACGACGCTGAGATGATCCCCGAGTTAGCGGTTCGGGGGTCTACGGATGAGAATTATCATACTGGGGTGGGTAGACACATTTGCCCTTTGCTTGAGATCAATCTTGCTTGGGTTCGGTTGCTAACTGGTATTTTGTGATATAGCGCGGCGGCCAGGGAAATATCCACCTCGACGAAGCTTCTTTGAAAGAGAAGAAGGAGAAGGAGAAGGAGAAGTCGCTTTCGCATGAGGGGTTGGCGGATAAGTTGAAGAATAAGTTGCTTGGGAGGAAGTAGATTGTTAGGAGAGAAGGGAGGAGAAGGGGAGAGAGAGATAGGGATGGGGTTGTTAGGATTTGTTGTTTTTGTGATTCCCATTTTATGTTTGCTTGAGGTTAATGGAATGGATGCGTTTTTGATCTTGTTTTCTTGCATATTGGTTTGTTGTATACTATAACTTAACGTTATCTCAGGTAGGCCGCATATCTCTGTTGGTATAGATTTGTTGCAGGTATCTCTGGTCAGATATGTAAAGTACATATAAACCTATTCAATGAAGCAAAGCAAGGAAATTCCCGAATGAGATTCGAATCTGAATTTATCGATTTTTGCAAATGAAGATAAAGTACAGAGTACAAAGGAATGCCCGACCAAGAGAATACAAGACACTAGGAGAAAAGAAAAGACAAGGTAGCATAAATAAGTGAATCCAGTCCATCGCATATTCCATGGTCCCATGTATCATAACCTCGTTACAGCTTGTGATATGAAAACAAACACGAAAAACAGGAGAAGAAAACAAGAAAGATGAGGAACGCCAGACCCCAAACAAGCCACAGAAAAAAAGGGGATGATGCATCTCAAAGCATAAAGCACATAATTCCAGGTATACAGATAGAATACCCCAGGTCAACACAACAAACGCATTACCCATCATCCAGACCGAATATCAACGAGTTCAATCTTTGCTAAACCGGCGCTTAAACCAGCTCTTCCTCTTGTCCCCACCGGACTGACTCTCCTTCTTCTGAAGGACACCAGCTCTACCCCCACCCATAGCTATAGGAGCCTGAGCCTGAGCAGGAGCAGGAGCATAAGCAGGAACAGGCCGTCCACCAACGGGCCCACCCCAATTCGGATCTCCATTGGGTTGTACGCCCTGCTGTCCACCCTTAATATTAGGCCCAGCCCCAAACCCATTGAACCCATACTCAGCCTGAGCACGCTCATCCATCCGCTGCTGGTGCAGGGCCTGCTGCTGCAACTGGTCATTAGAGCTATTCAGGGAGCTGGGGTCTGTAGTCTGGTAGACGTCCGTATGGCCCGATCCGGAGCCAGACAGCGCAGTGACGTTATCGTAGGAACGTTGGTAGCCGTGGCCGGGTTGCGGGTAGCCGTATTGGTTGTTGTTGTTGTGCATTGTGTTTGCGATATTGCCGTATTGTGGGTCTTGGGAGATCGGGGAGGCGGGCGCTGTGGAGGTTGAGGGGCCGCGTGGGTGTTGGGGCCGTCGGGAGGAGCGGCTGTTGCCGTTATTGTATGGGTAGGGGTTTTCCAGGGCTTGGGGTGTGTTCTGGTAGGCGTTTATGACGCTGTCTGGGCGTGATTGGGATTGGCCGTAGGGGTTTTGTTGGTCGTAGCGGGATGAGTGGTTGTTTTGGCCTGAATGGTGTTAGAGGTTGGATATTGAGGATGGGATTGGGATTGGGATTGTAGCATACCTCCGTAGTAGCTTGTTCGTCTGCTGAAATCGCCCATTTGTGATCCCGCATCTTCTACTCGATGTTAGACTCATTTCCCGCCCGATAGTCGGCCTATTGGATTGGACGTACCTGTTCGAGCGTATGCCGCACGACTGCTGCCGTAGATGGCCGCCTCAAATGATCGAATTGTATCTAACGGTCGCTCGAAACGTGGTCGGGTGGGGTTTGACAGGTCAGGATCGGCTACGCAAGGGATTAGCAAGGATTCCAACGGTCAACGGCCAGCGGAGAACGAGGACTCACTGATAACATTCCCGAATTGATCTTTGTGTTCCATCTCGCGGAGAGAGCCCAGATTGGACTTTTCCAGGGCCATCATACCTGTGAAGGGTTAGAATGGAACAAATGCGACCGGGCGAAAGCAGGAAAGCAGCAGTGACAACACGTACTGGGCTGGAGTTCGTTCATGGCGACCAGAGGATCGGCTTTGGTGTGTAAATTGCGACGTGCTTTCTCTTGAGAAGACTCAGAAGGACCACGTTTATGGCTGGAAGTGCCTGATTCTTTTGACAGAGACTTGTCGGATTTGATGCTGAAGCCACGGCTTCGTCGAGGTTGGGGGGCCGCCATTTTATTAGGTCCACCGTACTTGGTGCTAGCGTCCGAGATCAAGGCAGGTCTGAAACGGTTGTGATCTGCTGTGGAGTTGGGTGGATGTGCCAAGCGTATATCTGTAGAGAACGATGGACTGTGAAGTGGACTGGGGACTGGTCTGTGTCTATGTCTGTGTCTGTAGTGTTTGCAAGTTGTCTATGTGAGACACTCTTTGAGAGGCGAACTGGGCCCGATTCGAGATGGCAGTGGAGACGTGTAGTACAATGAGGGACAGGCCGAGAAGAATTCAAATGAAGCACTGTTCAAGTTCAGTTCAAGCGAAGGAAGAAAAAGGAAGAAAATCAAGGGAAGAAAAGAAAAGGCAGAGATGGGGAACTGGATGGTTTTGAGCCACGCAACCTGCGGCAGTGGACGGCTTGCACAGTCACCAGCCCAGCCCAATTCAATTCAATTCATGCACTATTTCCACAATTATTCACTTTCTGTTAATCCTCTTAATTCTTCAGATATTCAATACACAGCCCAGTCCGCATCCCGCGATTGGTGATGTTCCTCCGCTCCCAAGGGACCAAGTGGCAACCTAAAGACTCGAATTTTAAGCGACTCATCTCCGGTCCCAGGGCCCCGTGCAACAGTACCTGCGCCTGAGGAATACAGGAAACTCCACGTTTGCTATGCTAACTCGTAAGTCCCTACATATCCGACGATGCCATTCTACACTCTCTACAGGGTATTCCCCTATGCTAACTTACCATAAAAGTCTCACCTTCTAGAAAATTCGGGATAACCCGTTCCCATCCGCTGATTCCGGCGTGATCCAATTGGCCAAATCACCACATTTGATTCCTTTCCCAGCATTCACATGTGCATATGTGCACATGTATTGTACTGTAGTTCTGTGAGGTTGCATATACATGAACGCCAATTACGTATGCGAACTAGGCACCCTGGCGTATGTCAATACGCGCATAAGTTCCCGGACGGGTGGCAGGGGTTCGGGAACCTGATGCCTGATGAGATGTAGAATCAGCTGATGCATCAACTTGCGTTACAATACAATGATCTAGTAAATATTGAATAATGGATCAGGACAGGGCATGGATCTGTATTGCGCGTCGAATGTTCAAGTGGGGCGAGCGTTTTTTTTGCCGTCTAAAAATAGTTGGGTTTTTATGCTTTTGCATTACTGTACGAATTATGGTTATTCAATTTGGTTTTAATTTATATTATCTGTTGCACTTTTGTATCCTTAGATAAACTTATGAGACACTCTGACTACATTTACTCATTTATGATATATACATGTACTGCACTCACTCTTTAAGTTATTTAACGTTGAGATCGAGATGTGGACCCTTAGAGAGGCCGAAATCTCCGCCACATTCTAGCCCTACCTCGGTATCAATTACTGTACTCGCAACGGTGCCGATAAATACCATATCCATTCTAGTACAGATACAGTACTATGTGTCCACAGCCACTTAGAATTGGATTGCGCGTGACCGAGCCTCATCTATTCCTGGAAGTATGCTTTCCAATTTGGTCTAGGGCGTTCTGTATCTGGACTGTACTAGCGCTTGAGGCGTGGTTGTTCTATGGTGTTCTAGAAGGGCTCGTTACATAGGTCTAACACCGTAGACCTCGGCAGTCTCTTACCTAGCACTAGCATTGATCAATGCGAATTGTGGAGATAGATAGCTGTTGAAAGGTTATACATTTTTAACACAAGGCTCGGCGTTGAGTATGAGCGCGGGGGGGTATATATCTATAGTACAAAAAAAATCATAAAATGAAGCATTCTCAAGAACCGAATCCGAGAATGATGCAAAACAAAAAAGACCGAGAAGTATCAAACCTCAAGCAGAAGAACCATCAGCCGTCTTGGTTGCTTCGTGCTGCTCCTCAGCAGTAACCTGCACCTCATGACTATGCTCCAACTCATTAAGAACAATCCACGTAGGAACAAACGCAAGCAAAGTAATACCGAAGTTGAGTCCGATACTGACGAAATGGTTCGCGTTACCCTGGGACTGCATAGCCCATGCAACAGTCTGACCCAATGCCTCGAATCCACGAAGGATACCACAGTGGTAGGAAAGCGAGGACAGATCTGTGCTGTACTGGCCGATGAGCCAGTAGAGGAATTGCTGGAAAGCCTGGCCACCAAAGGTCCAGAAGAAGACCAGGGCGTAGGATTTGTTGAAACCGCCCTTGAACCAGTCGAAGAGAGGAGGTTCGGGGGCGTCGTAGAATTGTTTCTGGAGGATTGTAGCCCAGATCCAGGTTCCCGTCAGAATGACCACGATGGAAGTGAATGCGATCTTGGCGCGAGTCTTGATGAAGATGGACTGGCGGTCTAGAAGCCCGGCGAGGATAAAGGAGGAGGCGATGCCGGCGAAGTTGGTGAAGAATGAGGAGAAGGCGCGCGAGCGGACGGTGAAGTAGTCTGTCAGCCAGGTGCTTAGGAAGCCGTTGTAGAAGTAGCTGATGAAGAAGGATGGCAGGAGGAGGAGAACGCGGCGGGTTGCGATGAGTTTGAAGGCGGCTTTGAATTCCTTTGCCCAGGTTTCTTGCTTGTGTACAAGGACGAGGGATTTGTCTTTGCGTTGGACTTTCTCGGCCGGGCTGAGGCAGAGCGCGATTGGGAGGCCCAGGCACATGATCACAATAAAGACGATGTAGGTTGAGGCACTGACGGTTCCTTTGCCGGAGGTCTGCGCGTTGAGGCCCAGACTGATTGCGCCGCCGACAATGGGACCGGCTGCTTTGGCTGTTTGCCAGATAGCTGGGAGGTTGTTAGTATAAGATATCCAATGTATGCAAGTGTAGGACATGTACATACCGAGATAGAAAGCGCGCTCGCCAGGGCTGGGATAACCAATGATAATAGCAGCCTCGGCCGCCCAGAAAAATCCAGCAGAGATACCACACAGTGCACTACCGAATAGCATGAACCAAGTCGTGGGGTGGTAGTTGTTGGTATAGAGACCAGCACCGTAGATGGGGTAACCGATAGCACCAAGAACAAGACCAAAACGAAGACCGATGCGATTGTTGATTGCGCCAGCAGCGACACAGACAACCGCGAAAAGACCGTAGACGAGAGCATTCGCCGCTGAGACGGCGTAGGGCTCAGCAGCACCACCAGCTCCAACATTGTTCAGCGCATCCCACATTCCGGGTGCAGTGAATGAGACACCACTCGCGACAGCGATCTGGAAGGGGATAGATCGGAAAAATGACCACCGCGAACGGGTGATCTGGGTCTGTGGCAACTCATGCTCGATCTCGCCTGCTGGGACCTCGGTGGACATGATAAGCGCGAGACTCTATCGAGTCCTATGTACAATATTAAACAATATTAAAGAAAGAATGGCAAAGAAAAAAGGAAGAAAGTACCATCTGGAGATTGATAAAAAAAACGTGCAAAGTGGGTCCTGAAGATGTCGTGCTCAATGCCAAGGGGAGAGCCGCAGAGTTTGACACATCGGAACCAGCTTCTTTATTTCGCCATCGTTGCTAAAATGGCAACTTGTCTCGTGTGTTGAGTATATAAGGGACATGGTGGTTTCGATAGAAGGCAATTTGAGGCATGATTTGCATATCAAATCCACCCATACCCTGCACGTGCTGATCCCGATCCATGAAGAAATCAAACTGACCAGCCACCAGCGATGGGGTGATAAATAGATTGAAAATAAAGCTCATCGGGATTTGGCGCAGTAGTAGCGTGATGCTGGCGTGATTCTGAAAAATTTAAGTCTAGGCCGGGATAGCCAGACCGATGCGGTCGGTATACTTGCCGCACCGACAACGCGCTCGGTATCCTTAGCCATAGCAACAGCGCTCAGCTCGCAGGAGCGGGCTAACATCTGCAAGATGTTTTAGTGGAAAAGTATCACTGTTAATAATAGCAGTACATTAGTACACACTATACCGTAAAAAAGAAAAAAAGAAAAAAAAAAAAACAACCAAAAAAACGATGCATGTAAAAAAGGAAAATGAAAACAATCCCTAAACCGGAATGCGCGAATTGTACGGTGTTCTTGTACCCCGGAGCATCCATCGAAGCTGGTAATGATGTACTCAACTAACCATCCCGTCTCCGCAACATCACAGACAAGCAAAAGGCAAACCCACTCTAAACTGGAAATGTAAGACAAAGGTTCAAGTGATTCAGAAACTGCGGGGACGATCAGCAGCATAGCCCGCACCTTAGAGCGAACATAATAGGCAGCGCCGTTAAATGGTAAAGCGTTAATGTGAGACAATTCACTTGTAGACATTAACTTGTGGTGAATATGGCATCGACGTGGGCTGTGTGGTGCTGATATTGCTAATTGGTTTCATTGGTTGTATTATGTACTTTGGTTTCAGCTAACGCTCGAGTCAAGGCTTGAGCCAGACTTGGCGTATAATGCGTTGTTTGGGATGACTGTATGACTGCATAACTGGAAGTTGCTTTTGTATTCTTTGCTGTATGAGTATGGTGCCATCTGTGTCTGCAACGTGGAGTGCGGGGGAGGTTACCCTCTCATCGCCGGAAACAGACTGACGGTATTTTGTAATTATACGGGCAACTAGGTCATTTGCCATATAGTCAATGTAACAACTAAAACCTGTTTTCTTTTCCGAGTGGTTTCTGGACAAGTCATACCAAGTAAGATGGAGAAAAATGAAGTAGAATGAAATTAAACTCGATTCATGTAGAACGCTTCATGTCTAACGTAAAGCACAATGCTCGTAATCATACACTTTACAAACCCTGACCTCAAGTCCGGATGTCGATCTTATACTGCGGCACCGAGAATGTCACAAAGCTGTTGGAGTAGAAGGCTTCGGTTCCGAAAGCCAAACTGCCCAGGAAGTCACCTTTGCTGGGGGAGAAAGGTCTTGCAGTTTCGAAGGGTCTAGAGAGTAAAGATCGGTGATGAGAGGGTAGATGTCACCAGTGAACCTTTCAGTGAAACCGCCGCCGACGGCTTCTTGCGCAACCCAAGACATAACAGTCTGGTCTTGACCGTTTTTGCCAACGAAGAGATCGCTGAGATCAGTTAGCCAGTGCATCCAGCGTTCATGGGCGCACAACTTACAATGTAGTTCCATTCAACTCTCTGGTTGCCTTTGACTTGTCACTGAGACCGATCGGCTGGGTGGCAGCACCAAACTGCGCAAACCACACCATGACTTCGTACTGAGCATCGGTACCGTTCTCCGCTTTATCCTTGTCGCTGTCCAAGAACATATCAATAGCCACGTTGGTATTGAGGTTCGCAGCGGTCAAGTCGGCTTGGGATGTGGTCTCGGCGGTGGTGTTGCCAACTCCATATGTCCAGTGCAGGTCGAGATACAGCTCTTGCATCGAGTCCAAAGCAAGCGGCAAGACATTATCCACCCGGATGTTGGAGTAAGCGTGCACAGGCTGGGTCTCTGGACCAGCGTCGAACATCCAGTTCACGGAGAATTCCGGTGCAGTATTGGTGGGATAAGTCTCGTTCTTGAAGGTAGTCACCTGTAGCAGAGATAGATTAGTAGCCACTCAATCGAGTCGGGGTTGGATGTACACACATTCATACACAATTTGCCAACAGTGGTGCCTTCCACCACACCCCATTGATTCGGGTTCACTGTATTTGTCAGTCATTATTCGCAGTTACTCGAGTCCGAGTTCACTCACGGGTATACTGCTCGGACTTGGATGGTGGTGTAATTCCCCATGAGAGATCACAGTACTCTGTGCTTTGTGTGCCGTGGACCGAAGAGGTACTGTTGTGGTTGCCGCCGTCGCCTGTACTTCCACTCCCACCATTTCCTCCGCCTGTGCTAGAGCCATCCTCTGTGTTTCCACCTGTGAATAAAGGCTTCTGTCCTGTTGCTGCTCGGTGGGCGTCGATGCCCATCAATGCTCCAACGCTTCCCCCGACCGGGATGGCCACTAGGACCGCGTTGATGATCAATCCTACTCCAAACACCATGGTGCAATTCACAAACAAAGAGCAGCAAATAGCAAGAAGCAAGCAAACAGCAAAGCAAGGTGAAGAGTGAAATTTGAGAGGCAATCGACAGTGGATGTGTCTCAGACGATCGAGACTAGGACAGAATCCACCTGAGCCACCTGATAAGAACCACACTTTCATCTGGTGGAACAGGAACAATACAGGCCAGGCACCGTAACGGCACATGCAACGCTGTTACCCGATGCACAATTTCCATAGATTGATCGACAGGCTGTTTTCTGATTGGTCAGATTAGGGTTCCAGTTGGAAATTAGACAAAGACCCTATGCGGTTACAATACCATACCACGGAAATCGAAAAAAGGTACCCGCAAACGGTAAACACCGCAGTTAGTCCGAGAAAATTACAATTTCTAAGCAAAATACCCCCAGAATACGCAATTAAATGGTAATCTATTTTTGTAGGCGTATCACATCTCGCCGCATGCGGTTCCACCCTCTCCAGCCCACTTTGTACCTTTGCTTGGCTACGCTAGTCTCAGGGCTTGGAAGTCTTACCTCGATTTACTTAGATAAGAGACTTTCTCTCTTTTCTTCACATTCCAGCACTGGCTGACCACGTTCGTTACGGGAGCATTCTTCGGATCTTACATTCTTCTCTTTACTTTATTCTGTTCTACAAGGCTAGTGCCTCCCGACACTATGGACGGACGCTATGGTCATGACGATCAGGAAAAGGTCGAGATGGATGTCTATCGAGGCTATGGCAACAACAGCAGCTTCGAACACCCCCGGCCATATGCTTCATACTCCCCATCAAGAGCCTTGACTCCGGTGCGACCGGGCCATTTCCCTGTCGATGAGTATGGCCAGCATGTGTGGCTTCAGCCCGCCACGCGCATGTCTGGAAACTCGGACTCGCTCCCAAACACACCCTGGGACTCACGAACACCGTATGACTCGCGGTCGGCCTCTCCAACACTGGTAATGCTCCCCGTTCTGTTATCTCGGCTACATTCTAATCCGTCTCGATGAACAGTACCAGAACAATGGAATCGGCGAAAGCCACATGAGTCTTGCTCCCCTCGTGACCGAACCCGCTTCACCCGGATTCGCCAAAGATTGGGTCAAATCAGGCTCGATTGCTCGTCTTTATGACCGGGACGATGCGGAAACTTGGAAAGGATGGAAGCGCTGGGTCTTCGCTCTGGTCCCATTCCTCACGTTTGCCAACACGGGTATCTACTTGTTCTATCTCGGTCTGCGTATTGCATGCATCATCATGGCACAGAATGTGGCCCAGGTCTCGTACGCCGGAGCCTGGGTTTTCGTGGCCATTGAAATCACTGTTGCCATTCCCTCACTTATGCACAACTGCTGGACGATGATGGCGTTGAAGAAGCGAGGCCGCCCAAAGCTGCGCTTGACCGGCAAGGACTGCCCGACTGTCGATGTCTTCATTACTTGCTGCGGAGAGGAAGATGAAGTCGTTCTCGATACTGTCCGTGGTGCCTGCGACCAGGACTACCCACGCGACCAGTTCCGCATCATTGTCTTGGACGACGCCAAGTCCAAGACCCTGGAAGAAGCCTGCAGCCAAATCGCCATGATCTACCCCAACGTCTACTACATGGCGCGTGAAAAAATCCCCGGCAAGCCGCACCACTTCAAGGCCGGTAACCTCAACTACGGTCTGGAACAGACTACCCTTCTGCCCGGCGGTGCAGGTCAGTTCATGGCTGCGCTGGACGCCGACATGGTAATTACAAATTTCCCGCCCGTATTCAAATATACATTCTGACGGCTCGCAGATTCCCGAACAAGACTGGCTTCGTGCGATCCTTCCCCACTTGTTGGTGGATCCTAAGATGGCCCTTGCATGCCCTCCTCAGCTCTTCTACAATACCCCTGCATCCGATCCCCTGGCGCAGAGTCTGGACTTTTTCGTGCATGTTATTGAGCCGATCAAGGACGCGCTCGGTGTGGCTTGGTGTACTGGTTCGGGTTATGTTGTTCGACGCGAGGCTCTCGAAGAGATCGGCAACTTTCCGCTTGGTTCCTTGGCTGAGGATGTCGCGACTTCAACGCTGATGCTTGGCAAAGGATGGAAGACGGCATATGTGCATGAACCGCTTCAATTTGGTACCGTGCCTGAGGACTTTGGTGGACATCTCAAGCAGCGTACACGATGGGCTATTGGTACTGTGGACACAGCTGCCAAGCTCAAGTTCTGTCTTTGGGGTGATGCCGTTCGCAAGATGACCGTCGCTCAGCGTTTCTCTGGATTCCTCTACGCCACTCTCAGTGTGTATACTCTGCTGCTGACAGCTTCTCTTTTCGCCATTCCTATCATCCTCCTGTGGGGTAAGCGCCTAGTCGCCTTTGCGACCGAGGAGCAACTGCGCTGGTTGATCTGGGCCTGCTTCGCTGCAACCATCTCCAACCGTCTGTGCGAAATGGCTCTTTTCATCCCGGCTGGCTACCACACTGGTCAGCGAGGCTCGCGCTACCAATTGTGGATGTCGCCCTACATTGCTCTCTGCATCGTGCGATCCTTCATCCTGCCCAAATGGCTCGGTGGTCAAGCACAAGCCTTCAAGCCAACCGGTTCTCTCGGCTCCGCTCTTAATGAGCGCGATGCCAAAAAGTCCAAGAACATGTTTGTCCGACTTCGCGTCATCCTCGTCAACTACATGGCCAGTTTCCACCTAGCCTTTGTGTACGTCACTCTCGTGGCAGTGGTGATCTCCTCCTACCGCTGCTTCGCACAAAACACCAGCTTCAGAGACATCATCTTGTGCCTTATCACGCACGCCTTCTGGCCCCCTCTCACCTTCCTCTTCATCTGCACTTCCCTCTGGACCCCGGTCTCCTACGCTATCGATCCACCCACCATGCCGGAGCGCGAGGACCTCCTCACCCGTGACCCCAAGACCGGCGTAGCCCATCCAACCAAGAAGAGCAAGAAGATCGCCTTCGGTGGCCAAGCCGCGTGGTTCGAACTCGAGTACAGCGTCGCCACCGTGGCGACCATCTTGGTCTTCGTTTACTCCTTCATCTTCTAATTTTAGCTACCTGGCCTTGAACTCCCAGGTACACTTTTGCAATCTAACTGTATAGATAACGTGTCACATGGTCCAATCTTATGCGGTGTTTGTCCATTTACATTCCCGGAGTGTTATGTTATGCCTGTTTTCCTCTTCTCCCTGTTTCTCTATTTTGTTTTCTTTTTATTTTTTCTACATGTGCATCTACCTACAACAATCAGGGACCCTGGATCGACGGAGTTAGGCTTTTGGCTTTACATCTGATTTGCCGTTGCAAATCTTATAAATACATTATATCATCCGAGATGAGATCGGCTGAATTGATACATCTGCTTTCTAAGGTTGTTTACCTTGCTTGTAACTCGCGTCCAATGGTTGGTGATCGGCGTTTATTGTAGGGGCGCCGCGCGTTACGTTGCCTGGGTATCCATGGATGTGACCTGTAGCCTGTGAGATTATGCATCATGCAGTGTTTTTCCCGTTAATCTTTGATTCGTAATTCGGATTATCCATCCCAGCCTCAGATAAGATATAAAATATATTTTGTTATGTATTATTCGAGCTAGGGGTAGACCCTCATCTTCTGCTAGGGTCGCGTGCTTATATTAACATTAATTACCATATCAACAGCCAATCCGCGACAGGGTTGGATTTTCACTGCTGCCATGCCGTCTCTTCATCTGAGAGATAAAAAATTGGCTCAGTTCATCCACTGGCGACTCATCCATTTCCTTCGCACTAGAGCCCTGGAAGTCTGATGAAAGGCCTAGGTGTAGTGGGGGCCCCATCGAATGACCTTAGCCCACACGTTGATCATAGAGCCGCCGATTCTTCTTCACGCAGGAATTGCGCCAGCACCAATTCTTTGTTTGTGAAAAACGAACCCAAACGACCAACTCTGTTCTGACAGCCATGCTGTTCCTAGGATTACCCTTTGGATCAATTGGTGGCAGAGGCGCAATGTGGATACGGATATCCTTGATCCGGTTGTTGCTTTGGTGCATGTACCGCGATTGAGGCAACATATGGATATCCACAGTGCTCCTAGGAGCCAGTAGTGATAAGGCTAACGCGCGAAAAGATGATTGTGATTATACGATTCAGAATTGACATGACCACTTTAGTCCAAACTATTTAAAAGCTCATGATTGTTCTTATAGTCGAATCTATTAAGTTCGTTTCTCGCTACAGGATCTTGTCATTACAATACCCTCATTAGGGCAGCCAAGCAAATATGGATTACAAGTTGCCAAGGGTATCAAACAGGATCATTACTCCAGACACAGAAGATCAAAACGGACATACATGGCAAGCTGGTATCATCCTTCTAGGTTCCTTTTTTCGAGGGATACATGGGCTAACAAGCCTGTTCCATGGAGATAATGAATCAGGTGAAAACTTCCATCAGATCGTCGGCCAATTCAACCACGGGGATCGCAGCAATGCAAGCCCGGTTTTGCAACCGTCCGTTGACCAGTACCCGTCTGGCTCTGTAGCTACCTCTGTTGCTACCTCTGTTGCTACCTCTGCTGTTAGCGCAAGGGACATTATATCGCAGCAAAGCACCATGAACGCTGAAACTCAAGATTCATCCCCTCTGGAAGGGAAGAAGAGAGCAGTCGAACCCTCGATACTCCCACGAAAACTGAGGTCCAAAAGATGCATTGAAAAAGATGTCCAAAAGCTGCAGAAGGCAGTACAAAGATGATAAATGATACCATTCAGTATCTACAAGCGGTATCTGATCACATCTCATCTTCCGACACAATTTCCTCTAGGGAGTGGCCCACGATGCAACCCGCCACACAATTGCTACTGAACAGGTACAAAGACATTATCGCGAGAGAAGAAGTGGAAACGCATGCTGTGTCCGTCCGAGGGGGGTTGGTTTTGCTGCTGCGGATGAGGAGCGACTATATGATTGAGAAGCTCCTCGTTCTTCTTAGCTAGTCTTGGTAGCATGACTAGCCATTACAACACGTTGAACATGGAACTCAGAATTTTTGTCTGAGAATTTACTACAGGTTTACTACAGTAGGCCTCAGACCCATCAGTCCATGGGATATGGGATCTCTGGGTACGATGAAATTTTGACCCCGACGACAGAACTTCACGTTCGGACAACAGTTGTCTAGAATACCTCCCGTCTGCAGCCATAATAAACATCGTGCAAAATTGCGTATTGTGGCGTTTAAAATGGCTGCCTTGATCTTTCACAGCTTCGCGTTGACGAGCCGCTCGTTGCGTGGAAGGGGAACATGTGACATGGCTGCAGTAAGAAATGACGCCTTTCCAGATCCCACACTGAGCTTCAGCTAACTTGGCTATCTAGGTATCGACCTTCTGTTCTACGCGGGCAACTATCTCAAGAGTGAACGCCTCATTAACATTGCACCCACCCATGCAACTACGCTCCTATCCAGCCATCTCCGCAAGGAATCCAGACCAAATGAAGTAAATCGCTATTCCACATACCATGTTGTAAATTTCTCCCCATCCAATAATAGAGCTCTGAACAAAAAACACACCTTCCAAGGCTACTCCTACAGCTCGACGTGGGCGTGTGGGCAATCCTGGGGCGGTTTTGGGCTACGCTAAAACCTTCACCAGCACAAAGCGACAGGATTTCCTCGACGCAGCCACGGGAGCAGCGGAGCAATTCATTTTCGCTTTAGAATCCGTCCCAGCGGCAGTAGAGGAACCGCAACACGGCGGCCGCGGCCGTTGAGTTCCACTTTGAGCTTTCACGGCTCCGATTACCAACACCGACGAGAATGATCGGATGGCTCCTCTGCGCGATGTCTCGGCGGGAATAGTCGCCGTTAACGGGATGTTGGTTCTGTACGGAAAACTTCCAGTCTCGGAAACTATGCATCGGTCTGGAGATATTTGGAGTACGCGATGCGCATTCTGAATGATACAACTGCATTGGCTTATAATCTGGACGAGATGTGCTTGAATATCGATGGAACGAATGGAAACATTCGGGTGGAAGCATGTGATAGTGGCCGTCCTCATTTTGATGCCATTCTGGAGAAGTTGACAGCTATGTTCAACGGTGACTTCCCGGAACGGTACTGGAATCATGGCCTAGTGTATGCGGATTACTGCTTCCTGGAGCTGGGGAATCGTTTATGTGATATGGGATTGATTTGGGTTGCGACGATCGAATGCTGCCCTTCGGATGGACGATATATAGATCTTGTGTACAGGAATTCTCTTTCCACGACTCTTAAATCTTTTACATTAACCTAGGGCTAGCCCATTCCACATATGTTGCCCACATGATACAATATACATAATTTAAGTGGGTGCACTGTTTGGCCTCATCCACCCCTTTCACAATGTAAGCCGTCTAGCGACTATGCGCCCCGAAAGTATTTCTATGGTAGACCAGCCCCGAACCCTAACTCTATTACGGACCATATACCGGCCAAGGTTAGGTCGGATTGGCGTCTCCAGTAAGTTTTATCCTAGAGGCTCACTAGCCCGTATCCGAAGTTTTGCACCGATAGGTAGTCGGAAATGGGGTAAAAGGAAAAGGGGTGAGCACTAAAGCGGAAAGGGAAGGCCATTCCACGCGCCCTGAAATCCGACGTATACAATGTCCCTAGGAAAAATGCGACTCAAAATCAGCTGGACATGTAAGAGATTCAAACCCAGTCTGAATAAGAAATTTTAAAGCCTAGCAATATCTCTAGGCCTTTGCATCTATTCGCACCAGCGTCCACCTGTTATCGCTGTCTGGGAGATGTGCAGAAACCTCTTAGTCAAGAACTCGTATTATACTGTAGCCCTGATGCAACTCTCTCCAAGTGGCTGAATATCGGGTGAGGACAAACAGGTTGGACAGTACGAGGTAAGTGCGGGTACAACAATAGGAATGTAGATCATTCTTACGGGCTACGATAGGATTGGCCTATTGAAGGAAGGGTGAGATGCCAAGATTGACTCCGTTTCTGCCAAGTCCTCCGCCCCCGCAAGCCCTACATTGCAAATCAAAACCACATCGATCAACAGGCACATCTGTACATAAATTAGCAGCACTCATAGTTGTATGGGTGGCCTGAAATATGTACATTATTGAAGAAAAAACCAAAAGACGCATAGCGAGGTATAACTTCATGACAAGCATAAAATTATCGAAATGGAATGGACGTGATGGACGTGATAGTGGGCGCAATGGCCAAGAAATCGAAGATGCAAGCCTGGTGCATTGGAAAACGAGCGAAAGGTTACATTGGGTTTCGTAAAATCTCGCAATATAATACCCAGACGAGTAAAAAAGCCAGTCTAAGCACCGGCGGCGAAGCCGGATACGAGAAGTGGGTGGTTACTTGCATAGTTTCAACATTGGGCACCCTGCGTAGGATCGGGGTTAGCTATTGTGACCAAAAGGGTCGTATTCACATCCTATGCCGCCGGATAGTTAATTTGATTGTGCTCACTTAGCAGAGCAGGATGCCCAACTATCAGGTATAAATACTACACATTCTCTCCATGAATCTTGCTCATAATCATTCATCATCCAAAATCGCAAATTCTGCAATCCAAGTCATATCAGTGAAAACAAGTCGCCATCCCGTGCCAAAATGAAGTTCAGTGCCACTGTCGCTCTTGCCATCCTCGGGTATGTCATTCTTTATTCTGATATGGAAAAGAGAGAGTTGTAAGACTAACACGAATTTCCCCAGTCTCGCCGCCCAGCGTCAGTTTACCCCTACTATTGATTTACTCAATCCTGCTGACAGTTACAGAAACTCTGGCCGTCGAGTCCGTTGAGGCAGTTGAGCCTCTCATCGAGAGATCCGAAGCCATCCAGGCTCGAGACATCGGTTGCTACCAGCAGGGTACCTCCAGCAGGCCGGCTATGTGCTACAAGCCCAACTGCCCATCCAACAGAAGAAGTGTCTTCTGGGACTTCGGATGTCCCAGTGGAGCCTGGAAGTGCTGCATCTAAGTCTGGTGAAGCTTTGGTAGAATTGACCATGGCTCTGCGTGGCACTTTTATATTGGAGGAAATTCGACCGGAAAGAGAGGCCTTGTTCCTTTACTGGCGAGCCAGTCGATGTTTGGAATATACGTTAAGATCGTGCACAATCTTTTCGATATCCTCACGCTCTTTAGTTACTACTATCTTTGCTCCAATTGACTAAGCTTAGTTCAAGTAAGTCTCATTTGTAGGCTCATAGGATATACTCAAATCCGCTGTCTATACTTAGTGAGACAGATATCCCTAAACCCCCATTCCTAGGCATTAGGCCACATAGCTAGTTGACTGCATGCTTGTTGGATTGCATCGATCATCTAAAAATGATTGTATTGCTAGCAGTCATGATACTTAGTACCAAAGAGATTCCTAAACCCTCCTAGGCCTCCATGTACTAATATTTAGTAAAATATAAGATTTTAGTTAATAGAGTCTACTTAAGTGCTATATAATCGTAATTTTTCTAGTATCGTAGGCGCGAGCTCGCGGTAGTAGATAATATTATCTTCGTGTCCCTTCTATGTTATAATTTCTGAGCGAAGCGAAGCAAAAATATTTATATATAAACCTACGTGATATAGTATGTGTAATACGCTCCTCGAGTTCTTTCTAAATATTTTTGAAGAATAAAGTGAACTAAAGTAAATTATAGTAGAGTAAAAGGAGCGCTCCGGAACTTAAAGTTATATTTTGCTCTACATATCCGTTATCGTATTTTTGACCCTTCCCTTCCTTTCCTTCCCTTCCCGCCGCTATACACTTGGCATGCAGTACGTATTGTAGTGTCATTGTCTGCACTGCACGGGAATACATAAACATGCTTTCCTACATATGTATAGTAAAGTATACCTTGACCGCACTTGTGCTACGGAAAATATCATATATCCTGCCGCGTCATAATCTGTACAGTATCTACAATCTATAGACAGGACACCATTTTGAAATAGATACATGTGCATGTGCATGGAACTATTTACTAAGTCTCCATACCGTCAACGTCTACATTAATGTAAATATAGACGTAAACGTAAGCGTAAGTCACAGCGTATAAACAAAATCATGATTCTCCCGGTCTGTAAGATCCAGCCACCTGAAATAGAAGAGTCAGTCAGTGAATCCAATTTCAAACAGATGCAGATACAGATACAGTCCGGAGTACGAGGTATCCAGAACTATACTGTATATTGGTGGACACTGTAGACAGTAACTCAAGAAACGAAAAGAGAAGCAACTTACTCCCGGTTCTCCACTCTCACATAGTCAGCCCTCGAAACGATAGCAGCTTTCCGTCGGTTCTCCTTATTATACCACCACCAAATATAAAGCAGGATCAGCACTGACACGCCCCAGCAGCAGATGATGATTATCTCGGCAGAGATGTAGCGCGGTGCATCTTGAGGGCGGAACGTTAATGGGCCTGGACGGTTAGTATATAGTAGATCCAAAAATAGCGCCCTCTAATGCGGACTCACCGATAATATTCCCAGCACAATACCCAATAAGATACAAAGCAGCCACAGTCGTCTTCTTAGTATATCCCGCAACATTCGATGCAATCAACGACAGAAGCGCAACAAATGACGTCGGGAATGCCTGCGTCATGTAATACCCAATCAGTCTCCCGATGTTGTTCTCCAGTGGCAATGCCACAATTAGGACGACTCCAACCGTCGCTGTCAGTAGTCCGCCTAGACTACATAGGATTCGTTGCCCGGTCCGGTCGCCCATGTAGCCGTTTAGCAGTAGGGCCACGACTTCGACTGCTCCCGCTGGTGTGCCATATAGTAGGCTTTGTTCGGGTGTATAGCCGAAGCTGGTGATCTGTCCAACAACAAGAGTGGCATTCGTTAGCCCGAACTTCCAATATAGAAAGACCCGTAAAAATGAAGAAGTAGGTAAAAACATGAATAACATACCAACTGACTAAAAAAGTTCGTAATCCCCCCGTTCGGAATATCAGCAATAAGCGCGAAAAGAAAGAAAGCCCAAGTCATAGGATCCAGCAATGCCTCTTTAGCCTGATACCACTTGAAATGCTTATTCCCAATTCCCTGCTGGTTAATGCGCACACGGGCAATAGCAAGGACGCGGTCTTGTTTCTTCAGCCAGCGAGCGTTGAGTTGGCTATCTGGTACGACCCAGAGGAAGACCAGGCCCAGGAATATTGTTAGCAGGCCCGTGAAGAGGAAGACAATTTTCCAGGGGGCTATTAGGGAGCCGTGTTTTCGCGTTCCGGTTGCTATTCCGTAGGCTACGAGGCCGCCTATTATTTGGCCCCAGCCGTTGAAGCTGTACCATATGTTTACTCTTTTGCCTTGTTCGGTGCGGGTGTACCACTTTTGCTTTGTTAGTTCTGGGGCTTGGTTAGGAAAGGGGAGGGTAGGGGTGGTATGTATATACCTGGGAGGTGAGGAGTGCAAAACCCGGTGTGACGGCTGCTTCGAATACACCTAGGAAGAAGCGGATTGCGATTGCCCCTGGGTAGTTCTTCGCTGCGGCGAAGCAGCTGAGGATTAATCCCCAGATTATTATGCATGCTGCGGAGTATTTGCCTAGTGGTAATCGTTGCAGGAGGCGGTTTGTTGGATATTCCCAGGCGATATAGCCTGGATCGTATAAGTCAATGTCATATCCTCTTAGTAGAGAATGTATAACAAGATAACCTTAACTCACCGAAGTAGAACAAACTACCAAGCCATTGGTACTGATCATCAACCAGATGGAGATCCTCTTTCAGACCCATGATACTGGCGTAAGATAATGTAGTTTCTGGAACATGTTAGTTGTAGATCATAAATTATCAAATATCCTGGCACTGTTGAATAGCATACTATCGAGAAAGTTCATTGCATAGACGAAACACATTATCGGCATAATATGCCAGTCAATCGTACGCACAAGACGGCGGTTCGTTGCTTCATCCAGTTCAATTGCTTCCCCCTGCATCTCTACAAAGGCTTTCATAGCCTCATCTGCATCGGGCGCATGTTTCAACAGTTTGGGGTCGTCGTTCGTCACGGTCATTTCTATATCCACGGCCATGGGAACACCCCGCGAATCTTCGGTGTCATCTTGTGCCATTATGTGGCACGGAATAATGCAAGACGCAGGATTGTTTTGTAGAGGATAAGGATATTGGAGTTATGGGAGATGGGGGGACCGAGCTGGGAACATGAACTATGTAATACTGAATGATATCATGGATACAGTGGGTCGAGAGGCGCGTTATATAGTGCCTTGAAAAAGGACCCTGAGTCATTGGGGAAACCTGAATTGAGGGAATATACAATTAGCCTTTGATAATTGACAACGAAATGCGATTTGGATTATCTGGGGCCCCGCGGATTGGCGTGGATGCTGCTCAATGGGAGAAGAAGGGATCGGCAGAGGAGGGCGGGTGCCTCCCCCACCATATCCATGGTGCTTGTGGAAGCTTTATTTGATTTGACTTTCAGATGAGAGAATGCATGTCTTGGAGTAAAAGGGGATATTGTTTCCTGCTCTGTTCTACGGCGCAATTCGTTCTGGTTCCCGAGTTATCCGTTCCGTTTTGATCCTAGGGGTTCTTCCCATGGTATGGTTATGTCTACTACATCAGCCTTACCAGCATGGACATCTGAGTGGATTGTATGACGGCCAATTCGTCCAATTCGTGTCAATTCCTCTAAAATTCTCTTTCTGTATCTCCCTGGGAACTGTTGATCCCATACCTCTGGATATTGATAGTTCCCCATTGACCGGTGTTACGGACTCTGGAGTCCCCCATAGAACCCCGTAAGATATCCGATTGGAGCCATATGCCGACGCAGGCGAGATGCAAGTTGAATAGCCGGCATCTATAAGAATTCACCCCGCATACTACATGACGGACCGTGCACCCGCCCCGAAGCTTGGCGTCTTAACTTCCTCCCTATTTCCCTCTTTACTATGCTAACTTCCCTCGATACTTCTAGTTTGCCGCGGGAAATGAGTGAGCCTGACCTTCGTGTCCTCAGTTCTACAGTGTATAGTGGAGCACTCTATCTAACGCCTCTCCACCCACTCTATCCACATGCAACACCAACGTGTTAGTGCCTCCACGCAGTCCAATTAGTGCAGCCGAGTGCGTCCATGCTCTTTAGCCAGCCTAGAATGGTATAGCTAATCAAAATTGTGCATTTTGATTCTAGAAGTATTTTGGAATGTCAAAGCCTGGTGAGGGAGCTATAAGCAAGCCATTTGACAGGTATAGCAACCTATGGGAAATATCTACAGCCACATGGCCAACATCGGCAACCTCATGTGCTCAAAGAGATCAGCACATAAAATAACCCCGTTAGGAACAGCCCCTCAAGCAGATCGCTCTCCAAGGAATGTCTCGGAGTTTTAAATGCCTTTCGGAGTTCAACCGGAATTCGAACCTTATCGCACACTGTGAAGCTGTCATTTCGGAATTCAAGGGCTATAATTATTCCATAGCTGTCTGATAGCAGAAGACAAAGCTCCAATATACCCCAAATGTACTTTTTTTCTTATCTGTTCCTTTTCTCTTCTTTCTTCTCTTCATTCAACCCGATTTCGCCATGCTAGACCTTTCATCTCCAACATCTCCAGTCCCAGAAAGCGGATGGACCAACCAACTCCCAAACTCGACAAAACATAACCCAACAACTCCACGAACACAAGTGACACGACCAAAACAACGCCAAATTTCAAGCGCACGATCCTCACTCTCAACCTCAAATCCCACACCCCCACCATTCCGCAACGTCTCGGCCTGTAACCGCTGCCGCCTCCGCAAACACCGCTGCGACCAGCGCCTTCCACGCTGTGAATCCTGCGAAAAAGCAGGTGCCCGCTGTGTGGGCTATGACCCTCTCACTAAGCGCGAGTTACCGCGCAGCTATGTCTCTTTCCTTGAAAGTCGCGTCGGATATCTCAAGCAGGTCTTGATAGATCATAATATTGATTTCAAGCCTGCGACTGCATATGATGAGGAAGAGACGCTTAGATTAGAGTCTGGTGTCAGACGTGAAACTTCACCAGGTGCGAGTGTGAAAGATGGGATTGTGGCGCGGAGTGCTATGTCAGAACAGCGGGATAGCTCGAGGCGGAAGAGAAAGATGATGACTCCCACTGAAGAAGATGAAGAAGAAGAACTTCCTCCGCGACAGATGAAGCGACTTTGTCAATTGAGTTTGCTGCTTAAGGAGTTTTTCAATGATGGGTGTACTCGTCGGCATTGTGATGGGGAACATGACCATGAACATGAGCTTGGACAGGAACATGTACATCGGGAAATTGCCGAAGCAAACAACCATCGAGATCGAGTCCACGATGGACCGCAGCAAACACAGCCCTGGTCACCGCAGAGCTATGAATCCATGGAACATAGCGACAATCATACAATCTCCGGCTCGGAATCTCCTGAATATCCCCCGAGACAATATCATGATCTCAACTCCGGGAATGAGATCTCTTCATTTGATGGGATGTTCGGTTCAACTCGCGCTCCTAGAGTTTATGGGATAGACACGCAGCCGAGGATCAATCTTGGTTCTGATGTGGTGGATTTCGAGTTTGATATGCCGGAAGCCAAGCCATCCTTTGCGGCTGCGGGGAGGAATAGGAGTGGAAATACTGCCAGGCGCTGTGAACCCTTGTCGGATAAAGAGCAGGCGGACGCAGATGCGAAATTTGATATTGGGGCTGAACTTTTGCGGCAGCGGACTGAGAAGGCGAATTGTGATTTGTTGGATGAGTTTCTTGTTGGTTGGAGGGATAGTGATTGAGTCGGTGCGAGGATTGGTTTCTATGTATATTTACTAACTCGTTACTTATTGTAACGATGCCATGTATATCTTGTTTTATAATGGATTATTGGACTACTACGTGCATGTCAAAGCTGCTGATCGATTTAGTATGCAAACACCAACGCCTAGAAGCTTTAAATGGATCAAGGCCAAATTTGGTCTGATCTATATTCGTTTGAACTAACAAAGTCCATTATATGACTCGAACATTTTTAGTACTGTCTAATATCATGGGATATCACCGTGCCTTAAGCATGACCGAACAAGAAACCGATTGTGATGGACATTATCAGAGCTATTTTACATCATATTGAACGGAAACCAAAGATAAATACGATTGAGGTTCACGATAGTCCATTACTGGTCCCTCACGCTAAACGCCACTACGGCAATCTAAGAAGAGCCAATGCATAATAGACGCCCCTGATAAACAGCAAAAGCCCTGGTCACTTCTCAGACGGCTCGAGGGTTTAAAAGGTTTTGACCATTACCTCGGAATATAATAACAGTAAATCTCCCCAACAGTTTGACGTATGGATGAGGCCCAGTGTTCATTAATTATGTGTAAAAGATACCAATACATCACGCCTCGGCACCCCGTCTCCTCCGCAGATCCAGATATTTCGCCGCATAATCATTTGCCAAGACAGGGTCACCCGTAAGATGCATAACAGTAGCCTTCTTAGCCATCATCTCCGTCTGGCCCTTAATATCTTCAATCTCTTCGAAGTGATCATACGCCGAATCGATATACCCAAGAGCCCGATTGACATACTCTTTCCTTGTAGATGTCGAGTCCCGACCCTGAAGTCTCCACAACTCACCGGCAATACCCATATTCGCATCCACTAGAAGCGAATACGCCTGCGCAATGAGTGCGTAGTCGTCTGACTCCAAGATTTGTGGCATAATGCTCTCGACCAGCTCGCCTGTAGCTTCAAATTCGTGGAGGCTTAATAGGACTGTTGCCAGCGTGCAGATAGCCGCCCAGAGGTCGGCTAGGACCTTTGAGCGATGCGCGATGTTAGCTGCGCGCATTGCTAGCGAGAAACCGCGTTGCGGCTGCCCGGATTTCCCGAGGATTTGCGCTTTTAGACAGAGAAGCTTGATTTGAGAGTGTACGTCGAAGTTCTCGGGTTGCATGGAGTGGGCGGCTTGTTCGACCATTCTTAGGGCGCGTCCGTAGTCGCCTTGGCGGATTGTGAATTCTATCGAGTGGAATGCTAGGAGGAGGCGCATGTCGAAGTCTAGGAGTTGGACGGCTTGGAGTTGGGAGAGGATGTGTTCCACTGCTACTTTGTCGTCGCTGTTGTGTGTTAGATTGGATGTGGCTTGGCTTGGTTGGTGTGGAGTACTTACCGGCAGATCTGCCGTTGTAGTTGTAGGAGCCCAGAGTAATACGTCCAGGCGTTGTTGTATTTGAAGGCTCGCAGCTTTTCTGGCTCGATTTTGTTCATCCGTGCAAATGCTTCTTTGTAGTTTCCTTTTTGTGCTAACTGTAGAGAGTAATCAGCTTTCTGTCATGAGTACCAATGGCACAGCCAGTTCACATACTATTTGGCAGTTGCGGAATGTAATCTTGACAAAGTCATCATGAGGTTGGCCCTCCAAGTAGCACTCGCGGAATACTTCGGTATTTAGCCAAGAAAGGTGAGTAGCTCCTATATTGTACAGTTAGCATGGTCATCGCCACATTTTATTCTCAAGATACATACCTATCCGAGCGTACATGGAGCCTTGTAGCAGCATGTATGCACCTGTAGGTGTTGTGAGGCTTTTTGTCACATTAACATGAGACGCTCGCACAAAAGATTCCACGATCGACGCAAGACTCTCTCCCTTATAAAGATCAGTATCTTCCATTTTTCAAAGCCATGCAAGATCCGTACCTGCTGCATCTCCAACTTAGCCTCGCTTAGCAATGTAGTACTCATCAGAGACCACATGTCAGTCTCCTTAGACTTGGCTTTGAGGAAAGCAAGACCCTCCTTCTCATTACCCAACATGCCGCTGTTTTGAACTTCTCGCATCTGCACCGGGAAAGCCTTGCCGAAGTGATACAGCCAGCTCATACAGAAGTTCAGGCAATTCATGTCGTGCGACTCGCGGGCGATTGCGACCGCCTCTTGCACGGCTGAAATGGCTTCATTGAAGCACTCGAAGTCCGCTTGGATGATTGCTAAGTTCAGGAGGGCGAATTGATATGCACTTCGGTCAAGATTTGTGTGCATGGTGTAGTCGAAGTACCGGTGCAGGTTATCAAACGCTGATGTGTAGTCCCCCGCCCTCCAGGCGTCGAGATATCTAGATGTTATCAGCCACCTGGTAAATGCCTTCGTGCATTGGAACGTACTCTAGGTAGTACATCAATACCGGCGTTGTTGACTCCGAGGTTATGATGTGTTTCAATTGAGCTCTCATTTCGTCTGGAACTCTGCCTCCCATCCCTGTATCCGTTAGCGCATGACCATGATACACTGGAGGAGCACGTACTTTGCAATTCACCAACTTGGAATTCAACCAATCTCTCTGCATCTTTGATGCTGACCACACCCTCATCCTCTTCGTCATATTCGATATTGCCGTACACTACCTGTGACAGGTGGCTCGTGGAATCCAGTCCCAAGGCACGAAGATTGACATCAACAGTTTTCCCCTCAGCTCCCCGATGCCTGCGTGACCAATAGGTGTAGGTTGGAAGACGGTACTTGACAAAGCCAGTCCAGAGCTTCACAGAATCATGAAACTGCAACCGCGTGTATTCAAGATATGATCTGCGCACGAACGCGCCCAGCGGCGAACTTCTCGACAAACGCATGCGATCTTCGGGCTCCGGGGCAAGCCCATTGTCCCTGTCTTGGATTTGCTCATCGCGTGATTTGGCCAGCAGAGATGGAATCACATCGCTGAAGAATGTTTCCAGCGCATCCATTGAGTCGAGGGACCACAGGTTCTTCAGAAACAGGTCCCAAAGCGAGCGCCCAGGAACAGAGGACTCATGACCAGCGAGACAGACCTCCAGCTCTGCAATGCTTGGCAAGTAGTGCTCCTGCCATTGCTTATCGGCAGGGTCGAGCGGAAATAGACCCGCGGTCAAGAACGAGAGGACGTGGATGGCAGACGAGTTGGGAACAACGCCATCCGTATAGAGTGTGACCAAACACAGCAGCGAGACCCTCCAGGGAGTCAAATAACGCGTCATTTTGTGTTCGCTACTGCTGTGCCATCTTGCAGTTCCTGTGTATCAACGATGAGCTTCTCAAGGGCGCGTTGCGATATAAATGATTGCCTGAGGCAACAAGGCCGAAATCGGGACCCCGCCAAAATTCGGGAAAAAAGTGACGATGACGCAGAACTTCTTCAGCACAATTCACCATGTCTCAAGCTCTAACTACCACTGACCTGCAGGGTGCCCTCCCCCTCATTGCCCGAGGCAAGGTCCGCGACCTCTACGAGATTGACGACAAGACTCTCCTCTTCGTTGCGAGCGATCGCATCTCCGCCTACGATGTGATCATGGAGAATGTACAACCCCCACCACAGTTCAATTGCAATTGCGACTCTCTTGCCGTAACGTACAATTGACCTACTCGCTAACACAATCAACAGGGTATCCCCAACAAGGGCGTCCTCCTCACCCTCTGCACACGAACATGGTTCAACGCCCTGAAAGAGGCACACCCTTCCCTACGCACGCACTTTCTCACTCTCGACCTCCCGCCCCAGATCCCGGAGTCCTTGCGGCCAGTCCTGCAGAACCGCAGCATGCAAGTGCGCAAGCTGAAAATCCTTCCCATTGAGGCTATCGTCCGCGGATACATCACCGGCTCGGCTTGGAATGAGTACAAGAAGGCTGGCACTGTGCACGGCATTAAGGTCCCTGCTGGTTTGCAGGAGAGTCAGGCTTTCCCTGATGGTCCTATCTACACACCCAGCACGAAGGCTGAGCAGGGCGAGCATGATGAGAATATCCATCCTGATCAGGGTATGTATATGTACAGCTTGGACGACTCCGCGGAGGCGGTCTTTTGTCTGATTTTGAGAACTGGTGGGTTTGTTTAGATACAAGGAACTGACATTTGTGTTACAGCTGCCGCTATCCTGGGCGAACACGCCGAGACTGTTGCCTCGCTGGCTATCCAGCTCTACAAGACCGCGCACGAGTACGCTCTCGAGCGAGGCGTGATCATCGCCGATACCAAGTTCGAGTTTGGTGTCGATGAGGAGACTAACGAGGTGGTTCTCGCCGATGAGGTTTTGACGCCTGACTCATCCCGCTTCTGGCCTAAGGATTCCTACGCTATCGGTCGGGGCCAATCCAGCTTCGACAAGCAGTTCTTGCGTGACTGGCTGGTCCAGGAGGGTTTGAAGGGTAAGGAGGGTGTGCGCATGCCCGAGGATATTGCTCTCAAGACTGCTGAGAAGTATAAGGAGGCATGGGAGAAGATCACCGGTGGTAAATAGAGTGACCAAATCTAGACGCTATCTATCGAGTATATCACTCCAGTCTACGCCTCATGTATTTCTTGAATGAGTCAGGATGAAATGAAACTACAGTTCATGTCCAAATTGTTATACTGTCCCTCTAGACGGGAGTAACAAAACCGAGATCCCACCGGGGGTAATATACACATACAACAGCTATGAATGAGATCACTCATCCCACTCCCCTTTCAATCCCTTGAGCCCCTTCTCCTTGGACCGCTGCTCCTGCTGCTGCCGCTGTTCCCTCTCAGGCTTCGGCGCGGGCTCCTCAGTCCAACCCGTCCGAACACCCTCATCAATAGGCAAGGCATCCGCACCGCAAATCCGCACCTCCTCTTCATGCTCTGCCTCACCCATCCCATTAGTCGCCCAGATCTTATGAATGCGCAAATCAAACGGCCCCTCCACACGATCCGTCAAGCCAATACCGATACTCTTGATGCGCTGGCGCATCAGCGATGTCTGAGGTTCGATGACGTAGCCATGGTTCGTGCGAACAAACGAGTTGAACGGCAATAGAACAGTCTCCCATCCCGTTCCCCCCGATGTCGTCGTACTAGTCGATGATGCAAGGATTGTGGATTGGGGCGGTACATCTGAAAGTGCCGCGGGCATACCCTCGGGGTAAAGTTCGTCTAGAGAGTCGGGGTTGTCATTATGATCTTCAGCGTCGCGCACACGATGGTGTTTCGTGTATAGTCTGTGCTGGTGGATATCGGTGTCGACGATGGAGTCGCTCTGAACGTTAACGGTGTATCGTCGACCATCGGATTTAATCCGTAACGCCAGATACGCGTATGGATCGACATCCCAGAACAGGCGACCGAAAAGCCAAAGGCCTCTGTCTTGGTTGCGGAAGGCGGCGTAGCCTGTGCATGTGCCAGTGATTAGCCTTTTGAATCTTCTCTGACCGCCTATCGGCAAATGGTCTTGGGCTGGAGATTTCTAGATTTACCGGTTCTTTCGACGCGCCAGTTTTCTGGGAGCTTAGTTGAGATGGTGCCGTGGAACCGGGCATGCGAAGGTGTGTTTGTTGAAGGGTCTGCTGGCTCGAAGTCTAAGCTGGCGGTGCTGAAGCCTCCTACGGCGCGGTCGGCCATGGTCTTGCAGGCTTTGACCTCGCTTTCATTTTCGAAGTTGAGGATTGAGTAAGGTTTCGTGGGTGTGTGGAGGGTTTCTGTGTTCCAGGCTGGTTCCTTGTTAGTCTTCGCGATTGGTACGTCACTTGCGTGTAATTTACCGATTTTGGATAGGCGACCAAGTTCATCAGCACTGCGTCTGAAGAACCCGCCTTGGGCTAGACGTTTTGTTGGGAACATTTTGAGAAGTTGAAGAAAAGAGATGAGGTCCAGAGCTCGGGAGCTGGAGATGCCGCCGGCCGGCATCCGAGGTGGCGTGAATTGATCCGATAAGAGATAACTTTACTTCACTTCACTTCACTCTACTATAGTTCTACTATACTTACTGCACTACTACCCTCCCTGGATTCGAAGGGTTTATTAGTCTGATTCTTTTGATTTCTCTCATTCTATCCTCTATCACGTCATGGTCTTCCTTGGTAGTTCTGCAACTGAAGTTACCAAACCGGGTATTCCTGAGGTTCAGCGTACTCTATATCGACAGCAGATGTATATAGTAAGTAGAATCCCATTGTATACTTCAAGGGGATGGCAATTCTCCTCCCACGTACAATTGAGAGAATGGTTTGTGATATATGCAACTACCATCTAGGTGCCGTCCCCTGACGACATTCTGATCAGTACGTCTCTCGTCTGATACATGGCTTCAGGCCGACATCCAATACAGTCCTCTGAGAGCCAATCAAATACTGCATGGTCCTTATTCCCTGGCTGATAAACAACTCTATATAGAGTCATGAGTGTTGGAAATACCACCTCGGTACCAGGAAAAGGCTGGCTCTAGCTCATACTCGAAGGTCACGATACTCTATCCATGGCTATGCTATGTGATAATAGAATTGTAATTTTTGATTGGCAGCAGCAGAAGAGTCATGATGGGACCTTTGGTTTACCTCTGCTCTTCTAAGGGCTGGCCTCTCTGCCCACCTTTTCATATAAGGCCCTCGTCGCCACTGTCCTCCCTTCTCTTTCTCTCTCTGTGTTCATATTTCTACTAATCCGTTTCATCTATCCCACTCGTTCGCTTACTCATTCATTCGTTCGTTATTTGCACTTTAGCAATACTCTCGTTTAGCAGTACAAAAAAATCCAGCCAGTGTTATACTATATATCAAACATGGTCATTCAGCACATCGCCTCCGGTGCTGAGGAGCCCAAGACTCCTGAGTCCAGTGGCTGTGGCTCTGAGTCAAATGCCTCTGAAACTGTGTATGATACCCGCAAGAATGGCATCAAGCATGTCGAATATGCCCCTCGCGACCCTAGTACTCCTGATCCTTCTACTCCTGATCAGAGTACTTCCGGACGTAACACTCCCGAGTCACATACTAAACCGAATGGAAGATGCTACCAGCCGAGATATCCTCGGCGTGCGGATCGCATAAATCAAGCCATTACGGCTAAGAATGCCCAGTGCTTCTTTGATCACTCATGTTCTATCTTTGTTGGAAAGTGAGTGTCCCTCGCTCTGACCAGTCATGAAGTATACTAAAGGCTACTCAAGTCTGTCTACCAAAATCGTTCCTGCACGTATGGAGGAAGACCTAGTCAAGGCGTTCTCCGAGTTTGGTCAGTGCTGGGTCAAGGTCAAGGAAGGCAGACAGAAAGCCCTACCTGGCGCGTTTGTGGTATTTGATGTAAGTGATGCCGAGTGTTCAAGCGTACTGATAGAACACAACTGACACTTACTAGAACCCCGAGTCTGCACAAAATGCCATCGAGCAGTACCCCAGGATCCAACTGCATGATCGCACACTGAGGGTTGAACCTGCTGCTTGTAAACGTAAGGTCCTTCCACCTTCTTTCTTCTTCCCCAATCTCACCTTCCCTAACTTCTATCAGGCGACGCCATCATTGGACACCACTCCGGACAGCCCATTACTGAGCACGACATCGCTTACGCGCTCAACAGCTGGGGTTCTATTGAAAACGTCACCATCGAGCAGTCACTGAACTCAGGCGAGCCTCTTCAGGTCGGCCGAGTCACTTTTGCCTTCCTCGGCGACTACGAGGAAGCCATCAAGGTACGCTATTTCCCTCCCTTTCGCTAAGCTGTTTGCTAACGGTAGTAGGATTATTCCGACGAAACCTTCTATCTGCGGCCACCCATGGATTCTCAGAGATCTCCGGGCAATCAAGCCGGGCGAGCCAATAACCAAATGGCACCCCGTGGCAACGGCCAGAGATTCAACAACAACCACAATAACCGTCCCAGAGGCGGTCGTCAGTTCCCAACTCGTGGAGGTAATGCCCGCAGTAACTATGGTGGAAACAATCGATACTCCAACGGCTACGGAAATCATCAGAACATGAACGGTCCAACCTCCCCAAACGGTTACAATGGCCAGGGCTTCGCAAACAATAACGTTCCAGCCGGCTTCCCGAGCAATCACTTCCCTGGCCACGGCTACTCCAACAGCACTGGCTTCCATCAAAACCATCCAAACAATTTCCAGGGCTATCCCAACCAAGGCTTCCCAGCTTCAGGTCCTTTCCCCGCTGCCCAGCCTATGATGTTTAACCCCCAGATGCAATTCCAAGAAGGCCCGCCTGCACCATACTACACTGCCGAGCATTTCCCACCGGTCTACCCTTTCATTGTTCCCAACCAACCCGGCTTCCTCCCACAACCACCTCTGCCGCAACACTTGCCTCAGCAAATGCACATGGCTAACGTGGGTCCTGGTCCTGGTCCTGGCTCATATCTGCCTCCCATCACGACTGGCCCTCTCGTTGTCTCCAGTCAACCAATGCACGACATACAACCTAGTCAACATTCACCACCATACTACCCAGATTCATACATGGCTGACAATGGATACACTGGCATGCAAAACGACTGGCACAGCCCCTCAACTGGCTATGGTTTGCAAGAGGGGTACACCCACAATCAACCTATTAACAACCTGCCCGGCTTGCACCGAGAGACCGCTTCCAGCTGCCGATCTAGCAGTGATAGCACTGCCCCCAGCAGCCCTAAGGAAAAGGGATGTGAGCGCCCCAAGCGCCAGGGTCCAATGATTGACTCCGAGATTTCTCGTCTGATCCCTGTGCGCCATGATACTGATGGAAGTTCGGACCTTCCCCCAACCCAGCCTGACTATTCTGAGAGTGGTAGCGTCACTGATACCCCTTCCGAGCCTCTGGGTGATGCGGAAAAGGAAGACGACACGCAGACCGCTGTGAGCGAGCCTGTTCTAAGCTCGCGCAATACCGTTGAAGCTCCAGCTCAGGATAAGAAGGAAATTGCAGATGATGAAACGCCCAAGGACGAGACCAAGCAGCTGCTGGCAGCCCCGCCCAGTGTTGAACAAGTTGCTGATCGAAAGGGCAAGGGAGTGCTCCGCTCCATAACTCCCAAACATGAGTCCAAGTTGATACCCACTATTCCCTTGCATGCTAAGAGAGCTGCATACGGAGAAGGAAAAGCGGCGAGTCTGGAGTCTCCAACTAAGTCTCCAATCAAGGCTGAGTCCTCTGCATCGGCAGCCCCCAAGACGCCGGCTCCAGCCGAGTCCAAGAAAGCAGTTGCCTCCGAGACATCCACCACAGTTGAGCCCCAGAGAACAATTCCCAAGTACTCTGCCACAGCAAGCTCCTGGAGATCTGCCGCTCCCGCCTCCGTAAAATCTCACAGTCCCAAGTCAGTAACTGCCCCAAAGCCACCCAGTGCCTCTACCAACGTCGAATCCCAGGATCAACCAACCCCAAATTCCCCCCCTACCGCTAAATTCGGGGGAAAGTCCTCCTCCAATCTTCCGAGCAAGCCACCCGCCCCCGATCTAACCAGAGATGATACCAAGGGCAAGTTTCAGGCGCACGAGGACGTCAAGGGAAAGGGCAAAGCTTCAGAGACAGAGCAGGTTTACATTAAGGCAAAAGGCAAGGCTCAAGAGACAGAGCAGGAGGAAGAGAAAGAGAAGGAGGAAGAGAAAGAGAAGGAGGAAGAGAAAGAGAAGGAGGCAGAAGTGGCAGAGGAAGCATCTGAACCAGCAGCAAAAGCCGAAGAGGAAATACGAATGGATGCATTTATCCGCGAGCGTTTTGCTGACCGCACGCCCCTGCCACAAGATTTTATGCCCAAGGAATATGCTATGGAGGAAATTGTCATGGACAAGGCAACTGAGCTGGAGATTAGTTTGGAAGAGGCGTGGCTGCTAGCATTTATCATGGAAATGGAGGATGAACAAAGGAAGAAATACGCCAATGCAGATGATGCTAACGAAGAGACCCCAAACGAGGAGACGGCCAACCAAGAGAACGCCAATTATGAGGATTCTCCTCCTCCTACTCCTGCACTCACGAACGGTCCATCTGCTTCATCGCGGGATGAGGAAGAGCCGATCAATGTTTGGGACGAAGAATGGAATGATCACAACTAAGTCAGTGTTGAAATGGATATGGAAACGGAGGTGGATACGACAGAGGATATGTGCCTTGTTTTGATGACATTGACCTTTCTATTGTTATTTTATTTTATTTTATTTTTTCTTTCTTTTGTGCATTATGGATACCGATCTGCCTGCACTATTGTCATTTTCTTTTATCTGGTTTTGCTGATTTTATTCCCCCGGTCTATCTGTATTTGTGGACTTCCACGTCAACGGAAATAAGAAATGAGAAAACAACCAAAAGAAATGGCCCGGGATTATTTATGCAATTTGAAATTCAATCAGGGGTTACCAGCTCGTCGACCCCTTAGTTCTCACCAAAGTAGGAGCAATATGTTTCTGGAATGTGTCCCTACCACCTCGGCATTGTAATGCTTTCCTTGCTTACACGCCCATGGATATCTTATTTAACTACAGGATATCAGCTCTAGAGGATTTTTATTTGTATCTTGTAGTTTAGATCTTGTTGGATGTAAGAAACACAAGTACGAATATACTGGCACAATATATATGGATAATATCAGTAGAGAGCGTTTTAGCGATAAGGGCTCGCATACTTGCCCTTGGCGAGGGTATATTGGAGTGGATCCATGCAATGGTGGCGTGACATTCTTTAGAATAACGTTAATTGCTCTTGAATCAGGTCACCCTAGCAAGTGTTAGAAACTCGACGTCATGAGGAATACAGTACAGTCAACTCTCGCTTATACCACAGCATACTATCCAAGCCAAATTACGTGGTATAATTGAGTTGTGTTTTGGTGAGAGGATGACATAATATTTGACAAGCTAACTCTAAGCCCTAATACCTATTTAGTCTTCCATCCCATCATCTGATCCAAAGTCACCTGACGTTTCTCATCAATCTGAATCCTGCCAAAGTCGCTGATTAAGCTCTCAATTTGTCTAATATGGTCCGAGGTACCCTTTTCTTTGCTACAAACCCATAGTAGGATATCCTGGAGGCTGTCCAATATAGCAGAATTAGACAGAAGCTCAGGTGGGGGCCCATCAATGTCAATATCCTGAATTTCTGAGGTTGTTGGGGCAATATATATATCTTGCTCATTGGTCTCATCTCGCCCTTCAGTCCCATCTTCTAACATGTCTTCGTCCGAAGGGTTCAAAAACTCGTCAAATGGCACAATATCTTTATCACCAAGCTTATCAATTGCTTGATTATATAGACTTTCAATCTCATCACTCAATCCGGGCTCGGAAAATAGTGCAGACTCAGGTGCGGACTCGGGCGCGGACTCAGGTATAGGTATAGACTTTGGACTAATCAAAGTACTTTGTTTAAAGCAATTGATAATCGTTTGGTCTGATACACTTGTTCTCCAAACTTGCGTTACCCAGGTAACAGTATAATAAATGCTCATTCTTTGTTTTGGGTCTATCCCACGATCAAGAAAAGCAATCATATAGCGCATCCATTTCTTCCGATAATGGTGCTTCAAGTTTTGGATAATACCTTGGTCCAAGGGTTGATAAATTGAAGTTGCGTTTGCTGGCAAAAAAACAACCGTAATCCGGGGTGGTGGTGGCGCTCGCTGGAGTCCAATAACATGTGGTGAAGCATTGTCTAAAAGGAGCAAAGCTTTCTTATCTAAGGGAATACGCCCATAGAAAGATCGCAACCAGTCCTCCATAATGTCATGACGCATCCATGCTGCCTTGTTGTGACGCCAAACACATCCCAGAGCTCGGAAATTAACCCCCCGGAGTGCGCGAGGGGTTTTTGCTGTGCCAATCAACCATAAAGGGACTCGATCGGAACCATCCGCATTTGATGCAACAACAATAGTGATTCGTGTTTTATCAAGCTTTTTGCCAGCAATTTTTCCCTTTGAAAGACCACCATTTGGCATACGTCGCCAAAATAGGCCAGTTTCATCCATATTGTAGATTTCGGACGGTTTGAATTGATTGCAAATCGATTTGGTGCTTTTGATCTGATCATGTACCGAGGATGGGACTGAGGCAGCTTCTCCGTGGAAAGTATGATATTGAAGAGAGTGGCGTTGTTTGAAGCGAGTTAACCAACCCTCAGAGAATTGAGGTTTGGTCCGATCTTTGTATTCCGGTATTTGTCTCCAAAGCTCAGCTGCTTTAGTTTGGATCAAAGGGCCATTTATTGGTATTCCATTGCCAATATGGTTATCTGCCCAGTCATATAGCTTTTGGTCCAATAATGGCCAATGAGAGGATGAAGATCGTTTGTTTGCCCCTGCAGGGCCCGTATCAAGATAATTGTATTTGGATGAAAGGATCCTTGATATGGTTGACCGGTCAATCACTTGTTTGAATTGGTCCTCAAACCACTTAGCACATGCAGTCTGCGTGGGCTTTGGGCTAGTATTAGACCAAAATGCCCGTAGTGCCTGTTTCTGCGCGTCTGATATACCCAATTTGGTACGCTTTGGTCCCATTCTGACGCGCTTGGGTGGGGTCGGGAGGGTAGGAGAGCTTGTAGATTGAGGCATTCTGATTGGTTGATTGCGCTGACTAAGCAGATTTGAGAGGAAGAAAGTGTGGTAAAACAAAATGTGTTATATTCTGTCAATTTATATGGAAAAAACTGGAATGAAGGGGCCATCCAAGCAAGGGATGTGTTATTATCAAGAATGTGCAATATCCCACCGTGGTATAAGCGAGAGTTGACTGTAGAGGACCAAAGTAGGATAGATACGTATATAAATCGGGCTCCACACGCGTATCATTCCTTCCCAAGAATGTGTATTTACCTACTCCGTACTTGTGAGTGTATATATATAAGTTAGCCTCATGCGACGACTGTCGAAGTCACGAACATCACCCACACTCTTTTGTCGAATTATTTTCATAGGGACTCGGAGTAGTCCCATTCTATTTTCCCATACTTTTTGTTGATCTGATTATAATCGATCTTATAGAATAATTTCTAATCCGATCATGGCATCTTACGCCAATCTTGCGGCTCTCTCGGCGGCCTTGCTGCAGGTGCTTCCTGCCCTTGCAGCCCCTGCGGCCGGTGGCTCTGGTCCCGACGCCTGGGCCGAGGACACATTCTGGGGAGGTTCCGGCCATGGAGACACCGCGAACGTCAACATCGATGGAGACTATAGCTACAGCCATGGTGGCCCAGAAGGGGGCTATGGAGGATCTGACAACCACTGCGGCCACCATTATGGTTACCATTCTCCACTGCCGTTCACTATGACTGACTGGTGAGTCTGACATATTGAAAAATTGAAGCCAAGCGGCTAACGATAATATCTTCAGCCCTGTCTGGCCCACTGCCACCGTGACCGTCACTATCGACGGCGACGGCACAGGCTCAGCCACCATCACGGAAATAATCACTGCCTGCACAGCGACTGTGACAACCGGCAACAACAACATCGCCGGATCAACCACCACAGAGACTGAGACTGAAACCGTCGTCTCGACAATCAGCTCGTGCACCGCAACAACCACGGACCTAACAACCGTAACAGAAGACGGCCCAACAGTAACATCAACAATCACAACCCCAGGCCCCGTCTCAACCACAACCGAATACATCGGCACCTCAACTGTCACCGAGCCCGGCGTTACAGAAACCGAAACGGTCACCGATACAATCACCTCAACCGACACAAGCACCATCACCAACAACCAGGTCGTCACCGAAGTCTCAACCGTCACCTCGACAGATACCAAGACTCTCGAGGTTACGACCACCGTGACGGCGGATGACTGCAGCAATACTGGCGACTCTGGTGGTGGTGGTCTTGATTACGGAACGTGCACCGATCCCACAATCAAGTGGGTGTATGGTCTTGATGGACGCACGGATTACTCCTACACCACCAACAACCAGAAGGACTTCCCCTTCGGATCGTCGCCTACAATCGATGCTCCTGCTGATTTGATCTGCAACCGTCTTCGTAGCCCGTGCAATGCTCCTCAGGCTACTATCGATCAGTGCTATGCTGCTGAGAGTGCCGTTGCTGGTTTGAGTGGGCAGGCGGCTGCGGATACTTGGAATGAGATGATGACTTGATTGCTTTCCTTTGGTGTATCTTGGAAAATCATTTCTAGTCTTTTGTATTGACTTGTGACATGTACAAGAGGTGCTGGTGTTGTAGAAGGATGAAGTAGAGATTATATATGGGAGCGGGACGGATAGTCCCGTTCTAACGGTTTCCCGTCCCAAAGTTCCAAAATCCCAAAATGGTTAGTTAGCCCTAAACCAAGAATAAGGGAAGAATATCAAGGATAAAGAATAGATGCAAAATTAAGTCAAGGCAGAAGTAATAGCCCATAGCAGATCATAGTTGATATTGATGGTTGCAAGTGATATTGATTTCCCGGCAAAGATAAGAACCACTTGAGGCCTTTCCCTCCTTGCCTAGTTGAAATCAAAATAGAACGCCGAAAAGGAAGCCGGTGGATATATATATACAAAAATGCTTCTCGATGCAATCCTGCATGTTGCATGCCATGTCATGTCATAGATACCGAATGCCAGTGTGGTTGAAAGCAGAAGATGATGCACGCCGATGAGATGTCCCGAACAAACGAAAAGAAGTAAAAAAGAACTGGGCCGAAATGGAGAGCAAAGAGCAGAACAGAACGTGAAATAGATCGGAAAAATTATCTTAATGCAAGCGCTCACGGTTGTAATCGATAAGTGGGAGAGATGTTGAGGTAAGGTAATGGTGGTGATGGAGAGCGTGGAGTGAAGGGGGAGGGGGAATACGGTGTGTAGGGTTATAGAGTCGGGTTGAGAGGGTGAAACGGGAGGGAGAGATGGCGATCTCTTAAGATCGAGAGATCAAGGATGGGACGTGTCGAGAGAAGGTCGGAGAGGAGGAATGGAGATAACCGGGATTGAAGAGGATGCCAGCCCTAAATAACCCTCCCCAGAAGATACGCAACGAGTCATCAAGCTCTCACACGCCGAGCATCGAAATAGCCCAAATTAACGGCCGTATCATTAACACCCACAAACGGTGCCGCATCCT